AAAAAAAAAAAAAAAAAAAAAAAAAAAGGGCTCCCGATCGACCCAAGATCGGAGCTATGTCATGACCAGCACGGCTTCTTCGATCTCGCCTACGAGAACCCAGAAGAACAATGGCCGCCATGACACCGAAAGTGAACTTGGATCTACAATCGTCCTGCGGGACTCGACCTTCAACTCTCTCGCTCTGGACGTCACCTACGCTGCCCTGGATCCTCACAAAGGAGCGGATGTACTGCGGGAGACCTCGGGCTTGCCGGAATATCATAGGGACGCGGCGCCGTCCTCTACGGGCGAACCGCTCACGTGGCTGCAGGACAGCGCGAGTCTTGCTGGCTGGCGAGAGAATTACAAAGGACCCTCATCCTGGCAGGATCCTACCGCTTCGCCTGGAGGATACCAGCGGAATCGTGGACCCTTCAGCTTGGATTGTACTTCGGGGGGCATCGGAACCCCACCGGAAGCCAGGAACTCGTTCAGTCCCGTGGGCAGGAAGCTCAGCAGTGTCTGGGAAATACCTGAGGCCGAAAGCAATCATCAGGATCCCGAACTGTGGGAGGACATTGGGGTCGTCGAGTATCTTGAGAGGAAGCTGGGAGGTCCTGACGAGAGCACGCCGGAGGAACGTGTCGAAGCTCTGAGAGAGGTCCTTGAAGAGAATGACATTCACGAAGGGCATGGCAACGTCTCTGACTTCCTGTTTCATGTCGCCAGAACGAAATACGGGAAAGTCTACATTCGCGTCATAAGGACTCTGCTATTGAATCGAGGTAGGATGCACAATTACACTATTATCTTGGGATTATCGATACGACCGATAAGGATTATAACGTTGAATGTCATTTTACTTCTGGCCCAATTCTAACGTGGAATATAGTTTTGTCCCGACGGGGATTATTTCGTTACACAGTTGCACGCGCTGTTTAGTGTCTCTGCTCTAGCGTTCATTTTTGGAACTAACCTCGAAACAAACGAAACCCACGATCAGCAGCGCCAAACAGCCATTTGGCCGCTGGATTCGCGTTACTTCGTTGTCTTGATGATACGGAAGTTTTTTTCTTCTCCCATCTGTCTTTCGAGTCGATAGGTGTAAACGTTATTGTTGTGCAGAAAGTAAGAACGTGGTGCATAGTCGAGGAACCTGCGACATCGTAATTACAATATGTCAAGTAAAAACGAGGAAGTTGTTCCCCTGGAACTCGTAGCGGATCCCTTAGGTTCTGTTCAACTTCCATTCAGACCAGAAGCTCATGGACTTAGTAAAGACTTCCGTTTAAGTAAATTCGGTGACCTTCGTGGTCAGCGAATGAGACTCGACCGTGCTGAGATCCTTGACTTTCTCTCGGTTTTCAACGAGGATCAGGTATCAGTTCAGTTCATATTAAAAAAAAAATGTCAATTATTTAATTGATCAGAAGACTTAAAAATCTCCTTGACTTACATGTATTATCGACTGTAAAATTTTAAAGCAGGATCGCAATTTCAAGAGTCACGTGTTCGGCGAAGACGTATCCGTTACCCATCTTCCTCACAGTGGACTTTATCTGGTTGAAACGTCCAATCTTATTTGGCCAGTCATCGAGGATCCTTATTTGCTTGGTAAAATAGCCAGCACGTGTGTCCTGAGCAGGATTTACGCCCTGGGCGTCCCGGATTGCGCGAGCTCTCGGTTCATCCTGGGCGTCGCCAATCGAATGGAGGAAAATGAACGAAAAGTCGTTATTCCCATGGTGATTCGCGGTTTTTGCGATGTTGGAAAATCGATGGCTGCCGAGGTGCGCGGTTCCGAGATTTTTAGTAACCCTTGGCTCGTGTTGGGTGGCACGGCTAGTGTCGTATGTCCTCTCCACGAACTTGTTATACCGGACAGTGCGATACTAGGGGACGTGATAGTTTTGACAAAACCCCTTGGCACCCTCGTAGCCATCACCGTCGCACAGTGGATGGAACAGACGGATAAACGCTCCAGGTTGCTATTGACGCTCAGTGAAGAAGATGCGAAAAAGGGTTACCTGAGAGCTGTGGATTCTATGATAAGGAGTAACAGGATCGCTGCTCTCCTCATGAGAAAGGTTAGATCCCAATTATTAAGATGGATTATCTGTCCAGAGACACGATCGCAGCTAGCAAATCGGTTGGGAAATCAAAGTCTTCCATGGCGGAGTGAAATTCCAATAGATTGCAGTAGATGGAGTTGCTGTGTCCGTAGAAGCCACCCAGTTACAGCTTCAATTAATCGAATGGTCTCGCTAGGAGACGTGCATACTTAATTGGATATTTTATGAAACTTCTATGAGAGCTTTGCATTTCCATGAAAGCGGAATTGTCGCTTTCGAAATACCTATTTGCTATGTACGGGTTACTTTCGAAGATGATTAATCGTATTTTTTACCTATATAATGACCTTCGTATGATCCTCAAGTATAACGCTCACGCCGCCTGCGATGTCTCCGTTCACGGGATCCTGGGTCACGCGGAAGATCTGGCTCGCCGACAGAAGAATCCTGTCAGCTTTGTCATACACAACATGCCGATTATCGCGCGGATGAACAGCACCATGAAGTTCACCGGTAACACGATGCCCCTTCTTCAGGGAAGAATGCCAGAAGTCTCGGGTGGACTCCTGGTGGTGTTGCCGCGCGAGCAGGCGGCTGCGTATTGCAAGGCTCTTGAAAAAACTGAACAACGTCAAGCGTGGATCATTGGAATAGTGGAAAATGGCGATCGCACTGCGAGAGTCATAGACAGACCTCGTGTCATCGAGGTACCATCCAAGGAGGTTGGAACGTCGCTCTGGTGAAGAAATGTCGATATTAAATGTGGGATCTTCGGCATTAAAGTAATCTCAGTACCTGGTACTTTAATTACCCGCAACTCTCGATGTTCTATTGCAGTTTTATTACTATTCAATATGGCGTGCTCAAAGAACGCGTCACGTGGATTCCGCGTTATTGATTTTCTTATTATCGAATATACTTGAAATGATCTGTCATCCCGTACTTGTATTCAGTAAGGATGGATTTTTCATCTCTCCTTTCGTATTACACATTTATTTATTTATTTCTCGTTATGTGAAACTGAGAAATCGCTTTCGGCCTCTGAACAAGCAAGTATCTTTTAATTGACAGTTGCCTGGGGCTAAATAGCAAAGTTAACGTACGATGGAAAGTTTTCTCCAGTTGAAGAAAAATAAATACCTACGGAACACGTGTGCCACAATTTCTACGTGCCTCTGTCACTTTAGTTATTTATAAGAACAAAACATCGTCATTCTGTATTTCGTATAAGAATATAAATCTTTTCTTATCGCCGACAAGATGTCCATGTCGGATCCATAATTCTTCTATAAGTATCAGAGGCATTACGGCATTCTTCGTAACGATTCGCTACGTAGAATTACACAGTCCGGCAGCCACGGTATTCCTATTTGACGTGTAAAATATACGAGAGCGAGGTATTTTTCATGTAGCGACCACGGGCCACTTGGGGGAAACGAACGGTCATTCTGTAATTCAAATCATTCACGTCATTCGACTGTTTGGTTCGAACGTTCCCGCGATACCGTATTCTCTCGAGTTCGTGTCGGCTTCGGGCAGTTCCGCCGTTTCTCGGCTTTGAAGCAAGATGGCCGACTGATTCTCACACGGTCTGCTTCGCCGTGCTTGCCGCGCCTAGAAACTGAACGTTTCTCTGGATCACAGTAAAACGACGACAACACGACGTGTCAAGGGGTGTTACAGTGATATGTGTTTAGTGTCACAAGCAATTTTTACTAAGTGAATTTTGTTTAAACAGAAGAGGAAACTAGCCGACATTTCCACGCCGATAGAACGCCTTCAACCTTGGCTGTTTTTGCCTACCGGGCTTTTTACCCTGTCAGCCTTGCTCGCCCCAGGCGACTCGCACGCATTCAATGGTAAATACGTAATTTACTTTAAAATACTCGAATGACAGGAACCCGTGATTGTTCTGAATGATGTCTCGATATTATACTGGCCGATCGAGTTGCAAGCACGTGAATCTGTTGTGCATATATGCATAATGGTAGGTCTTACTTCATATGGAAAAGCGAGAACGTTGAGAATTGCGGTGTCGATTTACACCAGTGCCAAAGTCTTTTCTAGGATTCGTTGCGCAATCGAAAAACGTTTACACGCCTACGCGATTACGTGAATCGTTTGTAAACGTTTTGTACCTTTTTTCCGTCTTCTTCTGGTTTATCGAGGCCACCGAACTGCGACCCTGATTGCTACTTGCTTCTCAAGGCTCCTGAGATACTCTCGAATTATTGAAAGCCGAGACTTTTAGCTGTACGTAGACATGTTGAAAATCGCGTGGCAAATTTATCTTATCTAATAATGCTGTAATTACGAAGACTCGTCATTAAGATCTTGTAAACAAATCACAGACGTTGATTCAGTCCTTGCCCTCAAAGAATTTTTTACCTTTATTAACAGTCCTTGGAAGCATCTATTTCCATTGTGTTTTAAGTTAAAGTTATACAATCTCTCGTGACGTACTACTGATTGTAAAAAAAAAAACTATTATTATATAATAAATTGCAACGATCCGTAATACTTTTGATACACTCGTCAATCTAATCGCCGATGAATGACATTAATCATTATCAAAGTACAAACCACACGCATAACGATTGAAAGCTTTTTACCACGAAAATGCAACATTGTTCATACAACCGACAATATATTGGTAAATACAGAGGAAAGGAAAAAAGGCAATTTCTCTTAGAAACTACATAGTAACCATATCCGCATCTTTTGCCAAGAACCGCTCATCAAGAGCAACTATAATTACACTTTGCATACAGTGCCAACTGACCTTTCTTGAACTCATAAAATTGTAATGATTACTCAAAATAATCGCATTTCTTGCTTTTTCATACAAATCGCAAAAGGATCGGTTGTTTTTTCTCTCTCTTTCGCTCCCCCCCTCTCTCTCTTACTTTTTTTAAAATCGGATACACAGAATCACGTCAGCTGCAACTATCACTTTTCGGAATACAATTGAAATCTTTCGCATCGTGTGAGAAACGTTTCTTTTTACCATTGTATAAGAGAGGCTTGGCATTAAAGCCGGCAGAGGCTTCGCGAATCTTTCTCGTGGAAGCTTATACGCGAGTCTCTCTACTGAAGGCTTATGCAATCCACCTTCCTTTTCCTCTGTAAAATCAATATAGACACCTGCAACAACGACTGCGACTAACTTCACGTGGTAGTGGCACCAACCGTGTAAACTGCCGGTGCATAGCGTATCGGCAGTCAGTTCCGCCAATAAATATATGCAGCGTTATTATTTATTATTATTATAGTCCGCCATTCCATCTCGGTCTTGAGAGCAATGGCCATACCGCGACAGGAGATTCAATATGTAGCGTCTTATTTCATGCAATTACAATTGCTTTCTTGTATTACTAGAGACTCTTGAACTCGTTACTGGATACGCATAGAGTAATGCGTTATCGCGCTCTGATACACACGTTTTATGTTTGCATACGGCTGCCACCTTTCGTTTTAAATTACGGTTTATTCGTTTTCAATTCTTCATAATTCTGTTACAGTTAAGTATTTTTGCTTGTTCTTTGGTCATGTCGATATTGATTAGTATTATCGTTTTTACCCAATTCGGAATTAAATTAGGTATGTAGTATTGAATTTTAGGATTACAGCGGTGTTTTTAGTTTTGCGTACAATCAATGCTTTGTATTACCATGCAATTGTATTATTAAATGTCTTATATTTTTTGGGATAAAGCGGTACAGTTTATTACAAAAGTGTGCATTTTTATTATTTATTTGTTTCATTTAAAATTTTCTTTCGGTAATGATCTGACGCTTCTATGGTTCTCATTGTTATCGTACTTTGTTACTTGCTTTACACGGGGTATTTCAGAATCTTTTGAAATTCTATTATGACCGGAGCCCACGTTGAAATATTACCACGAGACAAAAATCGTGGAACAATAGTGAGTTTTGGAAATTCCACAAATATTTGCCCCAAGAAGTTTACTTGTACAATGTTCAGGTTGAACACGAAGAAAACGTAGACTAATGAATTTAAAAAATATTTTTCCCGTTTTTCTTCTTCATGACGGAGGATCTTCACCCTATTGATTCAAGTAATTTACAAATATAGACGAGAAGATAGTTTGTCTTTCATAGATTTACATGAAGACTACGAATACAGTGAGAGACTTTAATGTTTAGTTCCATTTGAAATGTACACGTGCGAATATTCATGGCATCATTAGTCCGTATTGAAAGAATATAGAAATTCAGCTATGCCATTTATTTTAGTTTTACCATCAGCTTACTCGGCTTGCCGGTACTCTACACAAAATTAATACAACTTAACGCGCGTACTGGAATATTGGTTATGATTCACGGACCCTGAGTGCATTAGCTTAACGGGTGGTGGGGAGTTTTGCCTATTGAAGTTGGGCGAGGCTGGGCCCGTTAAGGGTAGGTCAAGGTCCACTCAGGTACATAACCTCTCCTTTAGTACAGTAATTCAGTGTCAGTCAGACTTTGGAACTCGATCGGTCGTGCCGTAAGTCTCGTATTTTCGTCTGAAGTGGCCAAACAACTATTTTGCAACTGAGCAGCATTCGGGATGATAAGATAAAACCTCGGTTCCGTTTGTAAACTCAACGAATCATTATTATAGTATCGTTCCTGTAACCTGGCATTCGGACGTTGTCAGATCGGTCTAACAGCGAGAGAGAGACTTACGATAAAGAGAACTCGTGTAACGTTTCCTCGGTACTTATTCGCTCAGAGAATATACATGACGTCAGTGTACGCGAGTAGGAGCTGGTTAAAAAATTTTACGAGAAATGTGCTCGATATCAGTATGTGGCAGTACAATTGTGAAAACAGATCCTGCCTAGAGGATCGCGCTAGTCTGGAGGGTGGGAATCCTGCCGGAGGTGGTACCACCTGCCCTGGGCAACCGAAGGTGGCCACCTCCAATGCGACGGACCGTCCGAGTGCCGCGAGCGTCTCCACGGCCGGGAACGATCCTGATCATCGGGCCGAGGAGTATCGCGATAACGGGGACGAGGAACAGGAGGAGGATGATCCTTACGAGTACGACGAGGACATACCCAAGCACTCGCCGAGCGCCCTCGACGAATCCGACGACCTACTCCTGGAAGGTACACGTGCACTTGGGCATCAAGACGTTACACTCGGCACCTCGAGCCACGTCGTCTCCACGGCCACTTCTGCCGTCGGATCCAGCTACCCGACTCGTTGCTGGGGCTGCGAGGGTTGCTGCGCCGGGACGCCGCCCTTGTTTCTCCTTGGATCGCCTGCCGACGCCCCGTGCACTTGTATCTCCTGTCAGTAATGCACCCTCGGCGCACACGTGCGTGCGCAGCTGCACCTATCGCATAACACCTTACTTCGTATCACTTAGATAATTTTTTATTTTTTTTTCTATTTGTTTTGTTTATTCACGATATATACATACGTGTATAATCTGGCTCGATATTTTATTTTGCCTGGGTGCACTTTACCGAGTCTCCGCGAGTGCAATACTCTGGATTTGCTGTTTCGTATTCTTATTTCTGTTCAGTTAATGAAGCAGGGGTGGCGTCACTTCGCGTCTGTTTATTTATGTTTCTGGCTGCGTTAAATCGTCGATTTACGTTTTTCAGGATGGGTCACTGACGCGCACTGTAATTTAAATTAAAAATCATTGCGTTCTAGGAATTAACAGATTTCTTTTTGGGCTTGTTTTAGTTTTATCACTGACAATTCGTTATAATAGATTTCGTAATATCGCCTTTTGAATTTTCTATCGCTTTTCTTTATTAGCGCAATCGGTGGGCATGGCTGGGCTTCTGTGAGGTATGTGACGTAACGCACGATGCAACCTGTCTCTGCTAGAGTTACTAATATCGTTCTACACAGTTTAGTGCAAGCGATACACGCGCAACGGTCACGTGATCCGACTAGGTGGGATCGACGTGTACGGTTATCTTTTTTTATTTATTTCTTACTTGTCCCAGGCGTGGATTTTTCAATGAATTCCTAAGATAGCATCGTGCTCATTGATCCAGAGTCCAGAGAACCAGTTGGACAACTTTCTACTCTTATTTCCTTTTATTCTCTGTCGATGGAATGTGAACCGGGAGGAGGTACTTAAGGCGCCCTTGGTACCGACCGCTAGGAAGAAAGTTCTTGTCGAAGAGCGACGATAATAAATCGATTAAACGCGATTGCACTCTTTTTCGCGACGCTCATATTTTTGCCTTCCACCATCTTCGATTCTCTCTCGATCGGGGGGGTTTTTTTTTCTATCTTTTTTTTACCGCCACTCACCCACGCCTAACGAGCCGGAGCAAATATAATACTTTCCATCGAAAGTCCCGACGCCATTCGACCACTTTCCACTGCCAGAATTTATTATGCAAGACACAATATCCATGAAAAAAAAAAAAATGTTCTCTGCGTTATTACTTTTTATCTCACGAGAGTACGTTGTGTTTTTGCGATTCTAACCTTATTTTCGCGCATTCCTCAAAGATGTCTTCCGCTCCCTCTGCGCAGTTGGCTTCTGCGCCGCTAAATTTCTTGGCTCCCGTCCATTGAGTAAAAATGGAAACTGCGAATGTTTTGACGGGGAATGCAGACACGCACGTGCGAGATGCGCTTTTTTCTCCTGTACCGCTTTCGCCCTGTGCGGCTGCGCCTTTACGGGTTGGCTCCGCTGGTCGATAGGGATGCGAGTCAATCTCCTCTGGTGAAAACGCGGTCGTGGCGTCTCTCGGTGTTCGTCGTTTAATGAGCGAACTTACATTATTTTTTCTTACTGCGATTCGATTCTATTCAGGATTCGAAAGGTGTATCAATTGCATCGGGTGGGACCAAATCTTTCTTTGGGAGGATGCAGCTTTGTCGTTTCTTTCTCCATGCTGAACCAATGGGAGGAGGGACACACTTGTGCGTCGTTTACAGTTTCATACGAGACATTGATTTTCGTAAATCTTGTTTCATTTCTTAATCGTGACGCGCAAAGTCAATGTTGTCGCGAACTTTGATAACGCTCACTGTGACACTTGGGTCCACTGCTGTCCGCTCGAACGGTGGGAAGTCGCCGAAACTCGTGAATTCAGGTAAAGGTGTTATCTGATTTGGGCATTCCTTAAACACCGATGAACACACGTGTGTAGCATTTGTACCCTTGTTCAGATGCACCACTTATTTTTTATATGCCCAGCCTCTTGGTACAGGATGCATAGATTATTCGTGTACAAGTCCAGCCTCTGCATATCTAGCACAGTACACTTGCCGTTTCTTTTTTTCTTTATTTTTGTAGCTTTAATAACGGTGAAATCGATGGCTTAATAAATTTTTACGTTTCTGTTGCAGTTCTATGTAGCAACCGTGTGAGCCAAATGACCAAAACTTATAATGATATAGAAGCAGTGACCAGGCTTCTAGAGGAGGTGAGTCGCTTGATGGATAATAATTATTTATTTTTCAATGTTACTGAGATCGGTGACTGTTATCTTATTTTTTGTGGAATCCATGTAACCCGAGGAATCTTCCTTTACCATTGCAGAAGGAAAAAGATCTCGAGCTAACAGCACGAATCGGCAAGGAGTTATTGACTCACAATCAGAAGCTCGAGAGCAGCGTGAACGCCTTGGAGGCCGAATTAAAATCGGCTAACGAGAGGATCACGCAGCTCTCGCACGAGCTTATCAAGAAGACCGAACTCATTCAGATTTTAACGAACGATGTGGAAGACTCGGGATCGGAAGCCGGTACGCCCACCGGGCTACGTGGAATTAATTTGGAAATGATGCAGCGACGCATCGGTTCTCTTGAAGACGAGAATCGTCAATTACGGAGCGAGTTCACGAAACTGGTCCACGATGCCGACGATTGCGAGGAACAGGAAGCCAGGCTGGTGAAGGATATCGCTGCACAACTAGGTCGGTTTTATAGATATACAATAATTGAGTAGACTGACTGAAGTCGAGGATTCCGATAAATTATAGTCATTAAGACAATCCAACGTGTATATCCTTCTTTTTATAATAATTTACTGAATTTTTCCATTTATTACTTGCAGCGAGTGCCAATATGGAGGCAGACGGTATGGTGGAGGAGCTTGAGAGGCAGAGAGAAGAAAATCGGCTTCAGCATGAGGAAATAATCAGCCTCACGGCAAAGTTGAATGAAACGGAGTTACGATTAGCACAACTTATGGCTGAGCACGATGAAGTTGGCAACACGTTGGTCATCACCAGGGACAATCAGAATATCCTGGCAACGGAATTGGCACAGTTTAAGGATCGTTATGCCGAAGTAGTGAATCTTCTGGCTGAAACGCAGGAACAATTACGTAAACAGAGAAAACGCGGATTGCCGACTGTAAGGGGTGGTTCACTCTTTCCTTCTATGGGTGCTGCACCACAACCTGATTCCATTGCATCGGAACTCGAGTCTTCGCTTTATTCGGAACTCAGTCTCGATTCTGGGATCAGTGCCGACAGAGTTCCTGCTTATAAGAAGGTTTTCGAAACGGTTCGGAGCGCTTCGAGAGCTTCCTTTGCCACGGATGGACAATTCCCGAGAATTGGTTCGATGACCACATCTACTCTGTCCAGTGGATCCTCCGGTCTAAGAATGAGCTGTGGTCCTATCAGACCTCATCATTCTACCGGCTTCCCTAGTTTGGATTCTACAGGACATAGTGACAGCGAGGGATCTTTACTTACGGACTCCGAGGATTATCCGTAAGCAATTATTATAATTTGTCTATAATATTTCCTCATCTTGACAATTCTGTAGTACGAGCAGGAATCAGCAGTATATAAGGTAGTGAAGTATTTTTTATTTATCTTCAGCGGTCCTCAACAAACTGGAGTACCCGGAGCTCCTGGTGCAGCTGATCTTGAAGCCGCACTACGTCGCCTAACACCAGCAGAAGTGATAGCTCGTCGTGCTTGCCTGAGTACAGGAGCGGGATATAACTACGACTATGATACAGGATTGCATTCACCACCAAATTTCCTGCCCTTCGGATGTCGAACACCTGATAGTATAATGTCGACCGGAAGCAGTGGAAACCTTTCTGGATTTAGTGGCAATAGCTGGCGTCTTCCTGAAAAATTACAGATCGTCAAGCCTATGGAAGGCTCACAGACTTTGCATCACTGGTCTCAACTGGCAACGCCAACTCTTGGTGGATTGCTGGAAGAGCGACCTGGTGTCAAGACACGAGGAGGTCGTGCTCTGGAGGATCTCGGTTTGGAGACGTTTACCTTGGCCGATCTTGAGGAGGATGAAGAATATGCGAATCCTGGAAAACTTTTCCAGGACACCGGTTCCATATATACGTTTACCAACAGCACTGTCTTGCATCCTGATGATCACACCAGTGTCACGGCGAGTTTAGTCGGCAGCCGAGTGGCAACTGCACCTAGTAGTCAAATTAATTCTGGTGTCAATACTCCCAGATCTCTTAGTAGAAGGAATTCCACGTCTACCTTCTCGACTACCTTAGGCTTGGCGAAGATGCTCAACGAGAGAGGTATCAAAGCAGTCACACCTTCCTGCGTGACTACTCCTAGTGGAGAACGGAACTTCACGCCGACTGCTACTCCATGTAACAGGTTAGTTATATAGTATCCAGGTAGACATACCATAGCATTACATAACTATTTTACTCCTAAAAATTACCAGTCCCATTAAAATTCTTTAAGCGACTAGAAAATTAATTTAATTTTTTTTTCCGTTATCAACAGTCCGGATGGCAGCCCACCACCCACAAGATCAGCCTCTCCACCACCTTACAGTAGTCCGCTAAGTTTTGGATTATTCAGCAGTGGGGCTGAATTGTTGAAGCGCACTTTCAGTTCCGAGCCGCCGAAACGTAAACGTTCGAAGCCAGCGCTATCACGATCAGACAAGAAAGCTTTGACTGGCATCCGCTTGGTCGAGAAATTGGAAAGGATCGGCATCGACACCATAATGGCTACCACAGCAAGTGCTAGCATTTCACCATTAGCTCTTCAAGGAGCCTTATACACACGACGTTCCATGGAAAGTCCAATGGCACAGCTAACCTTCCTCAAGACTTCGATGTCCAGCAGTGTCAGCCAGGAGAAGCTCTCGTCGTCGTCCTCCGCTTCTACATCGAGTTGCTCAAGTGAAATTCTTAGTACCAAGCCTCCACTACCACCAAAGTCAAAAGAAGAATTTGGTACATCCAGATCTGGTGCCGGGGCACCAAGACTAAATCAGCACTCCGGAAGACAGCGGCGTTCAGGTGCTGGTGCAACTAGACCAGATCTGGGTCAGGTAAAACAAGTGAATCCCGTACCAGTTACTAAGGAGTCGGCAACTCAATCAGCACTCGGTACTATAAGTTCACTCTTCTTTGGACGCAAGGGTGGGCTCCTCTAGTTCCGTTAGTTCTATAGAAAATGGGACAATACGTTCCGTAATTTCTTGCTTTTGACGATGACGATTCCTATTGTACATAACGTGTAGCCCCGTTTCCCGCAACCTGAGGATGACGATGAATGGATTTACTGTTTGGTTCAACGTCTCCTCCAGCTGTAGGCAACGGTGTCTCAAAACTCTTAGAGAAAAAAAGTCTTAGCACGGTTCTTATTCGTTCGATTTCGTTTACTCTTGGGCATGCTTTACTTAAGTAGCCTAGTCGATACGTTCGACTGTCATAATTTAATCGTAGCTCAGTGTAAACTCTTAAAATATACATCTTTAAGGAACGAATCGAAAGATTGCAATATCAAAAATCCACAAGGACAATATCGATTATCGCGCCGCAATCTTTGAGTCAATTCGTCAATTAATAATGAATGAATTCAATGCATTATTTAATCACTATATTATTTATCAGTCAATTGACTCATGCATTTGCCAGCTAATCGATTTACCTGACTTTAGAAAAATGCATTGCCGTTGCACCGATCTTAGAAATTTATAATAACTCAGGCTGCTAAATGGTACCTGCTCATCGTGAGCCGAACGAAATCCTCACGTCGGAGGTCTCCCGCGTGTCGCGTTTATTCCCCAAGGTGCATCGAGAAGATCATTTACGCGATAATTGCCACAGTAATAGCACATTATGCAATCTCACTCTTTCTCGCAACCCCTCATGTTATTATTATAAACACCCTCGTGTAATTCTATTCCATTTTGATACGGTTTCGCTTACAATTCCGACATTCGGCTTGCTGGGTTCATCGCGGAAATTTTCACGGTCTGCGTAAATTGTTTTATTCACGACTGAGCTATAATAGCCACTTTATTCCCTGAAAAGTGGAACTTACTCAGCCACCGTCATTATGATGGAAATATACGTTTTTCCAAATATTCAAAAAATTCAAAATTTTGCGGGAATAAAGTAAATTTACGGGAAAACCAAATATGCGGCAATAAAATGCTACTTTAGTCCTGCTTTTCAGGGAATAAAGTGGCTATTATAGCTCAGTCGTGAATAAAACAATTTACGCAGACCGTGAAAATTTCCGCGATGAACCCAGCAAGCCGAATGTCGGAATTGTAAGCGAAACCGTATCAAAATGGAATAGAATTACACGAGGGTGTTTATAATAATAACATGAGGGGTTGCGAGAAAGAGTGAGAGGGATAACTGAATGAGTGTACAGTAGCGTGGCTCGGTATCCGTGCACACGCCTGTAAATAGAGAAAAAAAAATATATAGAAAGAGAGTAAAAAGTCCTCGCGTCTAGCGCGCTCGAGAGAGAATGAGAGACAGGATATTGATTAATTAATTATCGCAATTGTATTACTGTAAAAGAAAATGAAAGAAGCTCCGTCGACCGCCAAGAGCCAGAGCATTTGACGACAATTCAGCACAAACTACTCCTTAGAAAATAATACACAGAGTCATTGAGTCGATCCGGTGCTGCGAAGTAACATGCTGTCACATTCTACTTTCGTTCGCTTTGGTATTCTTTTTTTTTAATTTCTATGCAACCCATCGGCTTACACTTATTATTCCATACGACGAGATTCAAGCTGTGCTATTAGATATCAAAACTATCTATGTAATCATTGAAATCCACACGTGCATGCATAAATAAATGAAGTGTCCGTTCTAATAAGACGTGTCGCGTCATCATACAGTCGTATATTAGTTCGACAATCGAATCTCGTCGTACACGTATCCATATACAAGTATATAGTTATCGTCAAAAAACAAATGATCGGTAAGCTGATGGGTTATCGAATTAGCTGTTAATGAAAAATAAGTTTCGTCTTGAAACTTGTTCTACCGTCACGCAAACGCTGGTGCCAGTCTTTGTCGTAAGATTGAGCACTCGAGCGTGCCCGCACTTAAGTCGAATTTTTCGACTGTGAAAAACAAAAATAGTAACAAAAAAGCCGTGTAAATAGCTCGGATTAACGACGCTCTGCTTTTACGAATTCCCGCCACACTATGTACAGATACTTCTTCTTTCCCGGTCATTGCGCGCGTGGTCTTTTTAATTGCGGACAATCCTGTTGTATCATAGATATTCTTTGCCTTTGTATATAGACATTTTATTTCGTTGGGATATTTCCCGTCACTGCTCTGTGCGCCCTTACGGTGGCGAGCTTAGAGACGGCCTAGGGATCGATCGTCGATCGTTTATTATTGATCAAATGGTTGGCTGCTATCTAAGTCTACGTAGCTGCCGTAGATAAGGTGAGAAGGGATTCTTACCAGCCCTGTACAGTAGATTACTTAACGGTCAAAGGGCTGCCACGTGCTTTGAAATATATATAAATATATATATATGTATATTATACTTTTTATTGATTGAAGTCCTCGATGTTATTGTTTGTTTTGTGTATTTAACCTGGTGCGCATTCTGGATTTTTTAAATAAAGTATTCTATTATCTTTCGTATCTTCACAATAATATATTTCAGGCGTTTGCCTGCGTAATCAAAGAATCTTTGTTAATTCTTTCTGTTTATGCAAATTTTTTTTTTTTTTTTTATAAGATTTGAAATTACATTTACGCTTGTTCTCATTATTCGCTAGACTTTTTTTTGATTGACGGCGCTCTTCTTTTTAGAATTCGAGTTCTTTGTTTTCGATTAATTCTACAGAGAGTAGTCGAAATTAATTTTGTAAGAAATGGTAAAACTGTACCTGCCGATCGAGGTGGCACTGATAAAGGAATGGTATTTATTTTGCAAGAAGTTTCAAATTTTCTAATCCATCTCTATATGTCCTTTTCCTTTTTCAAGTCTCTCTGGCAGCTCTAATGACCGCCATAGTCAAGCCCTTGTATCGTTGACACTATTACGATATACAGTATTAAGCGATTTTCAATAAATTTTAATTTGCCAGGTATCCCGAAAGTTTCTGAATTTTTATCCGACTTTTGCGTTTTATCAATTTGCCTTAAAGAGCAAGTAAAATGCTCGCATTTTTTTTATTGATTTATAATTGATTACATGTCATTTACAGACGATCATAAATCTCTTCTGTACGTCTAAGATGAACCAGATGGTAATACGTACGCGCAGAACATAAATATGCGACTAATCAACTGGTGTAATTAATAATCCGTTAATTACGGACCGTTATTACAGGCAAATTGAAACTGTTAAAATAATAGTGGTGTTTTGTGCAGTATATCGTACATACAAATCGAATAATAAATATATTTAAATACGATCACTCTTGGACTTTATCATTTCCTTCGATAGTTTTCTTGCAATATCCTTACTTTTTTATCTATATAAAAATAAATATTATTTATACCTTTTTGCCTTTTTGATGCCTCTTTAATGATTTGTCACAGCTTGTTGTTTGTGAAGCAACGCAAAATGATTGCGCCGTGTCTACGGTTTGGGAACCAACTCAGGCCAGTTTCGAATTTTATTGAAAACTTTCTGTCCTAGACTTAAAGTAGAAGAAATTTGACGTAGTGCAATTACCCGAACATTGCTTTGCGAAAATTCTTGAGATATGCTACAACGAATCAATTTCTGTGCCGTGTCGATCATCTGCTGACTCGGTTCCTGCTTTAAAATGAAAGCAAGGAGAATCAATGAAAGTTTCATCATGAAAAATGACGATACTTCATGCTGCTTCACATACCTTGAAATGATCCTGTGAAGGAGATTGATATAACTTTCTTACTGTAGTCATCTGTACGCAATACTTCCTGATTCCATCCACTACCTTCATATATGTTTCCACCACCTATAATTACAAATTTGTAAGCATATATGAATAAATTCGTAAATTATCAAGTTCTAATAACATTGATTTTATTTTACTTACATATACGTTGCTAAACACTCAAATAATTTTTACGAGAATGCAATGTCGTCCAAGCCACGCGCCATATGAAAGGATTGTGTAAATCGTAAAATCACGAAACATTGTTCAGTTGTAATACTTACATTGATTTGAACTTGTGTGATGTATTATAATGTTGGGAACAGGCATTGTTAGATGCGAAAGGATAAATATTCATCATTTTTCACATTATTATTTAATGTATCGTTTAATAATGCAGTATAGTTTCAAGACTTTTAATTAAAAAATTACTTTAATGTAAAGTAATGTTCAATGTAAAGAGTGAAAAAGCATGTGAAGTGTATATGTATGTGTAAGGTGGTAAGGTAATGTATGCCAAGTTATCGGCCATGTACCAGTAGTCATCTGTTGTGTTATAATACTATAGATTTTGTGATACTCAAAGCACAAACTTAAGATTACTGTCACATGATCGATGATTGGGCCATCCACCCCAGTGCTATTTTGGTTTCTCTCATTCTGTATATCTCATAAACTAGGTGCTAATTTATTTTTAAATTCTGCATCTACGACCATAAAGCACCTACCAATGCCATAAAACTAAGTTCTGTATCTTGGAAGTGTCCTTATAATCGAAACACCTCAAAGCTTCAATGATTACTCGCGTGATCATGAATTTCACCAGTTCAGAGCTACTATTAGTAATCATAAGCAGAAACAATTTTGAAATCATATAGTCCATTGTAAATTCAATGAACCTAATGAAAAAATAACATGTTACTAAAGGGAGAATACAAATTATTTAAGAAACAGTTAAATGCAGAATATATTTATTGTCAAACTATAAATGTATTAACAAAATAAACTTGTCATCTGGTAATAACTCTAATACATTTTTGGCACATATCTAGCATTGTATAATCTCATATGTTATTAATATTGAGGTTTACTGAGATACACAATTTCCTTTCCATATCTGATATGCGAAGTGACATTCAATCCTAGTAGAGCAGCTTGTTCGCGTACGCATTTCTCTTCGGGTTTAGTCAAACTTTCCGGTAGTGGCTGTCTCATCAGATTTGTGTCGTGCGCGAAGGCTTCACACAACTGTTTTGCGCCATTAGTGAAATCTTGAGATACTCTCTCGTGTCGCGAACCGTCAACACATTTTGACCAAAGTTTCTTTTCAATCTCCAAATACTTACTTTGTTTTTCGTTGACCTAAAGATCGAGTTTTTCAATATATTGTACTTTTGGAATAAAGGCAATTTTACTTACCAATTGGATTTCTTGAATAACGTCCTTATTTCGAGGCTCCATTTTATTGGCGATTTTCAGCTTCTCTAGTGCCCGAGTATATTCTCCAATTTTCAATAAGGCTCTTCCATAACTAAAAGGTATAGGATTCATTGATATCATATGAATAAATTTATGTGCAAATTATTGTTTTCAATTCACAAAAGAGAAATTACTTGAAGTGTGTCTTGGCAGTGGGTATTGGTACACTGTTACAGGCCATACAAGCCTGCCGTCCCATTCCTTCTTTATTAAAACACACAGCAAGATTTGTATAAGCTCTTGAAAGCAATCTATTCATTTCTTTTTCCTCTTCATCATTATTCAACTGTGCTGTTTCAAGCCACACAACCACTTTCCTATAACTGAAATACATAATTTATTTTTCAACATGACGAATGATTATACCATTATAAAGGTACTTACTCTCTAATAGCTTGACGAGTTTTTTGTTTTTTGAAGTTTTGTCCAGCTATGACCATCTGGTCCTTCACACGATTGACCACTCTGAAGAACATACGCTTCTCCTCGTATGTCAAACACTCTTCGACCTCGGCTGCTGCTTTTTCAATAAAGTCCACAACATGCACAGCAAACAAGACATCCTCATTAGGTGGAATACGAGGCAAGCAGCCCATTTTTCCAAAAGCCAAGTCAGGGTGGATAATAAAGTGTGCAACTTCATGTTTCCGCATAGATCTGATTCCAATTTCCAATCCAACAATGCATTCTCCACAGCTTAGGTTCAACGTATATGCATTTCTATTATTATAAGTTGAATCAAATGGTTCATCTTGGTATTCAAAGTATCCAATATATTTTATTGTAACTTGTGCATTGCATGGAATAATTTCACCAACACCATTCTGCCTCACAACTTTCATGACCTAAATGTATTAAATACAAGAGAAGTAAAACGATTTATTACAATTCAAAAAATATAGATCCTACCCTATCATTATCAACTTACTTTGCCATCTCCAGTAAGATCAGTCATCTGTTGTTTAAGTTTATCAAAGCTGGATCCAAAGGGTAATACAACCTGCCGTTCATCATTGCTTTCAACATCTTCGTCGCAAAAATCATTCATATTTAACAATTTTAACAGATCTTCATTAGTCAGACGAACATCATCTTTATATCCATATTCCTCATCATCCCCCAGATCTTGAAAGTCTTTGTCTACCTCAAAGGTGATTCCACCACCAGTCATTAAATCCCTGAAAAAGAACATTTCCACATATTTATAAAGAAATACTAATAAAGAATTAATAATACTTACTTTAGAGATGAACCTTCCACTAAGCTAACCATTTTTGAATTAGAATTTTATAGATTTCAAGCGATTCAAAGCAAATTGAATCTATAATGATCTATACTTTTAAATGCTCAGCAAGCAAATGCTCACCGGAAACTATACACTGCCACCTAGCGAATGTTTTTAGAATTTATTTTTTTATGCGAAAGATTTCGGTACCGTCGGGAAGTTAGCGCGATAAAATAAAAATTGATATGTTTAAGAAGCCTAAAAAGATGGAGACTAGAATAAAGGAGCACAAACAAGCCTGGAAACTAAACTAAATAATAAAATAGTAAATAAAATAAATTCAAGTCGACGAACCACGTTCGCATCTCAAATGTTGGACGATTGGTTCAATTTCTCTAAACTCTGAACTTGTAAACGTAGTCGTTGGACGTACTTATCATAAATGTGTTCGAAAATGAACCGGGGCAACGATGCTCGCAGCACTCTCAGCTGATCTTCGAACGCTGTGTCGTAAGTATGTTCGCAAACCAATCATATTGTTTACATTTGCAATCGAGCTAAGAGAAAATCAAATTTTACTTATAACAATATTGATAACGACAGTTGGTAAAAGCGGATATGTATTTGTTTTAGAAGAGAAGTTTAGAAAAGATGTGAACATGACTTTAATGCACTTAACATCCGTTTCTATCTTTGAATTATGCACCATGTTTGGCGTAATAATAACGTTATTGGAGGTGGCACAAAATTCTTGCAATAGTGGCTTATATAACCAGTAATTCGCGATGATTAATACTATTATACTGAAAACTGAAAATCTAACCAATGTTACAGCAGGGTATTCACAGATTCGATTATCTTGAATAAAATGGCGAGCAAATATAAACCCTACTTTAATTTCAACCGGTGGATTAATTAAAGGATAAATGTTGATTTAATTTAAGAATGCTTATCAGATAATTTAACATTAAATAATCGTGCATTCAGGCTCTTATCTAGATATTTCATGATCCACGCCGACTCTCAGCATCTTTCGACTTTTGTCCACCATATTGTTGATGTGTCACGTGACGAGAGAGCAGTGAGGTGAATGCGCCGGGTCAAATTCGCTGGAACAGTCAAAAATTCACGTGTGTTAATTGATACAGCAGCCACATATACTCGGAAAAAATGGATCCACGAAAATTAACGGAATTACTGCGCGCAACGATAGACCCGGCCCAGCAGAAGCAAGCTGAGGAACAACTCAATCAGGTAATAATCTTGAAAAACGTGCTTCGTTGCCCGGTCAACTAGAGCCGCCCGAACATGTGGCTTCTTTCCCTGTTCCTCGAGATCATCCACACCTTACTTCTCTTTGTATTCTTTGTATATCTTCCTGACTTTTCATTCTGCCTGTATGTACTTTAGAATGTTCTAGTTGGCTCACGTTGTCTGGAAATGTCAGCGAAACTCAATTTCTAGATACAGCATACATATATCGTATAGAACCACATGCTTTAGAGCATTCTATCTTGTCCGCCTTTTTATACTTTTTGTCTTTGCGTAGAAATTATCCATTTAATATTGATACCCAACGCGATTCCAATTATGATTTAAATTCATTATTGTTCATCTCTTCTAGATAGTGTGACCGTGGCAATTGCAATCTTTCTTACATTTCATGTTAAATGGAGTGGTAACCTTGGAAGATATTTCAAGATGCCAGAGAGCCTATTGGGATATTATAAATTTGAGAAAATAAGAATTTTCTAACAAAAATTATTTAAGTAATTGAGTCAAGTTATTTTTAGTGACACTATAAGTGCAATAAGTATGTCAATATATGTATATATACATACACACATATGATTAAAGTGTCCTTTAAAATGACTTTTGACGAATACTTATCTTTAACCGATAGTGAAAGCAGATAAAAGAAATGTTTTAAGAGTTTTTAGAATTAGCAGTTAGGGAAATATTTAAATGTGCCAATATTTTTTCAGATTCACAAAATCATTGGGTTTGCACCAAGCCTTTTGCAGGTAGTAATGTCCACAGAAGTAGATAATCCTGTAAGACAAGCTGGTAAGTGCAATATTTTAGTGCAAGATATCTTGCGTATTATTATGGCCTAAATATAAGAACATTAGGCAACGGTATTACATATAATTCATATAAATAAACCTTCGTAGTAAACAATACCTAATGTGAAATATATATTTAGCATTTTCAAATATTTAATTTTTTGATAAAGCTATTGAATACTGAAAACTTATACAAAGCAAGATCAACATGAGAAGACCATAATATGATTTTATTTTGTCTCAGGTGTGATATATTTAAAAAATCTTATCACAACAAATTGGGCTGACCGAGAGGTAGAGAATGGTCCAGTACCATTTAGTATTCATGAACAGGATCGTGCTATGATACGCGATGCAATTGTTGATGCTGTAGTACATGCACCAGAACTTATCAGGCAATTATTTAAATGTTTGAATATTATTTCAAAAAATTTATCTTAGAGAATTTATATAACATGTTATTATGCTTATTTAGAGTGCAACTTGCAGTATGCATAAGCAACATCGTAAAACACGACTTCCCTGGACGGTGGACACAAATTGTAGACAAAATCACAATTTATCTTCAAAATCCAGATGCTTCCTGCTGGCCTGGCGTTCTCTTAGCTCTGTATCAACTTGTTAAAAACTTTGAGTAAGACTTGTCATTGTAGCTTTCCTACATGACTCACATACTTTAAAAGATTTACTTAGTAAAGACTGTGCATATCCTCTATAACAGATACAAGAAAGCAGAGGAGAGAGGACCATTAAATGAAGCAATGAACCTCCTGTTTCCTATGATTTACCAACTGATATTACGATTGCTACCAGATCCTTCAGAACAGTCGGTTCTTTTGCAAAAACAAATACTCAAAATTTTCTTTGCTCTTACTCAGGTAGATTCAAGATATTTCTTTCTTTTTCTTTTAAATGATGCCAGAGAACATGTTATTATTTGAATGTTTTCTTATAGTACTCACTTCCCCTGGATCTTATCTCGAAGGAGGTATTTTCACAATGGATGGATGTGGTGCGGCAAGTTGCAGATAGACCAGTTCCACTCGAAACTAATAATCCTGAATTAGACGATGATGAACGAGCAGAATTACCATGGTGGAAATGTAAAAAATGGGCTCTTCATATTCTACACAGAATGTTCGAAAGGTAACATACTTTTGCATAGATACTCCAATCCTTAGTTAAACCACGTAAATTCTATGGTTACTATTATGAACGTGTCAATGAATTGTATTTTAGATACGGAAGCCCAGGAAACGTAACCAAAGAATATAAAGAATTTTCGGAGTGGTACCTGCAAACTTTCAGTGGCGGAATACTCGAGGTCCTTTTAAAGATTTTGGATCAGTATCGCAGAAAAATTTACGTCTCGCCAAGAGTTGTGCAGCAATCTATTAATTACATTAATCAAGGGTACGTCTTCATTGTCAGCTGATTATTTTTAGGTTTATAAATTCGCTATAAATATCTTACCTTGCTATCCGCTGTCTTAACTTCTATTAGATATATTTTATGTTCTTGCAGAGTGAGTCATGCATTCTCGTGGAAATTCCTGAAGCCACACATGTTTGAAATAATTCGTGATGTATTGTTTCCAATACTATCTTATTCAACAGCAGATGAAGAACTTTGGAATAACGACCCTTACGAATATATAAGGGTTAAATTTGGTAACATTCATATCTAATTTTATACTACTATTATTCTCTTACAATTATTTAGAGTATAATTTTACCATTGATATTTAGATATTTTCGAAGATTTTGTTTCGCCAGTGTCTGCAGCGCAGACACTTCTTCATTCAGCATGCAAAATACGAAAAGACATGCTGCAGAAAACTATGCAATTCTGTATGGAGGTTTTAACCAGTCCTAACGCAGATCCAAGACAGAAAGATGGTGCATTACACATGGTACGCTTAGGATGACAGTGCATGTCTTTATAATCGCATTACGCAAGTTTCTTCGAATAATATGTATTCATTTTATATTCAGGTCGGAAGTGTAGCTGATATATTGCTCAGGAAGAAACTTTATAAGGAACAAATGGATAAGATGCTCCTGCAGTACGTGTTTCCGGAATTTAACAGTCCTCATGGCCATATGAGAGCAAGGGTACAGATCTCTATTAATGTGTTAATAAAATAGAATCAGACCAAGATTCTCTGATTATCTCAATTACAGGCATGTTGGGTTCTACGCTTCTTTTCCGAGATTAAGTTCAAACAGGAACAGATTTTGGTGGAAGCAATTAGATTGACCACTAATGCTCTCCTGACTGATCAAGACTTACCTGTCAAAGTAGAAGCTGCTATAGCTTTGCAAATGCTTTTGTCTGCTCAAGACAAAGCTGAAAAGTACATTGAACCATTAGTAAAGCAAATTACGTTGGAACTTCTGACGATCATTAGAGAAACTGAGAATGATGACTTAGCCAGTGTTTTACAAAAGATTGTCTGCACATATACGGAGCAATTGATGCCTATTGCTGTGGAAATTTGTCAGCATCTTGTAAGTTTGTAAAATTAAATAACAATTTATCCATTATTATTATTATTATTATTATTTAATAACTATTAAGATGAATATCTCGGTAGTTGGACATTTCCTAATGAGTCGACTCGTTTTCATTCTTTAAGAGAAGCGAATTTCTTCCATATCTCGTATAATTATAACTGAAATTACAAAACTTGAGTCTATATCTCTACATGTTCAATCCCTGAAATATTTAACGTAATTATGCATAATTTTTTAGGCTGCGACGTTTAGCCAAGTCCTGGAAACAGACGAAGGAAGCGACGAGAAAGCTATTACAGCTTTAGGACTCTTGAACACTATTGAAACTTTGTTGACAGTTATGGACAAGCAACCTCAAATTATGGCGCAACTGCAACCAACTGTTTTACAAGTAGTGGCCCATATTTTTGGTCAAAGTGTCATGGGTAAATTTTGATTAAATATTTTTATAAACTTTCCTGTTAGGTGGGAGAGTTCTTATCAATTATATTAACTGTCATAATTTTTATCGTATTATAGAGTTTTACGAAGAAGCTCTGTCACTAGTTTGCGATCTGACTGGTAGATCCATTTCAGAAGATATGTGGAAAGTTCTGGAGTTGATATATCAACTATTCCAGAAAGATGGCTTCGATTATTTCACTGACATGATGCCAGCTCTGCATAATTATATCACTGTAGATACACCAGCTTTTCTATCTAACACGAATCACATTCTGGCTATGTTTGATATGTGCAAGGCTGTGAGTACTTATGTTTTCTTAAGATGTTTGAACCAACAAATGTGCAGTCCGCATAAATACCCATAATACTCTTTTTATTTTAAAGATATTGACTGGTGAGGCTGGAGAGGATCCTGAATGTCATGCAGCAAAATTACTTGAAGTTATTATACTGCAGTGCAAGGGCCATATAGACCAGGTACGCTCATATATCATAAATATAATACAAGTTTAGTATGATAAAAATAATTAATATCTTAATTTCAGTGTATACCTTCCTTGGTACAACTGGTTTTAGAGCGTTTAACACGTGAGGTCAAGACCTCAGAATTAAGGACTATGTGTCTTCAAGTGGTCATCGCAGCTTTGTACTACAATCCTGCACTTTGTCTCCAGGTCATGGACAGACTTCAGGGAAGTCTGGGACAGTCAACCGAGCCAATTGCTTCTCACTTTATTAAACAATGGATACACGACACAGATTGTTTCCTAGGGTAAGATTTTATTTTGCATCTAATATCAACGAGTTAGAGAATATACAATAATACTTTTTATCAGTTTGCACGATCGTAAGCTGTGCGTCCTGGGACTTTGCACTCTAATTAGTATGGGACCTGCCAGACCACCCGCAGTCAATGAATGTGCACAGCAGATTATTCCATCATTGATTTTACTCTTCGACGGCCTTAAAAGAGCTTATGCCGCCAAGGTGATTGATGGCGATGATGAAGAGAATGACGATGAAGAAAGTGATCTCGATGAAGGTATGACTTTAGACGGGTAGGATAAAAGGATCCTTCATGCTTATTACATAAAATTCTCATTTACAGAGGTTCTATCCTCCGACGAAGATGAAATCGATGATGCCGGTCAAGAATATCTTGAGAAACTCCAAGAAAAGGTAACGAGAGCTTCAACTCAGCATGGTTTCAACGTTACGGGTGCCATACAGGATGGTCATGGAGACCACAGATCCGATGACGATGATGATGACGATTCAGATTACGAAGCTAATGAGGAAACTGCTCTTGAAAGTTACGTCACACCTTTAGACTCTGACGATACTAATCAGGATGAATATGTTGTCTTCAAGGAAGTCATGCAAAGTGAGTATAAACTAAATAATCAGTATGTATTTACAGAATAACCATCTGATTTACATTGAAACATATTCAAACTGAAAAGAATAGACGAAAATATTTTAGGACTTTAAATTCTAATGAATGTAATGCTATTATTTAGATATTGAAAGAACAGATCAGCCTTGGTACGAAGCTTTAACCAGTCACCTGACTTCGGAGCAGCATAAAGCTTTGCAAGAAATTATTGTCCTGGCTAATCAACGTAAAGCAGCCCTGGAGAGCAAACGAATTGAACAAAGTGGTGGTAAGTAATTTCATTTTTATCAACCAATCAGTATATCCGGGTTACATACAAGCATTGACCTATTATATAGATTGATTACATTTCTTTAAAATCTGTCTGAGAAACGGGATGTAATTTTTTGATGTTCAGGAGTTTAGAAAGATGTGTGGGACCGTCAGAAACGGTAAGTCCTAACGCAATGCATTTACTTTCTAGGTTATGCCTTTCACTCGCAGACTGTGCCCACCTCATTTAATTTCGGTGGTACTACTCTAGGCCGATAAGGAATCTTAACGTTTCTATTTTAGACTAAGTAAGTGACGGAAAAAAAAATTATAAAAACTGAATTGAACACTTATAGCACGCGACTGTAACATGATCACTTCGAAGACATTATGCATTTCCTATTAACTATTTTTGTGTAAACTACTTGTAAATGAATAAGGCAATCGGACGAACTCTTATTCTAAAGCTGTTCAAGGAGTTTCATTTCTCTGAGATCATCCTTCCGTGTAATGTCTTGTTTTAATCAGTCGATACGCCAGTGCCCGCAATTCTAATCCTTTGTCACGCGACGGTATATAATTCGTTAAAAAAAACATCTCGGACACTAATTTATTATTTGAATAATTGTACAATTTTTATCATGTCCAGTGAGCTGTACTGTGTATTATAATTGGACAAATTATAAATTAATTTAATCGCTGTCTGAATAATACTTTCGGTGAAAAGGATAGTAACGCGAACAGCTGGCTGGATGCGTATTCTCGTCCAAGGAATGAAAATGCTATGTCTCTATCCTTCGCAAGGTCTTATATTACAAGCTATCAAAAAAGCATGTTTTGCTTTATACAAAGTTTGTTAAAGAAAAGGTTTAAAAAAAAAAAAAGAACGAAGAGGGAAGAAATATGTTAAATTGTTGGTATATAAATATATGGAAGGCTAATTTTTAATACACCAACCAAAAATATTTTCATTTCTAATCTTTAAATAGCAGTTCTTATAATTCTAATTTACTTTATTGCACTTTTATCGATTTGCCACAGCAATACCATTCTCTACTCTTCCGTAGTATCACGAGGACGTATAATTACGACTTGCGAAAATTTCTACACGTAACGTATAGCCATTATTCAGTTCGCGTTAAATCTCAGCACAGCTTTGTTCTCTCACTTTATTATTTTGAATCATATGTTCCCTAGTTGCAAATAATCTAGTATGCAAGCAAGATAATACAGCAAAAGTAAATAAATAAATAAATAAATAAAATATTATATCAGAGCCCAAAACGATAATGGCGTACAAAGAAGGGGTGTTCTGTGCTGTGGTTAAGTGAAGTGGTTGACTGTATTGCACAAGTGCTCGCTTTGTGGAGCATAACCAAAAAGACCCATGTCAATTAAGTATTGTTCCAGGGTTTCTGAATCATTGTATTTATAATGAAGCTGTTTTGTTAAATGTATTACGTTTTACGTTAAATATAGGATTGCAAGAAATACCAAGATAGTTCCAATTTTGACCAATTAAGGATTTCATACTTATTCTTAATGCGTGATTTTTATTCTTGTTGTTCTTTATATATATACAACTTTTTTAAATTTTGCTTTGAATGCGAAGCAATGCGAATATTTCAGATCAACTCATGTCAAGGCACGAATGACAATCTTCTATTCTGTCCATATTATTACTTGATATATCATCCTTTGCCATGAGTTCCCTAGTCGATCTACGAATTGCTCACGATTGTTCTATTTGTTACGAAAGTGTGTGATTCTTATTGCAGAGTTGTTCTTTTATATTGTCTATCGATATTGATGATGGGAAATTCGAATCACTAAAAATCATTGGATTACGAGCGAATTATATAACGGTGCATTCTGTTACGTAAAATTTTCCATGTAATTCTTTAAACCTTGAAAAAGCGAGGAGTCACTGAAACGTTAGAGACAAATTTTCATGTGTGAAGATTGGCGTATTTATAATCTTAGCGAGACACGAATTGTCGATACAAAATCGTCATATGAGAGTAAAATTAGTGAAAAACAAAATTGGGCGTGTATATCGTTTTTTTGTAAATTATTGTTAAAGCATCATATTGTTGTGTTTAATTTTTTTTAAATCGATTCTTTGCAATTCCGCTATTGAATTCGAAAAATTAATTCCCACGGTTGTAAGTCCTATAGAGCCTCAAGGAACTGTACGGAAGTTTTGTTCGTTCGAGCAATCCGAGGCGTTAGCAATTTTCTTTTTTTATCTATTTTTTTTTTTTTTTGTATAATGCAGTATTTTATTGTTGGTAGTGCTCTTATATTCGATACGGTACTTATAGCGATTTCCTCGTGTAGCGACACAAGAGTTTTAGTTGATCAAATTTGGAACGACGGGGAGGAGTTTGTTATCTCGTTAATCCGGTTTTGTATAAGGTTTTCGGAAAAAGTGCCTTGAAAAGTTGACGGAGATGGGACCTAAAATAAAGAATACAGCGAAGGATGCTGTAGGTCGGACTGAGGCCAGGACACTTCTCTAGTTTATAAGTTCCATAGGTACTGTACTAACGTATAATAATAATAATAATAATAATAATAAGATGAGGAGGATGATGATGATGATGAAGAAGATGAAGATGAAGAAAAAAGAAACTGTTCGTTTGCTCTTTCAATGGTCTAGGATATTTTTGTTTATAATGGAAAGTTCACCGTTTTGTAGTTTTTATATAATAATATTTAAATTATAATAATCATAGCAATGGTAAGTCAAAAAAAGCGAAAACGGTGAAACGTACAGATAAGTTCTTGACATTGTATAAGATGGTGAGAGGTAAGACATAGGCTATATATTGGTGCTTTAAATATTTGGCTGATGCTAATTGCCAACTTCATTATTAAACTGGGTGTGCAGCCAATAATGAGTACTTGTTCTTCTTTTTTTTATTTAACCAAGACCTTGATGTTGCCGTGTACGAATAATAAGATCACAATAATAGGATCAGCTGGTATTATTTACTCGTCAACGTTGTAAACTCCATGATAAAACGGTGGGGTTTAAGGTAAACATGTACATATACACGTCCTTTGTAGTTAATTATTCAAAATGTTAATCACAACAGACATCCTTTGTCTGTTTTATGGAAGGTTCGTCTAAAACAATTTAGTATCTCCAAATCTTTCGCTACACCTAACCAATTTATACCGCATAACTTAATAATTATAAATATACATGTGTAAACAATCGCCAAACCCCCATTGTAGCTAAAGTATTACCTATGGACAATAATATTTAAAGGAAGTCTAAGAAAAACCGATAACATTCTTATTGTAATCCTTTCGCTAAAGATCTTGCAATAATTCTACAAAAAAAAAAAAGAAAATGTGTATACCGCATAAGTACTGATTCAGAGACATATCGAAAGTACAAAGCTTGACGGAATAATTGTACCGTTTGCCATTGAGGCATAGTGACACGCATCGTATGCTGTTGCTTTGAAAGTTTCGAATCGATATTTTTATTATTTTTCTTATTACATAATTACATTATCAACATTCACGAATATTCTGTTGTTACCTGTCTTTCGTACCAAGGCGGAACGAACGAAAAATGAATGCGCACTATTAATAACGTCACGCCTTGCTCAAGATATTCCTTGGGATTAGTATCCGCTGCCGAAGATGAAATTTAAATCTATAAATATACGGATCACTGTCTGCCTTGATTCGAGAGATCATCAATGTATCACTAACCGTTTGTGAATTCGGAAATAGTTGCAGAGGCTGAGTAATCATATCTCGTTAAGATATACTATTGTTTTTAATAGTTTGTACTTCCTCAGCAAAGATTTGCATAGCTTAGATGGTGGCAAAGGATTCAGAGAATTGAGGACAGCTGTGGCGTGCCGTTTCCTTGTGCTATTTCTCCTAATTTAACAATTGTCATCTGCTAGTTTTATAGCGCTTGTGATTTTCGAAGGCTTATACAATAATTCATTCGTCTATCCGCGATGCGAGATAATACAACGTCCACGATTCTTCATTATCATTCACATTTATCTCCTAATATCTGCACAATTGGCGTCCATCGTTGAACTGTTTGCCAAAATTCTTATCGTTCTAATAAAAAAAAAAAAAAATTCACCTAATTCAATTTGTCATGTTATTACAATGGTTCGTGCTCTTCCCCAGTAAACATGTAACTCTCTAATGCGGATTATTAAGTATCCATAGTGTCCTTCCTTTTACGATGGTGCGTACAAGAACAGAGAACAATTTTTAAAAATCGATATAAGTGCACCGATAAAGCCGAACTGATAAATTCGTGCCAAGATCACTATGTGAACCCCTCATTGACCGTATTTAATCATAAAAAATCGGGATGTGTACGCCGCTTTCGCCAAGCCAAGAAAATCTTCATGACTTTTTGACTTTACAACTATGTCTGCAAATAAATGTAGTCTTGATTACAAAGTTAAGATTGACAGCTAGTACAAGAATCTATATCACTTTCATTGGTAAACAGGGTTTTAAAGTGAAATTACTATCCGTACGTCTAGCGAGTCAAAGTACCGACGACTCTTGCGCCATGCGAGATACACTTTAATAAGATCAAAAAGAGACAAATGAAGGATAAGATCGAAGCATTTTGAAGGACGATACGTTAGGCTTCGTTATTGTTAACCAGCAAATAAAAGTGTACGTCGCATTTTTGTATGTTTCTAGAATTTAATTTTACTCGTCGCAACTTAGCTTGACACACTGATCGTAAATACAGTATGGCTATACAGACATAACTGTCTCCCGTGTCTTTTTGTCTCATGGTCTTTCCGTGATTAGTAAACTCTGCGTTTTCGAACGTTTTAGTAATTTATTAGCCAAAAGCATAAAATACTTGATGGATTAAATGTTTGAAGGCCTGGCAAGACGTGAAGAACGTAATTATGTATAAAGCGGAGACACAAGTTGTGATGAACGCGCTGTGCCGCTCTGTACTCGTCCAGTCTTTCAGGATTTCTCCCTCGATTGTGAGTCTCTGCAGGAGTGTGTACAGTGTGATCCAAGAGGCAATGTATCACTTGAGACATCGTTCAAAGAAAAATGAGCCTACGTATCCACCTCGCATTGCTTTCGATACATTTTGCTCAAATACTCTCCGATTATTCTGTAAAACCTCTGCTGCATCTTTATTTAATGGATCTTCCGGATTGGGTTCCTGAAAGATGAAGAACGATGATATAGAGTGCATATATAAGAATATATATTCATTTTATATAGAAGACAAACAATATTAAGACATACTAAGAAGAGATATTGTAGTCCATAAACGATGGAGTTAATGGTGAGAACAGGTTTCCAATCTTCTCTCAGAATATTTAAACAAACATTACCCTCTAAGTCAATATTTGGATGATAAACTTGTGTCTCACATTTGACTTTTGGTGGTTCGTGTGGATAGTTGGGTCCAACCTTAAAACTAAATACGAATCGTCCACCTCTATAAAAACCCTGAAATAAGATAAAAAATCAATAACGAGTGGTAAAATGTGGAGTACGCTGCATTTAAACAAGATCATATATGATGATTAGACAAAAATGAATACTTTCGGAAACTGCATGCTTTTGAAATTACGACGTGAAAAAGCAATATACATTATTCATATCCTACATACTTCGTCAGGACAGATAATTAACTTAAAACTCAGCAGGTCATCAGGGTCTGGAAATTCTGTGCCGCATGTTTTCGGTAGGTTGAGCTCATTTATGTCTATAAAAATAAAATAAATTTATATTAAAATTATCAATGCATTACTCTTGAGTGATGAATAATTGATATTTTGCCAAATCGCACCTTTCGTAATCCTCAGCTGCGCTGCAGAGGCCTTCTTCTGGGTTCCAGCTTTCGGAGATTCGCCATCTTTTTTCGCTTGTTTCAACGAAAATAATTTAATCATGTTAAACTATAAGTTTAGCTGCAGCGTAATGAGGCATACAAGTACTTTTATTGAAGCGTGTTCACGACGAGAACAAAAATATATGAAAAACCTACAATTTTTGACAAGGGGATCAACTGGCTATAGGAAACCTGTCTCCCCCGACTATTATCACGTGCGACAAAAATTCGGCCACCCGAGGCTAAACTCACGGCGATCGCATTCGTAATCAACGAGATCCCACTCTAAAGTGGAGTTCACACGTCGTTATATATTAAAAAAAAATTATCTTTGTCCACTAGCTATAACTCTTGTTTTTACAAAATTATATGGCACGAAAATTACAAATGTAGCTCATATGACGATTAACTTGTAACTTCTAATCACTTCGAATTTGATCAATCAAGCTTTCTAGAAAACTTTATAACTTTTCAATGTGCATGTCTGCATTCTATTGCATCTGCATGCAACAATGCAGTCTAGATCATTCGTTCACATTGGTTCACATAGAAATAAGGATCCGACAAGTAACTATTCGTTTCCGTGGTAACGGATCGAATGTCAAAACAAATCTTTGATTTGATGTCAAAGTATTCGCGCAATCTTATACTTTTTGCTACAATTGTTAAATTGTGCATTTTTAACTGATAAACAAATAAAACAATATGAGAGCTCATCCAACATGGGTTGATAAAGTTCAAGACAAAACACAGCAATGGTGATTATAATTGATTACATTACATTTTGTTTCACACCTTGTAATATTTATAATAATATTTAATAAATGACGTTTACTAAAGTTTTTGACGATAAGTTATTGATGCAGTAACGCTTATTTATTTGTAAAACGTGGATTTAAAAATGAGTGAATCTACTTATATGAATTTTTTTTAAATGATGAAGTTCCAATAGAAAATACAATAGAAATTAATCTTTATTCCATTCTATTTTAGCATATATGATCTCTGTTTCAATCCTGATGGATCACAATTGGTAGTTGCTGCTGGACAGCAAGTACTGGTTTATGAAACTAGTGAAGGTGGTTTAATTCAACCACTCAAAGGTAATTATTACGCTTCAACATAAAGAATGAAACCCAATATAATATATAAATTAATGTTACATAGGGCATAAGGATACGGTGTACTGTGTTTGCTATGCCAGAGATGGAAAAAAATTTGCCTCTGGTAGTGCAGACAAAAGTGTGATAATATGGACATCAAAACTTGAAGGAATTCTAAAGTATTCGTAAGTTACCATTAACATATTATATGTAATATAATATTGAAGATTATTTGTTTCATATTCTACAAATTTGTGTAGGCACAATGAAGCTGTACAGTCTATGCAATTCAATCCAGTATCTCATCAACTTTTGAGTTGTTCTTTATCAGACATTGCATTCTGGTCTTCAGAACAGAAAGCTGTTCAAAAATACAAATCAGGTGGAAGGGTGAATTGTTGTGCATGGACCAAAGATGGTCAATATTTGGCTATTGGTTTAGCGGCTGGATATGTGTCAATAAGAAACAAAGTACGGCATTTTACAAAGAAATCCTATAGATGATTAATTCTTTAAAATTATATTTAAAGTTTCTTTCAGAATGGAGAAGAAAAAACGAGAATTGACAGATCCAGTGGGACACCTATTTGGAGTTTATCATGGAGCCCTATTAAGTAATTATTTTTCAGTAAGGTTGACCATATTTCTATAATAAATTTACTTTCCAGAGATGATACAGTAGATATACTGTGCATTGCTGAATGGTGTGGCACGTTGTCATTTTATACTATCAGTGGAAGTCCAGTTGGACGGGATAGATCTCTTAATTGTATTCCATTGCATGTCACACATTTTCCAGAGGGTCAATACATACTGGTTTCTGGTAGCAATAAGCGATGCCAATTAATGACTCATGATGGTATACAATTAGCTAACATTGGTAACATATTTTCATCCTGGGTTTGGAGTTGTGCTGTTCACCCAGCATCATCTCACGTTGTAAGATTATTATTCCGGTTTACATCAATTTCAAAAATATAAGTAATACCATATACAATGATTAAATTACAAAATGGTCTAGGCGATCGGTTGTCAAGATGGTACCATTACGTATTTACAATTGTCCTGGAGTACAGTTCATGGATTGTACGGTGATAGATATGCGTATAGAGAAAATATGACTGATGTTATAATTCAACACTTGGTGACAAATCAGAAAGTGCGAATTAAGTGTAAGGATCTTGTAAGTATTGAGAGAATAAAATTTATAAGTATTGCTGTATTGGTTTTAAAAGTAAAAATTGTTTATAAGGTATGCAGAATTGCTGTATATCGCGATAGACTTGCTGTACAATTACCAGAGCGTGTAATAATATATGAGCCTTCTGGAAACAGTGAAGGAATGCATTATCGTATTCGGGACAAACTTGCTCAAACACTCAATTGCAATCTTCTAGTTGTCACAACGAATCATTTGGTACTGTGTTTGGACAAACGATTACAAAGTCTCACATTTACTGGTGTTATTGAAAGAGAATGGATTCTCGATGGTTCCATCACGTATATTAAAGTAGCTGGAGGTCCAGCTGGTCAGGAATGCTTGATAGCAGGTCTGTATATTCTTTAAAGTTATATACGAATCGTAATATCAATTTTTTTAATTTTATAGGATTAAAAACGGGTCAAGTTATTAAAATATATTTGGACAATCCTTTCCCTGCGCATTTGGCTAAAGTAGAAGGAGCTGTGAGGTGCTTGGACATCAGTTCACTGAAAGAAAAACTTGCGGTAGTCAGTGAAACGGGTGTCTTGTCAGTATTTGATTTACATACAGAAGAAAAAATACGAGAATTTCAAGATATTACCAGTGTAGCATTCAACAGCGCATTTGAAGATATAATGTGCTTTTCCGACGCAAACAATTTGTCCATAAAAGTTGCACAATTTCAGGAATACAAGCAAAAGTTTTCTGGTTTTGTAGTCGGTCATAATGGATCAAAACTTTACTGCTTGAATGGATCATCAATCATCACAATAGAAGTAATATATTTAGAGAAAATATAAGAATACTTTTTTACGATAAAATTGAAAAATTTAATCGTTTTCTGTTCCAGGTACCTTTATCATCATCGATGTATCACTACTTAGAAATTGGTCAGTTCGAAGAAGCATACGCCATAGCTTGTCTGGGAGTTGCAGATACGGATTGGCTTGCATTAGGCATAGCTGCACTTGATAATCTAGAATTAAATATCGCCTACTCAGCCTTTGCGAGAATCAAGAAGCTACGTTATATAGAAATAGTATCAGAGGTCGAAGAGAAACTAAAATCTGGTGAATGGGGACGCGAAGCTTGTATGGCCATTGCTGCTGCAGCAATGGGTAGACTTCGCGAGGCTGCAAGATTATATCAAAAAGCAGGATTACAACAATATGCGTTGGATATGTATTCTGATTTGAGAATGTTCGACATGGCACAGGAGTTTATAGCCAGTGGCGATACACAGGTATATGTATATGTAGTCTATTGAACTCTTATACAATATTTTATGAAGATTAATAAATCGGTAATGTTTTCTATATTATATTACAGGACCGAACAGTATTATTACGTCGTAGAGCAGAATGGGCAAAAAGTTTAGGAGAGCCACGTGCTGCTGCCGAGATGTTTCTTTCCGCAGGAGATATACAGCGTGCGATAAATATTATAGCAGAATATGGATGGATCGATATGCTCATAAAAGTTGGCAGACAACTGGATAAGGCTGAAAGAGAAAGTCTTTCTATAATAGCAAAGAAACTTCGACAGTTGGGAGCCACTCACGGCGCTGCTGAAATATTTAGTCGTCTCGGTGATGATCCTGATGTAGCTGACGTACTCGTCGACGCGCAGGCATGGCCTGAGGCTTTCGAGTTGGCTGAAAGGAATCCAAAACTTAAGCCTCATGTGTATGGACCTTATGCTAGATGGTTGGCTGAAACCGGACGTTTTTCAGAAGCTCAACAAGGTAATATAAGACAGCTGATATTGATGTGATGAAATTACTTACCAACAGTTGCACCTATGAGTTTTCACATAAATTTTACACTGTAATTAGCTTTTCAAATGGCTGGCCAGCCTGAAGAATCTATAGCTGTTCTGACAACGTTAGCCAGAAACGCAGTTACAGAAAAGAGATTTCGAGATGCATCATACTTGTATTGGCTTCTCTCTCAGTTGAGTCTCGAATTGCCAAAGAGTGACGAAGAGACTAATACTGTGTTTCAGATGTATTCTGACAAAGCAGATATTTACTACGCGTATCACGAAGTTTACAAGTATTTGGCAAGTTCATAATTTATGTAATAAATCTTTCGAAAGTTTCTTGTCAGATCCTGTCATTTAATATGAATTTATTTCTTTCAGGAAGAACCTTTTACTTCACTCATGCCGGAAGCTCTCTTTAATATCTCTAGATTTCTATTAATGAAGACACAAGATATAGAGTTAGAAGGTGTATACAAGTTAACTATAATATATGCTCTCGTAAAGCAGGCTCGACTACTGGGTGCAAATAAATTAGTAATGCAATTATTTGAACGACTTAGAGGAATGAAGATTCCGGGAAATCTCTTAGCGCAGGCAGAGATATCAATGCTGGGAGCCAGATCATATCCATATAGAGATCCAGAGGAATTGTTACCATTGTGTTACAGATGCTCGACATTTAATTCCTTACTACCAGCTAGTAACGTTTCAGGAAACAGCTGTGTCCAATGCGGACTGAAATTCCAACACTCATTTGTTATGTTTGGTACGGAAATTATTAACAGTCAAATATAATTGTCAACTATGTGTATTATTTATTTATTTATTTTGTAACAGAAATTTTACCCGTCGTTGAATTTGAATTGGAGGAAAGTATCAGCGATGAGGAGGCTGAAAAATTAATAGAGGAACCTTTACCAGCTTCAGATAGTTCTGCTGTTGAAGATCAATTGACAATATCCAACAATGTGGCGGATTTATTTACTGCGCGTTTGATACGATACGAAGTATGATTTATTAAATTTTGAATTATTGAATTGGATAAAATGATATTTGTTTCAGGATAAATTGGGTGACTCGAAAATAACTGTGGGACGAGGTGTACTAAGAAGTATGGAACCTTCCAGTGTATTAATAGCTAAATGGCCTAAACCATTCAAGACACGATACTTTAGGAATCTCTTACCAGATCTTCAAATAACATTATGTAAAACATGCTTTAAGGTATGTCTATTTGAATATAAGTAAATATAATTTATCTTATTTTCAATAATGATTATTTATTTCAGTTATTTCATTCTGATGATTATGAATTATCTTTACTACGACATGGGCATTGTCCATTCTGTCGGACACCTAATGTCGCTGCAAGCCAAAGTCTTTAAAACCCCAGATGTACACCACGGGTCTCAAAAATTGAAGTATTCGACCCTGGCAGACTTTAAGAAATGAAATCAAAAAACTCGAAGTTATATTTTATTGAGAAAAATGACAGTCTCACTATTTTTAGATTTTGTATCGTACCCGTTAAATATTCTTTTTATGGAAGTTTGGGGAAATAAAAGTATTCCGTCCAATTGCAATGTCTGTCTGATTATTGGCGCGAGAACGAAATACTTTACAATATTTAACAGTTCCCTACTGACCTAGTTCCATAGGTTCCTAGTTATATAGTCACTTAAAGTTAATAAGTATTAAGGTCCCAGATGGATCAGGATAGCTACCGTTTATCAACCTATATGGAGAAGCACACTACGAAATAAGAAACTGGACAGTCTCAACGATTAAACTGCATCGAATCTAATTTTAATGATTTAAGCAGAAAATAAATATATAACGGTAAAGTATTACACGTGTACAGTTCCATGAACGATAACAGTTAAGCTCACAAAAATCGGCAAGTACCTGTTAATTGCTCTGATTGTCGAGCAAATAACTCCCGTTATTTAGATCCTAACAGATCTTAAGAGATGCAGAAAACTAGACAGAAGCTCAGTGTTCATCTCAAACATGTTCGAGTTACTTTTGGCAGTGATTTTTGCTGCAGCAACTATAACATCCGGTCAGATTTCAATACAGGGCCATACCCTGGGGGATGATACTATCAATGATATATCACCTCATGCCGCTGTTTCAGAACGTCAAGGGAAGTGTAAGTTTAATCTTGAGTGGAAAAGAAAATTTGTTATTTTTATTTAATATACGCTTCGTGAATTCTCTGGTACTTTAATATCTGTTCAATGCATCCCTCAGGGATCCTGAGTATGAACGTGAAAAGTTAACAATAATTTTTTATGGTGCAGTTTTTCCACTGTTCAGCGTGGTGCGGTTCGCTAATTCTCAGTGTACTGGAACGAACAACTTCAATGGGACATGTTTCACACGAAGAGAATGTACCAATTATGCTGGTACAGCATCCGGAACTTGCGCTAATGGACTTGGCGTTTGCTGCGTATGTAAGTACATTACAAAATGCATTCAATTGAAATCATTATAAAGAAATGACTTAACAGTAGCTGGCTTATATCTTGTACAGTCACAAGAACTTGTGGAACCTCTACAAGCGCCAATAATACATATTTCATAAATCCTGGCTATCCAGCGACTTACGCCGGCGGTGATCGATGTACGATCACAGTAAATCGTTGCCACTCAAAAATATGTCAGGTAAAATATTCTCATAAAAATAATTACTTAAACAATTAAATACTTATAAAATAATCCAATCTATAGTTGCGGCTTGACTTTCTGGACTTCAGTCTTGCACAACCAAATTCAAGTGGAGTGTGCGACTTAGATTTCTTATTGGTTTCCGGTGGCGCGTCTACGGTACCGAGACTTTGTGGAGAAAATACCAATCAGCATGGTAAGCAGCCATATAAAATGTGACATTAGATTTGTTCGAATGGTTTATAAATAAACTTATGGAATATTGCATATGTTACAGTATACGTCGACTTCAATGGAGCCACTCCTATTACAATATCCATAGATACTAATACCAATTTTGCATTTGATAGACGGTGGAATATAAGGATACAACAAATAGAATGTGATTCTCCATGCCGTGGTAAGTTATAGATTATTGTAATTCAAACGTTATATTATAACTTTATATAATTCTTTAATAATTTAAGACACTTAAATCATTTTTAGCTCCTAATGGGTGTCTTCAGTATTACAAAGGTGTCTCTGATACTGTTACAAGTTTCAATTATGGTACTACAGTAAATACTCGAGGTATGTAGTATCTATTCAAATGATAATCAAGTCTCTGCAATAGCAAAACTCATATTTATGGAATTTCATAATTATATTTTCTACTTTCAGCACCTTTGATAGGTACCAGACAAATGGCTAATCTAAACTATGGCGTTTGCGTTAGAATGGCTTTAGGATACTGTAGTATACAATGGTCACAGTCTGATACGTTATCTTTTACGGTATCTGGTGATACAGGGTCGTTAGATACGACAGTAATAGGTAGAAAAATTAAATTTATATTCACAATTGATATAATTATATCAGAGTTAAATTTTTCTTATCGTGCTATTCACTTTTTAGGTACTGACTTGGCCGCAGTTACGGGAACGGATTGTACAAAGGATTTTGTGATAATACCAAATCCATCTATAAATGGAACTGCTGAAAATGTTGATCGATTCTGTGGAAATGGTTTGGTTACCAAGACATGTAAATATCTGCGAAAATCATAGCATTCATATTTAGTCAATTCATAATTGAATAATTTTTATATTGTTTTAGCGAGTCTTAAACCATTCGTCCTTTATGTTGTTACTGATGGAGATGAAATTGGAGAAATTCAAAACAGAGGTTTTATTTTAGACTATACACAAATAGCTTGTGCTGTTTAAATACGAGAAATGATGTTTTATAATATATTTACTATTTATTGTTCTATTGAGTATATTTACAAAAGGGCCGTATTCACAGACAAATTATATGTATAATTTTCTCTGGATACAGTTCAACTGTTATTTTTTTTTTGTATTCGGTAACTAGGAAAGGCAAGACTCTCATTAAGAACAATATAGCAGATAAACATAAGATTTGTTACAAAATGCATTTTGAATACTTTTAACACTATTTATTTTTTAAATTAATAAATGACTGTAAATATGGACAACTTTTCATGTGTTAACCATTTATAAATTCACTTCCTGCATGTCCGTCAACTTTCTCTCTCATGGCATTATACCACACACTAACATCCGTATTTTTTTGAAGGTCTCTAAATGCTTCACAGCCTTCAATACTCTTCAAAATTCCATACACTGCCAAATCAGAGAGATTTGGATTGTCACCCCCCATGAATTGGCCACCACCAGCACGAATACCATCTAACCAATAGTTCACTTCATCGTAAAACGACTCGCGCACATCATGTTTAAGGTGATGACGTTTTTTGAGACGCTTTGAAATCAACCACATGGCACAAGCACCCACATTTATCATTATAACACGTTCCCAAGCAGGGAAATATTCCTCCCATTGTCCAACCTACAACTCATATACTATATAATCATTTGCAGCTACTTACATAGATAATAGGAATCAGCAATTAATAAATTACCTTTGAAAACCAATTAAAGGTTTGATAAGCTTCATCCAAAGATCTGTACACATTTGGAGATAGTACGTGGACGAGAACATCGTCCGCCCATTTTCTCCATTTACGTTCTTCCCTGAAAGTTATAACTATTTGTTAATTTCAATCAATTGATTTAAAACACATTGAATTTTACAGTGTATGCTTACACGATATCGTTCATTGTTCTATCTTTGGGTATAGAACTACCATACATCAGGAAATACTTATTTACCACTTCATGTTTAAACTTTCCATCATCATCATGCATAGCTATGATTGGATAATACTTTGCAAGTTCATTCATTTCTTGTGTTTTTTCAGTTAGATAGGATGATAATAATGAGACAATCATTGAACTATCATTTAATGGCTGGTACCCCTTATCGACTTTAGCAAGAAGAATTGGTACTTTTTTGTAATTTGACCATTTAATCTCATTACGGAGTACAGGATCCACCTCCACAACATCATAAGATATGCCATAGTAATCTAAGAAAACTCGTACCTTAAAAACAAAATAATATACATAATAGATAAAGGATCTGAAGTGACATTATATATATCATATAATTAAACATTTCTTGATATTTGTTCAACTATAATTTTCTCCTTCTGACTCTGTGTATTATATTGAGATCATTATATACATTTAATGATTTGATATATAATTCAATATTACATGCATAGTACCTTACAGCAAAAAGGACACGTCTGGTATTGGTATAATGTAAGCTTCAGCCCCGTTGTGTCAGTAGGAAAAACAATCTGAAAAATAATAAAATCAGAAATTAAAAAAAAGTTAATTTTAGAAAATTTACGTCTTCCCAAGTACGACAAAACTAAATAACTTTGTACTATTTAAAAAACATGTCAGTAGTACCTTTCGTGAGGGAGTGATAGGCGGCTTGTATTTTAATAATTCAATCTGTGTTTCGGTGCCCTCTAATGCAATATTCTTTCTTTCTTGGCTAATTTTCTTGAAGGAATAACCTGTACCAACCAGAACACCGATACTGGCGCTGATTAAACTGATTTTCAAGAAATTTTTTGGTTTTGGCTGCTCGACGACCGTACGAAAGCATCGGGATTTTCCGATTGTATTGTTAACATTCTTATTCAGAAAAACACAGCATCTTCCAAACCTCAATAATTTGTAGAACGTCGCCATTTTTGATACTAGTTACTGGACCCTGGTAAACTGACCTATCGGAATTCTATCGAAATGAACAAATTAGTAAAGAGCGCCAGTCTGATACTGGGTATTGCTGTTATGGCCTATCAGTCCAAAGACTAAAAGCCCGGGAATAAAAGTAGTGTGCAATACATCCAAACCCTATTTTGATCTTTTAGTACGTATTTAATACTAGTAGGGTCCTTAAAAGTCAAATTACGAGTTCGTAGTACAGTAATGCAGTTGCTGTTGGTCACGCGTTAGCAGGCTGGCTAGCAAACATTTTTAACAACAGAGAGCAGTCAGAGGTTCAGTGTGTGGATAATTATTAAACTTGCCACGTGTGTATTTGATAAAACAAGGATGCCACGTTCACCAGTAAAGTGTACGTTAGTTTAATTATGATCATTTATTGGACCTTAAGTGCGCTCCACTGACGTGCTATTATGTCGAGGAATTCTTTTCTAAGAATAAAATAGCAAATTCAAAATGTTAAGAGAAATGATAGCTACTCAACAAAATGCAGTTTTCGCTCAAGTGGGTTCTGCACTTTTTTATGGGATCTCTTCGTTTATGATTACGGTTGTGAATAAGACCGTACTCACAACCTTCAACTTCCCGTCCTTCCAGATCCTAGGCATAGGACAAATGTTAGCTACAATAATTGTACTCTTCGTTGCCAAGAAAGTACGTTATGTCGACTTTCCACATTTGGAGCGGTCTACTGTCACTAGGATATGGCCATTGCCAATGATCTATATTGGAAATATGATCTTTGGTCTTGGTGGCACCAAGCAACTAAGCTTACCAATGTTTACCGCTCTCAGAAGATTCAGTATTCTTATGACTATGTTAGCTGAATATTACATCTTGGGTATCACAGCAAAACCATCTGTTCAATTGAGTGTGTATACAATGGTGCTGGGTGCAGTAGTTGCTGCTTCGGATGACTTGGCATTCAACGCTGAAGGATATGTCTTCATTTTGTTAAATGACTGCTTCACAGCAGCAAATGGAGTTTATATGAAGAAGAAGCTGGATTCAAAAGAAATGGGGAAATATGGACTGATGTATTATAATTCTTTATTCATGATCCTGCCAGCATTAGTGATCGCATGGTGGACTGGTGATATACAGCAAGTGTCAACATTTCCATATTGGACTAACTTTTTATTCCTTGTACAGTTCTTGCTCTCTTGTGTCATGGGTTTTATACTTTCATATAGTGTGATCCTTTGCACAATGCACAATTCTGCCTTAACCACAACAATTATAGGGTGTCTTAAAAATATATGTGTTACGTACCTCGGTATGGTGATAGGTGGTGATTATATATTTACATGGTTGAACTTTGTAGGTCTTAATTTAAGTGTTCTTGGTAGTTTGGTTTATACCTGGGTAACTTTCCGTAGAAAAGAACCAGTGGATCCAAAATATTCTCCATTAGGAGAAGAACAGACTAGCAGAGTTCAAATTATATAATTACATGGTGCCATACTGTTATTGAAAAGATGTAATGTCTTTTTACCACGAATAAGTGAGATATTTAACAGAACATTGGGAATATAATGATCATTTGGCTCAAAACTGTGTAAAAATTGAGAAAATACTTTTGCAGTCATGTATAAAAATCATGGTATATATTATATAAAATGCTACGTCTTGCACAGCAATATTATGAAAGTTGACATAGTCATACCAATAATTTGTGTACCATTTATATATGAATCCTACGCAGTAGTAGGTCAAGTTGTCCCAGTGGGTCCTATGGCATGCAGCAATCTTGTCATAAATACTTTTTGGATGTAAAAACTTACATATTATTTTTCTATGCTAATCGTGGAATACATACTGGGTTTACACACAGTTTTGAACCAAGGACAAATCTACAAGGAGATTTTAATTTATTGTTTATCGTACCAAAGCAAAGTTAATGTTACCAGGACAAATCTGTGCCATAGTACAGTGGCTTTCCCTTTAGGTGAAATAAATTATTATATTAATTATGAGTTTACTATTGCATCAGAACCATAAACTGGTAGCATTAGTAATACTTCGCGACTATTCCTATATAAATATATGTACGCAAACTATTGTACAAAAATAAATTTTTTCATTTGATATTGTCAATTGAACATCATTTTCCTCAATGGGTTTCAGACAACCTCGGTATAAGAAGATTGTCTACGCAACAGGCGTTCCTCGAGGATTACAAGAAACATCATGTACCGCTGTCGTCCTTACAGCGCGCAGTCCTTACAGCTGGTTCAGCTGCAATATCCCTGGCGAATCCTTATCGCGGTGACATGATAGCTTGTCTGGGTGAAACTACAGGTAGACCTGCCCTTATACACTGTCTACAGCGGATGCAATCAAATCCAGAAGGGCAGCGAATTTTATCGCAAAGACCCCGAATAAATACATCCACCGTCGATTTTTCATCCTTAAAACGCTTACCACACAATACTCTTGGAAAGACTTACTACGATTTCCTGAAAGTAAATGTAAGCATAGCATTGTACTTACTCCAATCTAATTATTCTTGATTGCGTTTGAAAGTCTGGTGTCTTCTTCTTCGCAGAACGTTACTCCTGACTCTAGGCCGCATGTAAAGTTCGTTGACGATATTGAGCTTGCCTATGTGATGCAGAGGTATCGTGAAGTTCATGATATCTTTCATGCAGTTCTATTAATGCCAACGACAATGCTTGGTGAGGTCACAGTTAAATGGGTAGAGGCACTTCAGACACGTCTACCTATGTGTATTTCCGGTGCCATCTTTGGAGCCATTCGATTGCGACCAAAGTGAGTTAAAACGAATAATCATTCTTTCACTGTACTGAAACACCGTGGTCTATGTTCAGACATTTTTTTAAAATCATAAGTTCATCAATAGCTGACAGTGACAGCACAAATGTTTTACGTAATTTCAGGCAAAGGCAAATGTACCTCAATCACACTTTACCATGGGCATTAACTATCGGACAACGCTCTAACTTTCTACTGGGTATTTATTTTGAGGAACGGTGGGAACAACCGTTAGATGAATTTCATAAAGAAATGAATATTGTACCTCTAGTTAAGAACAACCAAAGTCTAATGAGATGAGAAGACTGAGTTGGAAATGAAATACCTATTTACTGTATGGTTCGGATATGATGTATATAGTCGAGTGAGATAATAAAGTAGATAGTGTTACACGGTATAACAATTTTTATTGATTATAACACTGGAAATATTAAGAATATAATTTTTAATGGAATACGATAATTCTTATTACAAACTCGGATTACAGTAGGTGTAGATCTACGATAAAAATTGCTGATTAGTTGCTTTCACGTGAATATAGATTTCATTGATGAAGGTTCACCGAAAATGGCCTACGCCGACAATACGAGAATATAGGCGACATAATCGTCCTGAAAAAATATATGTGTTTATGTACAAAATAATCATAATTTTAATGGGATAAAGAAAACATGCTTATAATATCTATAGTATAGTCAATGGAGAATAGACGATTTCTGCAACTAAATTACAACTAAAGAAATTGATTGTCACTCTTGATATCAAGTTCACTGGCACAAGAAAAAAGTTTCACTAACAGTTTTGAGAGTCCTTACAAATGTAAATGGAAGTAGCATATAAATTCCTCCAATGGAAATATCAGAAGAGATTTAATGCCGTCATTCTTGTGCTAGTTTTTGAATGATGTAAATGTGAATAGTCGCGCGTATTGAACATTCTCTTCATGTTTTTCTACTTTTTCCTCTCTCTCTCTCTCTCTCTCTTATATACTAATGACATCATTTTAACGACATTCATCTTTCCCTCGTTAGCGTCCGATAGCACTTCTCGGTTAGAACAAATAATCTCATATCCGTCTCAGAAAATAGTCTCTGTCGATTTAGTATATTCGGCGTACGTAAACACGTAATTGCGAACATGAGAAATCCGTAATGAGGGATCGGGCGATATTAGTCGTGGATCTTATTACAGTTTACTTCAAACTATTGCAACGAACAGATTACATATTATCAATATTGACAATTTACAGAGGAGGACCACTTAACTATATAATACTTTAACTTACACGTTCGTTATCGTTACATGTTTTGCTTATCTTAACTGTACTAAATGCGTTAGTGCGACCAGGAATAGGTAAAGATTGTAACCATCTAACTTGACGTGACTCGTTAATAATCTCGAGCGTGCGCCATTATTCAATTACGTTGTACACGATTGAAAATTAGGATATGTTAATTACGATTTGATTTAGTCCGTAGCGTGGCACCATCTCGTACACACTCGCACATTGTATTTATAATTCATCCAGAGATCATTTTTCCAAATCGTCACAGTACAATCTCTCCAAGAATCTTTACGTAGACAATTAACATAGGATGATATTATTTATCAGATTATCGTGACTCGAAATGTATGATATTATCGCGTTAACATGAGCACACCTCGTGCCACCTAATCTAGCACCTCTTGACTTTCATTTTCGCTGTCCAGATATCTTGCGTTTTGTATGATAGGAATCGCGAGGACACAGAATTTCCAATGAGGATACACCAGAATCACTCTTATCGTACACACCGTATGGATAATGTTAAACGAACGATATTGACATTTATTATCAAAATCTTTACGCTTTATCTTATGTATTATACTTATAGGATGAAGGTTAACCTAGTTGAGCATAAGTTAGTGGCTAGAGCATCCTACAGGACACACGAATGGAGAGGATGCTTCTTAGCTGATTGTAATCGATTTGGTCCATGCTGCTTGAGTGCACGAGGCTTTCAATCGAAGCTCAATCTCTTCAGGAAGAGGTGTATTTCCTCGAAGGTGGGCCTCTCTTCGGCGTGCTTGCTCCAGCACTTGGTCATCATGTGATAGAGATCTCCGGAACAAGAGGGTGGCTGAGAAAGGATCCTGGGCTGAGACTTCTCTGTGGATCCTCTCTGGTACCACTTGCTACAGTTCTCCAGCACTTGTTCGGAAGTTAAATCAGCGTAGGGGACATCCTCGCAGTTCGTCAAGATTTCCCAGACCGTTATCGCGTAGGACCAAACATCAGACTGGCAACTTTTCTTTCCCTGGAGGATCGAAGCGTCAAGTTGTCGGACACGTTAGCTTTAGATATTTCAATTAAACAATTAAATTAATTATTATACCAATAGAACTGCCTCCCAGGCCATCCATCTTAGTGGCACTTTCGTATAGCACTCGTTTACATAATACTCTTGATCGTATTGGCTACAGTACATAGCATGATCTGATACCTTGATCATTAGATTTTTATTAACTATGCAATTTCTGAAATGGGTTATAATGGATATATAGTTGTTCTGTATACATTGAAGAACCATTAATTTAAAGCTCAATGAATATAAAGTTCTACCTGGCTGCCAAGTCGCGATGAGCAATATTCAGATTCTCCAGATACTTCATACCAGAAGCAATTTGAGTTACGAAGTTTAATAGACATCCGTAACTAGAAAATATTTCAAAATGTATATTACATTCTAGTATATGCATTTTTTTTGTAGAGTCCAATGAGAAAATGAATGTTATACCTCAATGGAATATCGTTACTTGATTTTTCATGACTCCTCATGAAACTTGGCAGATCGCCCAATTCCCCATATTCAAATACAGCACCGAATGGCTCCTCTTCTACCAGTGCAATAATCCTGGCTATGTTAATATCGCGAACCGCAGCCAAAGTGTACATATCTTTCATGAAATCCTTTCTGAAATGTTTCGTTATACGCAGGAGATTAAAACGTACCAATTCTTGTCTTAACAAATCCACATTATACACACCTGAGGGAATCAGTAACCCCTCTCCAAAGCGACCTCACAATAACAATCTGCCTATTCCGAATCGTCCCCAGATCCGGATTTTGTATACCCTTAGCCTCGCATAAATGTACCTGAATAACGTGTCTCTGATACATAAGGAATCTCTACATAATCAACTACAGCTTACCAGTCCAAAGCTGCCTTCGCCGAGCTTATCCAAAATCCTTAGTCTGTGTCTCGAGATATGCTGAATATTGTAGGAGTTCCCCGTACCCGTAAGATGCATACTGTCTTGAATATGCAACGAAGTGAAGAGGCTAGAAGTCGAATGCTGTTCCCTTCTTTTGATCTGTAAGAAAAATTTCTCTTATCTTAATTCCATTTTACGTCTGAGATACGAATGAAATCATGAAAGTTAGCACTATTGAGTATTACCGTGAGAATATCAGTAGCAGCGTAGTATCCTTCGTAGACTTCATGATTTGTTTTACCTGTCTGATTGTGTCTTTTAACAGGAAACGGAGTAGGTACTACACGTTCAACAGATTTCTCATCCTGGAAGCTGTGTTCGCTGGTGAAGTCTGTAACATCTTACGAGAAGAGTCTTATGTATATCAACATGGTATAAGGTTAGAGTTGATGTCTCAGCTTATTTTTATAACTATAGATATACCGGTGTATTCTGTCTTGCAGCTGGAGAAATGTTCACTCTTGTGAGTGTGAGGTTCATAACCGAGATTCTCCTCGGAGAAGAGTTTGTACGTCCTTTCGTAGACGCTGCAGTGCTCGTATTCACTTCCTGTGTTATGTTCTCCACTACGGATCGTGTGATCGTCGCCAGAGAATGTTTTACTCTTGATGGAGAGTCTTGATTGAGATAAGCCATTCACTACAATTGGTGTGGCCATTTTAATGTCTTTCATGTTAATCGTGATTCCAGGTGCTGGAGAACCGCAGAGCAATGCTGTGTGCTTTTGGAGTAGAGCCACTTTGTTTCGGCCCCTTTGTTTCATGAGGAATATCGTGCACGTTAGCAGAAGTGCAATAACGGTCAATGCACCGCTAACAAGTCCTATGTAAGTTTGAGAATTGCTAACTGGAAATGCATCTGGTGTGAGATTGGCATTCAGCTCGAAGATCGTTTCATTGTATCCACCGTTTGATTTGTCCATATCAGCGGACTCTTCGGTTTCGTTATTTTGACAAGCTCGAAAAACTTGGTCAAGTGACTCTGAGAAGTTTCGCGAACCTGTTACTGTCAAAAAATAATTGAGAGATAATTTTTTTTCTATTGACAAAAAATGCACTATTAGCAATAGAAAGAAGATTATGGCCACACTTACTGGACTCAAAAGTGACCTCGCTTACGAGCAGCCATTTCGATTTGGGATTCAATTCGATCTTGAGAAATCGTCCGATTCTAGATTGTAATGGGATTGATATGCTCGCAGTGGTTGCTTTAATCTCGCCTGCAATCTCGATTTTCTCTGGTGTTTGATGATACTGCGTTCCGTCAAAGGAGAACCAAACGGTCGCCGTAGAGAGTATCTGAAAAGCCCGAGGGTGAAGATTTACCGGAGACCATTTCCGAGGGGAAGAAAAGATGAAAGAATCCTTGCGACAATGGCAAACCTCGATCTCCCTGCTTGGCAAATGTGCGACGTGTATGGTGCAGTTCTCAAATTCACGGACATCATAAAATTCGAAAATGAGCTCGACGCTCTCACGATTGCTCCATCCTACCCAATTGCTGGAGCCCCTGGAGATTGTCGTAGGATCATCCCCGAAGATGCCGTCGGTCAGTTGCCCAAGTCCTCCGGACATAATACCATCTTCCTCAGTTCCATCATAGGAGGAGTCTTCCATGTTAGATCCATTAGGGCCGAGGGTCTCGCCCTTTGGCACAGTATACCTTGCGATTCTCTCTACGTGAAAATTTCCACAGACGATAAATTATAATGAACTTCTCCCGCAGGATATATTGTTCCTGAACATCTTCTCGATTCTCTACAAATCAATACTCACGTTCCCAGACGCAACCATAAATCTCAACTCTCATGCAGACCGTGCGAGGATGCTGACTGTAAGGAATGAATCGCACGCGACTCGCCACGAACGGTAGATCCAACTTTTGTTTTTCGACCAAATAGGTATTACTGTTTCCTCGTAAGACCTAAAAAATGATATATTTTTTCTTGTAGAGCCAGAAACAACGTCACGTATGTGGTACTGATGAATTGCGTACCATGGCACCGTTCAAATTCTTATATTTATGCCACTCGACGTCACGCCAATACTCGAGGAAGAAGGCCTCAGCGTATTCCTGACCCTGGCCATTCCCAAAGCGACCCTGGGTCTCGGTCCAAGTGATCAAGTGATCCCTGGTAAGATCAATCTCCAAGTATTCACGTATATCGCTACTGATCTGAGCCTTAGGACACCAAGCGCCACCATTCTTCTCTTGACGTAGCCTGAGGATAACGAACCAAAGGTAAAGGATTGTCTTGGACTGAATGGACGGAAAATTAGTCAAGATAAATTAACAGAAGGAATAACGTCTTTTTTAGGTGACTAATTAATTTCGACAAATGGTACGCAGCAGATGGAATTCTTTGAAGATGTTTCCAAATAGGGTGGTAAACGAACCTTGCGTTTTGCGGTCCAACAGACTTCATTTCGTAGCTGGAAGAAGCGGTTATCGCATCATCCGGAATCTTCCCCTCCTCCATACCCAGTGGGAGTATACACTGGCCTGAAATGGTATCAACGTTATTTAATTCTCACTGTGGCACCGAGGATAAAGCGAGGTAATATACGGAGAAGCTCGAAGAGGCAGAGAATGAAGGAAAGATGGCGCGGAGACCGCTTAGGCATATTAAGGTAAATGAAGAGCGACTCGGTAAAATCCCAAGAAAATTACATCAGTCAATGCAAAGCAGTCGTCTTCCACTTAGTTCGTGCCTTGAGGCTTGATGAGTATTTCCGGCGATGTGCTTTTACTTACCGGAAACATTCTTAATCGGCAGTTCCGCACAGAGGGCCAATACAAGCAGTACTCCTAGGAATGAAACTACCGCGTCCATGATATGTTACGCGATATCCTACAGCATTGCCACGGCGCCTTTTGAGGCTCATGACAGGTTGTCTGATGTCATCGCATTTTACTCTGAAATTGGGAAGAGAGAGAGAGAGAGGGTAAAATCGTTAAAAATGTCAGAGCAATTTTTCACTCTATCCAAAAGTGTCTTTTTCACAGGGGACACAATGGCAAATTAAACGATACGAATCACCCCGGTGGAAAGTTACGTGAACTCCGACTATTTTGCACCACTCTACTCAACACGTACATATGTACTTGGTAGACAGTAGCGTAATGAGATTTTATATTGAGCAAGACCACACTCCTTCCCCGTGGAACTTGCACGATTCCATTTCGTTTCTGCCATTTAGCTTTCGCCTCAATGGCAGCTGATATCGTTCCACAAATATTGTGTGTGGATCCTGGGAGGGAGACCTAAGCTCATAACGGACTTTTCGCTACGGTAAATAACCCAAATGTCGAATATTGCTATTAAACCCTGACGCAAAAGGGATAAAAGCAAAAAGTAAAGTGGAGGAACAAGTGGAAGGACAGGTACAGGTATTCGTATAAGTGTAAAGCAGAAAAATATAATACCAAAGGGTTAAAGTCAATCGGGATGAAATTCTTGTGATGTTGTCGCAGAGCTGTTAAACTGGAAAATTCTTTATGGTTAATTCGGTAAACAAGCTTATCGGAGTACCCTGAAAATTCTCTTTTATCTTGGGTTCGACAGACGAACGTGTGCTTGCTCCTATTGAAAATCAAGGTATATGACAGATTTCCATCCAACTTCCTTGCCGACTGACTATCGAATGTAAATAATCAGGCTTCTGCCCTTGTTTGGATTCGGATGTTAATTACATCTGTCCATAGAGAATGGAGTCCTGCGCAATCATGGGGCCAGTCCTGGCTCGGGCCAGAGTTTGCTCTGCGCAACAAGTAAAGAACGATCAATACGCAATACACTTGGTGTTCACAATGCAACGTCCTTTGGTCCACCTGTTCCAATCAAACCATTCGGATGGACCAGCACCTCAGGGCGAGTTACTTAACTCCAAAGCTTTCAAATCGTCCGAACGCAATTTTCAATAAGGACGCCGAGAGTGTTTTGACTTGTGGATGATTTTGAAAGAGGCAGTGGTTACCGTGGATATGGAAAAATTGATAATGGAAAATGCTTCCAGAATAATCGCAGTCTCAAAAGAGTGCTACCTCTGGTGTTTATGATACTCGTGGTTCTTTATTTTGCGGAAATCAATAACAGCACCCCTCCGCTTTTGGCGGGTAAAGCCAGAAAGAGCGAGTATGTAGCTATGCGTGCTACACTGTATATACGCGATACATACTACAGTATATATACACGACACACGTGTGTAAAAGAGAGCATAGATCGGATGGGAGAGTAAGAGCGACGGAGAGGTGCGTGCTGCGAATAAAAACGACGAACAAACGTCTCCACCGAGTCACTGTGCTTGTGCGAATCATGAACAGGGTAAAAGTGAACGGAAGGAAAGAAAACGAAAAAAAAAAAAAAAACGAAAGAGATTTGTCTTACTCGCGGTGAAATTTAAACTTTTCTTCGTTTCCACGAGCCAGAGTCCTGGGACCCCACCGGCTGTCAATAACGGCGGAAATAGCAAAGTCCGGCCCATGATAACGGACAAAAAGAAAAAAAAAAAAAAAACGAAAGAGATTTGTCTTACTCGCGGTGAAATTTAAACTTTTCTTCGTTTCCACGAGCCAGAGTCCTGGGACCCCACCGGCTGTCAATAACGGCGGAAATAGCAAAGTCCGGCCCATGATAACGGACCGAGCGAAAGCTGTTTAAGATAAGAAGGAACGGTAAGAGATGGTAATCGATCTTAAGGCTAACCTCCGCAGACGTTCTCCTCCCGTTTAGTCCCCTTTAGGAATTTGCCGTGAAAAAGTTTCAAAAGAGAGTCCTGAGAATAGAGGAGAACAGATGATACAGGTTCTTGTGCTCTTAGACGTCGACTACTCTCCGTTTTACATAGGACATGTACATACAGCTCCATATGCATAATAGAGCCAAGTTATGTACGGTCCTATACCTATAACGCATGCAGCATTAATGTACCCGGGTACATACTGTCCATGCTCGCATATGGCGCACGTATACTATTTGTTGTACGCACGCGTATATTTTTATTTTACGATCCGTCTCTCGGACACGCTGGCGCAAATCGAGTTACCGAGAACACGGTAAATAATTTGTCGGGAGATGGCGTCGCCGGCCTGGGTCCATGTTTCCCCGGCTCGTCCATCCCGAACGAACGAGCTACTCCAATGAGCGAGTCTCGTGAATTTTCAAACGGTTCGACACGGCGCGTCCCAACGTCCCAGCATGCACCGTACACTTTTAGTTCAGATAGGCGAAACACGAAGGCGGGTTGTTCGTATTCCCTGGACTTTTTCCAATAGGCTCTCTCAAGGTGGTATTTTTTTTATTAAACTTTTATTCCCCCTTTTTCTTTCTTTCTCTTTCCTCTTACGCTGGTTTTTTACCTAACACCATGACGGGTGCTATGTTATTTTCATGCTCGCCGAGCATTTCCAATCCCATACATCGATTTATAACTGTGGGGTGACAGAGCCAGCGGGTGGAAGTTCGACTGCTCGACGTCATTAAAGATGTAGAAAGTTTTCGCCTCTCCCTTTTCACCTTTGGATACCCTCCTTCGCCTGATCTACCTAGCCATCCCGTGATGCTCTCCTCTAGGGGTGCCAACCGTCTCCCGCCGTAGCCACTCTTCATCGCGTACCCCCCTTACTTCTCCCAAGCCCATAGCTGTGAAAAATTTATCGAGACTGAGGGCCACGAAGTTTTCGGAATTCAAGTTCTAGAGCGGAAACGCCTGCCCATCCCTGGATAATTTAAGAGTCTGGAAGCCCGGCGGTACAGGAATAAAACATTGATTACGACCATTACGTTGGTTATAAGCTCGGAAGGAAATTCCTTGTCCTGAAAGGTTAATGCGCTTTCAGCCATAGAGGCAGAGGAGCAAAGAGTCTGGGTGGTAGTCGGACAGGCAGGCGAGCACTCGGGATTCGCGTCAACGTCAAACGACGTCGGGGCTCGTCGGAACATTTAAATTCTTGAAAATCCATAAAAGCAGCACAGCCAGATAAAGCAAGGCCTAAAGCGTAGAAATGGGCCAAGTGTAATTAACGGCTCGAGGTTCTGAAAGGGCCAGAAACCAAGGGGGGTTGCTATTTAGACAACTGTCGTCCAATGAGTAAATTGAGACTCGAGGTTATTCAAACGTTCTACCGTATACAGTGACGTATTGTGATGTTTCAATTACCTGCTGTGTATTACTTTCATGTTTGTCCATACATACAAAAACGAAGTTTTTGTTTCACACTGAACGAGAAGTGGAAAATGGAAACCCTATCGAATTACGAATTTATCCCTTTGGCATATGTGGAAGTGGGAACATATTACTCCTGTATATATATATATGTGTGAGTATAGAGATATATATATTTATCCTGCTGACTTGTACACACATACATCGTGTGCTTTAAAACCGCTTCAAGACACCTGAAGACAGTAATTGCACTTACCTCATTTCTATGCACTTATCCTAATTTTCACTGGTGAAAGAAGCGACCTCGGCCAAAGCTAACGGCAGTCCCACGGGCGAATATTTTACTTCAGCGTTCAGTTTTTCAGCTCGCTCCGTAATTAACGGGACTCACTTTTTCTCCTTTTCGTCTGCTTTATTTTTCCATTACTTTATATATCCAACCAACCAGCCAACGAGCCTACGAAGCGTACTGCATAAAATTGCGTGGATTATTTGCTGAGTGCTTTGCGAGCCTACGAATTCACAGAAAGTATATATCTATGTATACGCACTCAGGTGAGATATTAGCCACGTTGGAGGCTGATTTGCATCGAAACTATCTTCTTTCTCGATCTCCCTATCCTGACGTCGATCTATCTCTAACAACATTTCATAGGAAGAAATTCAAATTGAAACCAGCGTCCGTAGTTTCCCGACTACCATTTCAAGTCTCTCTGCTCGGTTAAAGGTATGTCAGTCGATAACTCGTTCTCTGAGATATTAATAAAATAATCCTTCTATCTCATAATCCGCTTGACTATATATATATATATTTCGCTAACAAACTTCTGCCGAGTCTCCCCCATTCGTCAGTTCTATCCAAAGAGTAAGTAGCGTCGCGGCACTTACGTCTGAAGTCCCGACTCGGGCCGGGTAGTTTGAATTATCGCGAATTCCAGTAATCCGCGAGCCTTACTTGTGAAAAAGCTGGCAAAAGCCCGGCACAACCGGTCCGAAGGGTTAATACCATTCAACGCTCTAGTGCGCTTGATCAAACAAATGGAGGATTAAGGGGACTTCGCGGACACCCTGTATAATGGCTGCTCTCTCGGATCTTGAATGGAGGAGGAGGAGGTCGGTTCTGTGAGGATGGCGGATGGAGGGAAACCAAGGGAGTGGAATGAGAGGAGAAGGGGACAATGAGCATATGCCAACAAAGTTATCATGCCGTTGAATAGGCGATGAAATTATTCACGGGCAATCTGTCGTAACCGAGTTAATTTCGCCCCGCTGAAAATCTACATATTCAGCAAGATAGCGGCGATGCGCCATTATACCGGAGGTGATGATATTTCCCGTGGCACAAAGCTTCAACCCCGAAACCATCGAGTGGCCCCCGACCGAGCGAGTAGCCACCCTAAACTTCACCCTAAACGCATCTTTCACTTTTATTTACATGAGGAATTCAGCATCCCTCTATACGCAATGCCTGGACCGAGCAACCATGAAAATCATATAGAGCTCCTTACTAGGCTTCTCGAGAGGGAATCATTTCGGTCTCAACGAACCCGGTAATCATTCAGCCGTAGGAGCAGCTCGCGTTACTTCAAGTAAATCTAACCTGTCTCTTCTCTTTCGTAGCACTTGGGACGACATGCTTTTTCGGCGAGGGAGAAAGTCAATGTGGCTACGCCGTTGGATTTTCAGGCTGAACTGTCAGCGAGGGATCTGACGAATATAGTTGCAAGGGATATATAGAAATAACAACAATTCCATCGAGACAAGTCTTTGATCTTATATCAGGGTCCAAAAGTAGATGCTGGCACGGGCGTCCCGAGCGAGTCAGGAAAGGAAGGGTAATTCGATTACTTAATTATGCCAACGAGTTTCGAACCGTTTCTACAGCCGGTGCGTTACCGATATTAAGTTTCTAAAGTTGATTTCCACCGTGAAAATCCGCGAGGCTCTCTCGGAAACACCAATCTTGTGAGTGCTGACGGGAAATGAAAGAGCGTCGAAGCTTCCGAAGAAGAGTTAGAGAGGAAGAGAGAACGAGAGACAGTCAAGGTAGTAAGTAAATGCTAGAGACGAGATGAAAGTTACGGGAATAGGATTTACCTATCTATCTCCTGACCAATGGAAAGGTCTACACCTCCCCGAGGGAAGTTAGAAGAAAGAAAAAAGGTAGAACGACTGATGGAGGTTACCGATCGAAAACGAATCAGAGAGCTATTTGTGAGTATAACCGGAACCATAATGGAGTCCATTAATTGGCAGATCCATTTTTCTCTTTGCCTGTACGAGGGACAAGACAGAACCCAGATGTATAGCTAGAGGCAAGCTACGGTAGCAGTGCCAACCGGGCGGCTAACTGGCATCAAAAGAGAGAGCGAGATATATATATATATATATTTGTGATTAAGAGAAAAAATAAAGGAGTGAGAGAGAGAGAGGAAACGAGAGCAGCGCCCTTATCGAGCCACGATTTCTGAACTGTACACGCCCCATGCCCGCTAGCATTGCGAACATCACGCATGGCTACCACAATCGGCCTTCACCGACTCTCCAGGCTGTTTCCTGCTGCTCTTCGCTCCCTTGCCCGTTTTACCTTCGTTGCGCAGTGATGTCCAACTAGACGTCTTACGCCCACACAATTATTATTTCCATTTAGGACGCTCTGTAAGCGGCACTTTTCCTTCCAATCCTCTTTGCTATAAATACAACGCTCGCGCAGTGCATGCTGGATGCGTTCGGGTAACGGCTTAGGTGACGTAAACATGGAGGATGGCGGACAGGGTGGCACGTACCGGGTGAAAGGAAGAAGAGTAAAATGTGAAGAGATAGAAAAAGAAGGAGAGAGGGAGAGTATATAGAGTACAGGGAAAATATATTCAATTTTTCTCGGTGAAAGACAAAGGTTAAAGATTACGTAACCTTTGCTGCGATGCTTTCCTTCTTTCTGTCCAAACATGTGAGAGCACTCTGCTACGGCAATGAATATTAATCGGACAATATCGGTTACATTTTTGCATAAATTTACATGAGGCCCTAGTCGCGACGAGAGACGTGCCGAGAGTTTTTCGAAGGTTACCCGGGGGGAAAGTAGATATCGGAAAGGGCGTACTAGAGGCCTGTTTGCGCGACCTGCTCCTTGTCCTCGAGGAGTTGAATGAAGACGACGATTAGGCCCTCTGGAAATGAGGTTGGGCAAAGGGGGGTGGCTGAAAGTTTTTATGTAATTTTTTTGTTATCCACCCTCGCATCATCTTTTTTTTTTACTTGCCGCCCTCTTACCTCACTGAACTACGTTTTCCTTTACCGACTGAGAAACCGTAGCGTTACCGACTTGAAAGCCGTGTCGGCTCCATTAAGGGTCGAGTCACGCTCGGTGATATTCAAAACTCGACGAGGATGTCAAGGGGTCCGTAACGCGATACTCGTCCAGGGGTAATCGAGTTCGCGCCTAACCCTGTTAACGCATTCGAGGAGAAATTTGGGAAAATACGTTAATTGCGACACCGTACGAGACGGAGTTATTGAATCGGACGTTTTCTCGGCGCCGGAAAACATAGATGTCTCTGGTTTGTATTTATTGCGACGGCAGTTCCGGGGAATGCTGGCGGGCAGTGGTCATCGGAAATTGAACCTGCGAAGGAACTACGCCCGAGACTAATAACGATGCTGAAAGCGATTGTGAATCCTGGCGAATTGAATCTCTGGCTAATGTAATAGTTACGGGGCGCCAGGGAAGTTCATAATGGATACGAAGGAAAAATATATTGGATGCATTATCAGGCTAGTGGCTGCTTCCCTAATTAATTGAACGGATGAATAAGAGCGAGGAGGATAGAAAACAAAATAAAGGATTACCAACGAAAATGATGAAGAGCATAGGAACTATGGCAAGGAAAGTAGGAGAACGAAAAGAAGAGAAGGAACGAGGAGGAGGTGGAGTCTGTAGAAAAGTTTTATTGGAGAAGAGAGTAAAAAAAGAAGTTTTCTCGTTTCGTTCTCATATTGCATTACCCGCTGGGATTCAGTCGGCTATGTACGTGTTTGCTGCATTATCGAGCTTGGCCTCCCATCGAGCCTCAGTCATTAAAAAAAAGGGAGCTTCATGACGATAGTCTCCTCCGTCTCATTTTCTTTCTTTTTTAACTCTTTTTCTTTTATACTCCTTCACACTTATCATTCTCATGGTCTCTCATTTATTCGTTAGCACTGAGAAATATCTCTAGCGATTTTTCCAAACTGTGTAATAAGTATCGTGCGTCTAGCGGAATGCAAATTCCTTCGCTCGGACGAACAATGACGTCGGATTGCGTCATTTTTATTAAAGAGCAATCTCTTTCGTCAACGTTACTCCGCGTCCTCGGCTTTTCGTCGCGAATTCATGAGGAAAAGAAAAATAATAAATGATCTCGGGGAGCGCCGCCCTATGTAAATAATCGCATTCGCGAAACACAAAAGCCGCCCGAGGGAATTTCTCATAAATATAACGAATCGAAGGAACGCCGCGGTGACGCTGTAAAAATTTTTCGAATCAGCAGGACAAAAAATGAGAGAGTAGACATCACTAATGGCCTTCGAAGTAAGAATTACTTGTAACGCGAGTAACAACGTAGCGTCGCGTGACCTGTAACTGGAAGATCCTCATATTTTTTTCGTTTCCTACAGAGCAGCAAAGCCTGGTAATCTAAACAGCTGAAATTCTAGACATATACAGGTATATAAAGAAGGAAAGATAAGAGACGAAGGAAAAGAGAAAAAAAATGTGACGAAGCAAAAAAGCGCGTCTGTCAAACGTCACGTAATTACACGTTAAGTAAGGGCCAATGAAATTCCACAAATTCGTAGAGATCCGCAAGAGGGTTTCTTATTTCTGGCGAAATAAAAAGTGACAGGTGAAAAAAAGGAAAAATAAATTGAACAAACACGAAGTGTTATAAGTGTAAGTTTAAAATATGAATGCCTCTGTTTGCCTGCCAACAAATGGCCTTACAAAACGCGATAAAGGGTGCCGCACCGCTACAAATACCACAAGATGTATCACGTACGACCAACATCGACCACCCTGACATACGTGCTCGACATTTTACCGCCCCAGCCGGGCAACCTGTTTTCCTAACCACCCCAGACTGAGTTCAGGAGAAACTACCCCTCGCGATAAATCACGTTACTTAATATCGTAAATGTCTCGAAAATGCCAGCTCGGTTTAAAGTCCTACGTTTTTCAGCCGGAGTTCACGTTAAATTCAGTAAGTATCACTTTGTCGCGAGGTATAAAATTGGTTGTGAAAATGTAAAACTACAAGCACGCTCCGATGCACTGTTGCACTCGGTTAAGAAATTGAATAAAGTGACACGGGGATGAAAAGGAAAAGCGCTGTAATTGGCGGCGTTTGACGTACTTACCGATGAAGTGTGACTCGAAGCACTCCTGAAGTATTCCGGATGAGTATGATCCGGTAGCCGATGAAGAGTTCTTCATATCACGACTCCCGGCTGGATGCGATACTACGAGGAGGAGCTCCAAGACGACTAGTGCTCGCGCTAGGATGCTTCACAGTACCAAATTACGAGATGGAGTAGGTAGGCAGACGGTAATATCGTATTGTGCTGGATATGTTATTTAGAGGGGTCGTTTCCGATGCACACTGATACCGGATCTCTATATCCTACCCAGCATCCAGCATCCCCGCTCGGAATATAGTCTGAAGATTCGGATGGTGGTGGTGGCGAATTCGCGCCAGTGCGCAAAATCACCCCAGCACACCCTCATCCTGCACCCTGGCGTGTCCCTCTCTCTCTCTCTCTCTCTCTCTCTCTCTCTCTCTCTCTCTCTCTCTCTCTCTCTCTCTCTACCCAACCGTCTTTCCTCGTCCTCCTGATCTACCAACCCTTGGCGGAAGGACCCATTCACACACGCAAGAAGGCGGGTATAGACACCTGCGTCCATGTCGTATAACCATAGTCATAGTCATAGCCATAGCCGCGTAGTCATATTATTACCGTACTCGGCCCAGCACTGTCAGAGTTAGGTTAGGTCACCCAGCCACCTTGTTTTATGCGCTATCCCTGCCTGCCGTTTATCAATAACTTTGCCAACGGACGTTTGGCAGCTCGAACTGGTATTTGGGAGCGTGACGAGCCACAAGCCACTTATTTCAGTGCGGACCAGGGATTCCTTCTCGAATACCGTATTTCCTTGGACCGTAGATAATCACCGAAGTAGCTACTTACACAAACCAGGATGACGAACTTTCGGCCCATCCCACAGGTCTTGCTACATCCTACTATGGGCATCTCCCGGGAAAGCCTTTGGGTAATTGATCGGCAAAGTCAGTCCAGGTACGTTCGAAGTAGACGAGTGTCCGACAAGTCGGGATAATTTCTTCGCGAGAGAAAGATCAAAAGATCAAACGAGTCTGAAAAATGGTTCATCGATAACTTTACCCTCTGAATGTTCGAGATATCTAACCTAAAACGAAAGAGGGGTACTAGAAGCGAGAGAGAAAAAGGCCTCGAGAGCTGTTCCAGCTCGAATAGGATGAAAGAGGGTAGCTGGGAGGAAGCGAGATGGACGTCTCTCGAGTAGGGCTCCGAACCCTGGAAAATGTCACTCATACTTATGCCAGTCGAGTTGCAAAGCTTCCGGGTACTCGACAAAGTTCCGCCACGGAGTTTCATCGCGGCTTCGAGCACGGGTACGCCGAAGGGATTTCTTCCTAAGTGAAACGAGAAGAGTTGTGCCTTCTGTGCCGCTCGATATACAACGTTGCGAAGCGAACCTGAAATGTTAAGACCAGGATGCGTGAATGGATTTGCGTTTGAAACGTCATCCTCTCTGTCTCTTTCTTCTCTACCCTGTTTCATGCTCCCTCTCTCTTCTGCTCACTCTTACTCCATTCTACCTTCGCCGTAGCCACTTCATCCCTTCCTTCCCTTCTCTTATTCTCTTTTTCGCTCTCGAGCACGCTCCCTTAGGCTTGCCCTCACTTTCTCACCTCGTCTCTCTTGTCCATTTCCTTTCTCCTTCTATCTCTCGCGTTCGCCCTCAAGCGGGAATATCCACTTCAGAGCGATATTTACACATCTCTTCGCGATTCGTGAATTAGCGACGCCCAGGTTTAACGGGAACTTCGATTTGTACATTGTGGCTGTGGTATAGCCCGAGTTATTTGCATATTGTAAAGGGGTGGCCGAATGGAATTGCCTGTGCGAATCATCGTTCGCAACGTGTCTGTTTAATGTAAAGGGGAGAAAAACTGTAACCGTAGCAAACCTCACGGAGTGCCTCCATGGTAAACAAAATAATTGACGCTTTTTTTTAAAACCATTCTCCTCTGTTCCATTTTTCTTGGTTTTTTTTGTCCCGCCCCTTGCCGGTCTACTGCACTTACACGCGTATAACTACGGGAAGGAGTCGCACCCGTGCCTCGAATAAAGCGGCCAATTTCCTCAGCCAATGAATACGTATGGTCCTGGCTATTCTAGATGGAGAAAAAAGGCCTGAGCGGCGAGAAAGAAGACGAGGAGAGTCGGAAACGTCTCCGAAAGGCTCTGTACCCCACCTGGGAAGTTTAACATCCAATCCATAACAATCTGGAACGTGTAACCTCTGCAAATGACTTCCATCCATCTAGCGCACTGCAATATGTTCCCTGGGAAAGCGAGTTATTGATAAGCGGGACCCTCCAAGACACATAAGGCAAGATGTAGGGGGTTGAAACCACGTGTGGGCAACCGCGTTATTGGCGATCGAGTATACCACGAAATGCCTCCCACCCGGTCTCATCGTATCACCCTCGCTTCTATTTTGCCAGTTTGGCCCCATCCCCATCGTCCTAATGCCGCCCCTAGATTTCTATAATTGCCTCGATTCCCGCAAAATCGATCGTTTATCTATGAGAGTTTTGGGGCTTCGCGTAAACTCAACAGCCAGTTGACTCTAGTCGTTTGTCCTTTTTATACTGGCCGAAGGCGGATATACAGGGAATGTATAACTGGCGAGGACAAAGAAATTAAAAATAAAAGAGTTTCACTGCGCGGCGGAAAAGAAGGAAGAAAAATATTTGTGACCCCTTGTATTATTCTTGGAAAATTTTCTTCGATTTTACTTTTTCTCGCTCTCTTTCCACAAGCTCGACAAAGGGACTTTGCTGCTTGGAAGTTTCTTCAGCGGGGGACCATCCTGGCGGGGGTGAGAATTTACGAGCGTTTGTACTTAACGCCCACGAAGCGAAATACATTTTTAACTCACCCCTTGTAGACCACTTCTTCACCACTTACTACTACGTAATTATTAGCTGATAATGGAAGGATCGATAAGGCGCCGAGTGGCTCGCAATATTCAATTGAATCATTTATTTCGAATACAGTGCATACGCTGCATGCACCAGTTACAGAGGATTCATTTATTCGATGGTTGCCAGCGAAATTCAACTGCTCAAAGGGATACAATTCGCTTTTGTATCTAACAGGTACAGTCTCTTGATACGCTCTGGATTATTGGCAATATTTGTTTCCTGGATGCTTTCACGTTACCCTGCTTGTAGTGGATGAGGGTGCGACCACTTTTGGAAAAGCGATGAGTCTCCGTCAGTTCCAATTTCGGATTCGTTGATGTCATCAGCGCCTCGATCACCTGGTTAAGATGTGACGAGAAAACAGAGAATAAGAAGTAGTGAGTGTGAAGACGCAACTTTCATTTCCGTCGGGTGCTCGAGTGCAGTATGCTCGAGGAGAAGTGACTCGACGAAGGGTTGCTTAAAATCTGAAAGCACTCGAAAGTTGCAGGAGACAAGGGGCCATGAAGGAGACGAGCTGGGAAAGAGACTAAGAGGTAGTATGAGGTCTGGCAATGTTGAAGAAATCCAGAAACAGGGGGGAATTCCACGGGAAGGAGGCGTCGCGCCAGAGAGGAAAATGCTGGCTAGCACTTACTTTATTTTCCAGCTCATTGGACGACAATGAGAAGACGGCTATGTCTCTTGTTACGACGTCGTTCTTTAAATCCAGCCCAATCAGAATAGCGAACGGTGTATTTTCTTTCATTGCAAATGAATCCAAAGCCTCGTGAGCTCCATCCATTTTTATAAAATTCTGCAACAGACATCGATATGGATTTTTAATAAATATCATGTCTCATGAGTCTTTGACTTGCGGTTTACGTGAAAAGGGATTGAAGAAAAAAATATGAAAATGAAAAGTAACAATAAAATGGTATACCTCGACGAGTATAGGCAATCCAACTATAGGTATTCCATTGACGACTTTGAGATCTTTGATTATGAGGTCGTCCGGGGTTAACTGGCTGATGTCCGTTTTAGCATTGAGAATGTCCTGGTAGAGCTGATCTCTGGATGGATGTAGTGTATTCAACTCCTCGAGTTGTCGAATCACGTCGAAGTCCATTGGGGTGGCCCGGTCAGCCTCCTTGGAGAAGTTGCAAGTGTCTATCAAGATCGGACCTAGCAGACACGGATGTGAAAGGGCTGCTTATTATTCTGCAAGCGTGGCGGTAGTGTTATTTCGGTCATGCCGTCCGACGTGATACTAGGCGCGCCCCTGCTCTCGGCAGTGTGCATTAATCGTACGAAATTTCAACGTTAGCCGTCCATTCTGAAAAGGGTCTCTGGAAAGTATTCTCTGTCTCCCTTACCCGTCAGTCCTCTCCTTTCCTTTCCTCCCTTTTCACTCGATCCCTACCTCGCAATTCCCATTCTACTCCACGTTTTACTCACTCTTCATCCCTCATTCCTCGCGGTATATTCTCTCAGGAATTACGTACGTAGCTGCGGCTGACAGACTACTGTATTCATACAATTCTGGAAACAATACAGTACGCCAGGAAACAAAGGCTGAACGAGGGAGTAAGTGGTGATAGCTGCCGCAGGGTAACCCGGAACCCGTCAATGGAGTGAGGAGACGGGAAAGACCAAACAACAGATTGATGTTGATAAAGTAGAACCAAGCGGTCGAGCACTGCTTTTTCGTTTCGAAAGCAGTTGCAAACATTTTATTCCGGTAGAGCAGTAGCCGAACGAATGTGTGAACAAGGGCACGGGCGTCCGAGTCCTCGTGCGCCCTCTAGCCGCCCTTTTCCAAATGTTCGGGTCCCACGCGAAATATCAATTTGTCAAGGAAAATGGTGAGCTTGATCGTGTTTGAGGTTGGAAAATATTTAACGTTATGCTCATGGATGATTGGACGTAAAGCAAAGCGTCTGGACACTCTCTGCTAAAGTTTTCCTTTACCGAGCGTATTAGTCTAGGGACGTATAAGGGCGTCGCGGTGGTCCGCCACTGCGACGCTCGATAATGGATTGAAATGAGCAGCATCCAACAGACTCGCCTCTCAGAAGATTGGAAACTTGTGAGTCGAGTAGCATCCTCCGTTTCTCAAGAATGTTCTTCGCGACGAGGGTAGCGCAGCTGCCGACTGTTTGCAAATTAATCGTTCTGCCGGACCAGGACCAGGTTACGTCTTGGGGTCGGTGATCAATAATTTCCACAACTGAATCCGCTAGGGACAAATCTTCTTTTGGGAGTGTGTGATGGTCGACCAGGATCAACTCCAGTTTACCCTCTGCATTCAGTTTACGAAGATCTATCTCGTCCCTGTCGAAGGTGATACTTGGTTCAGCAAACTTTCCTCTATACTATAAAAGTTTTAGTATACAAGCGAATAGTACATAGTCGTGTCTTTGGCTACTTGGTTCGCGCCTAACAGCGTCGCCTAAGGGGCAGCCAGGGTCGAAATGTCGAGGAAAGTTAATTGTAAAGTTTTGGCTAACATGGCAACGGGACTAATTATACAGCAAGAGTTTGTAACAGCAGGCACACTATGTGTCTCTGTACTAAGGAGCGACGGATTTTACGTAATAAACTAGGTAATAATAAAGCCGACCAAACTTACCGGAACGTCAGCAAATTTAACGGGAGATTATGGCCTCCTAGATAATAAACTACCTCTGTTTTCACCCGAAATTCCTTTTTTGAGATATTCATTATCGGTATCACGGCTATCTTCTCATTCTTTTGACCTTGAACACGGTCCGTATATACGAAAAATCCATGTACCAAAGCACATACGGCAGAGTCTAAATCGCACGTAGGATTCCCCATAACAACAATGATCTTCTCGTATGCATTTAAAGTTGTCTGGAACAAAAATCAATTTCAGAACTTCAGAAACGAGTAACGATTAGGAAATACGGTAGTAAGACATAAAAGTGTTACTCGAATTTCACCCTTCGAAAATTCTATTAAAATACACGCTTTTTGCAAGGGGTGAACATGGGTAGCGAAAAGGAGTCAATCTTCCTTCTTTTCTTATTCATACGCAATAATTAACTTTCATTTTTAAAAGCATTCTTCATTGACTCCGATTGACTTGGTAAATTCGAGTGCCTAAATATAGTTTGATGGACACTAAATATAATGTCATTTCAAAAATTCAATAATATTTCATAAGGGAACAGAAGGGCAGGATATATGGAAAGGAGGATGAGCAGTCGAATATACTCTAGAATTCCCTCCTTTATATTACCCTTTTTGATTTATCCTGATTTTCAAATCCACGGATAGATACGAGATCATCTCTGAAAGCCTTGTAAAGCTTTCACCATGAAAAAACTCTAATAGCATATTAGCGGCTCAATCGCCCTCTTTGAAGATTGAACATTTTCCACCCTTTACTTTTCTTTCCTTTCTTCTCTAGTTTTTTCTTTTTATCATACCGCTGATTAATACATCACTTCGGGAACATTCATGGTCCCCCTTTTGCACCCTCCTTCGGTATCATTTGTTACGAACGTCCTGTTATTGTTAATCGAACGCCATCTTCTTACTTCCATAGTTCTTTTTACCCGCAAAGGCAATCGAATTTTCCCACAGTCTCGAATCGGAAGTCTATTAACTTTAATGTTCGCGGTAATGTCAGTCGTTTCCACTTCCGTTCTATGTGTTTCCACGTTTCGACGTAGCTGTCACTTCCATGACTCCGTTCTATTCGTGATAGAAAATTCACAGAGAGTTAATGGTATATTCGTACTCACCAAGCATGCCTTCGAAGCCCTTAGGAACGATTCCATGGTCTTTAATTTGAATTTTATCTCCTCCTTCAGGTTAGCCGGTTAATTACCTTTAGACGCTCATTGACTATTGAAAAACAGATGGGACACTCGGTGTAACAGAAATGAATTTTATTTAAGCACTGAGATATTAAATATTGCAGGCATAATTATGCGTTACTTTAATAACACTATAAATATTTGAATAGGATGAAATTGTTCTGTAGCTATTTATTACACATTTATATCAATCTGAGTTATGTATTATGCGTAATTTTTAAAGCAGTCGAAGTATTAATTATGTAGAAAAAAAAGAATAAATTGTAAATTAATTTTTTTATTCTGTTAGCTTTTTTCTGAGACTTAAGAAAATTCAGAAACCTAAAGTTTCGAAAGTGCCGGAGGATATTATTGAACTTGTGACTGAAAAAATAATACAGACCTGAAGAGCTTAACATGAATATATTTAAAAATTTTCAAAACAAATTTTTGTTTTCGTGCGTATTGTTGTAGTTTGAAAAACAGGGGAAAGTGTACGTTTCGATTTGTACAACAAAAGATATCAAGCTATACAACAAGTAGCTCATAATGAAGTGTAATTCATCTCTACGAAGCTAGTGATACGCGCCAATGCCTTAAGTAAACTTTATTAATTAATTTGTTACAGTAGACACTGGAATAGGGTGAAAATCAACTATGGCGGCAATAGTCGCCTGCGCCCTAAGTTCTTGTCGCTTCATGAAAACACTAGTCGAGAATCAATGAGCACGACGCCGCTCGCTTCGGCATAGCATATACAACACGAACTATGGTGACCGTACGTGACGTTTGACTGATTCCTTTAAGTTTTGACACATTACCGATGATTACCAATGTGATCCTCGTTGTTTGTTGCTAGCTTAGCTTGCGTCATCGACGGCGATGATCCTACGCGGCACGTCAACAAATTTTCAGTTGTTTCTCGTTTCTATATTCTATAACTAATGTGAACTGCTCACCGCGACGTAGACTGAACATAAAGCTAAGACAGATATGGTGTGACTTGGTACTTAATTGATAGTTCGGTATTTTCAATTTGCTCGCCCACTGTTGTAGCACTGCAACATTCCTTCTTCGTTGTCATCCAGGTGTGTCTAATTGTTATATGCTTTCAGTTGTTAGAGTAAGACGAATATACGGAAATCCCACTTTACGGTTTTTGCGTACATGTATATATGTATAGATTTTCAAAGACAGATTTATAATTATTTATTGATAAATTGGATTTCCTTGAAATTTTAAGCAGAACCGCATGGCTTACTAAAGATTACATTGTGTTTGATCTGTCAAAAAAAACATTTTACTCGTGGACCAACTATAGTGTGTGATACAATTTTAGAATTATTTTTTACAGTGCAATGACATTTTACAATACAGATTGAGGTCATAACTTGGTGAGAAGATGCGGTTTAATAAGCAGGAATTGATGACACTGGCTACGCAGCCATCACAAAAATTTGAGAAGGAGGGTATACTTTACGTGCGTGAACGTCAGGAAGGCTTCTTTCGCAGAACAGAAAGTGAGTTATCATATCCCTAGCAGATCTCAGCAAACAGTGTTACAAGTTTTCATGCTCTAAATAATAATATCCATAGCCCTAGATCGATGCATGCTCAATCTATATTTGTATTGTACATGTCTGAATCTTGGAAATAAATCAATGTAATTTGAAACCCATTTGCTCTTTGTTAGATGCAAAACATATCATTACAGTCAGAGCTCTTCGAATTCGTGTAGACAAATTAAACTGAAATACTCTTAAATATTCTCTTTATTACTGTTATTCAGAGTAACTATCTGAGTTCAAATAGTGTTCTGATTTTTTAATTAAATATTTTAATATAACTTTAATATGCATCAGTAAACATTAATGTATCATCAATTAAGCTATTGCTTGATTTTTTAGCATGCTTGGGAACATGCATCCCTGATCAGTTATAGTGTTATACCAAGGGTAATTACAAATTATTGTCAAAAACAACATTGTCATGACAAATGAAAGTATTCGAAGCGCATGTATAACTTTTTTTTACATATAGTTTATATATCTAATATGTGATAGATATATTACATTAGTAATAAGTTGAATTTCAATGTTCTGCATGTGCTACTTGCATAAGAGAAGAATGTGAATATCAAAAGTATAACTACAATGTGAACTACGCGTAGGCGATTTATCTTATCCAAGCATTCAGATAAGCGCAAATAGTATTATTAAAACGAAACAAGTAATTAGGTACAAGCAACGCTGTAAAAACACATTAAACCTTTGGAAAAAGACATAAGACCTCATAAATACCAGATCAATTTTCTAAAATCCGACTACAATAATTTTTGGTCTATTTTCACTATTAAAGTATAGTGAATAGAGATGATTCTAATTCTGTACAACTATAAATGAATTTATATTAGACTGGCAGAGAGAAAAATCTTTATTTAATATGACAAGAAGCACTGTAGTTCAAGTAATTAAAATATTTATCCCTCTTGTTTTACATAATAAGATGCATTCCATAAAACAATTGCTAGATGTTACAGGGGAATGATCCTACTACATATATGGAATTCTGTAGCACCGATCACTTATGGATAATCAATAATACTTCCTTGGGCACTGAGCCGTCAAAATTGAGTGTAACCCGTTCTGCTAACAGACGTTAGACTTATATACCTTAAATCTTAACAATGTGTACCTATATAGATATATGTATATTTCCTTCCTATTGTATAAATGGGGTGTGGTTAATGACTACCGGTACCTCCGTACAATTTCCAGGTACAAGTAAAAAACTTGAGAGCAAAAGACAAAAGGGCAAAACACATAAGACTCTACGAGACCTCAGTTGCGTTTCAGCCAGCACGAGTAAAGGTACCACCGAGTGCATTCTACCGTTCTTACCTACCACTATTCCAATCCAGATTCCTGCAATTAACACGCTCTTCAAACGATTCTAACACTCCACGGTTGCAGTATTTAGGAGACAACACTGATAACTATGTTAATTAGTTTACTTCACATTTAATTTGTTACACGAATATACAAATTAGAGCGATGATTTTTGTTTTAAAACAAATTTGGCGTATACGCATTGAAAACAGAGAGAATGTGAAGGAAACTATACTATCATTTGATATACACATTGCACTACGTATTGAATTATCATCACCGTTTTGTTTTATTTGACTACAAATATATACAAAATATAAATTAATTAAAAGTCCTTTTTTCCAGTTCGAAATTGAAAGTTGTGCGCATCGACCCCGAACGCTTATCGGGTGTCTGTATAAAGAGCTATTATTGCTACTGACTATTTCCACTAACCATTCCCAATAACACTGACTAATAATCGCATGTGCATTTGGAATGTATTGTTCAACTTGTAAACTGCAGTAAAATAGTATAAAATTGGTGTAGTTAGCTCAGCATGTTTTATTAAATATTCTTAATTATTTCTAAAGTCTTGGCATGTACTATACTTAGCAATTAATAAAGCAGTGCACTTATCGTACAATAGCACTAACTTTACATTAAAGAAAAAGAGAAATGATTTTAGGTGTTGCGTGTTCTTTTCAAACATATTTAATGGATAGACAGATGGTATACGGGACAACAGTTGACTATTTAAGGAACATAAATGAATGATGCAACTGGATATAGTTTAAAAGACTCGTATCTACTATCTTATGACTGATACAATGACATTGTTCTGAATCTCCTGTTAATTTTGTTTCATAGTAAGTTTAGAGCGCTGGTGCAGACTCCGAGGGAATCTTTTATTTTATTTTAAATCCCGTGAGCAGTGGTCGGAACCGCTGGGAGTAATAATCCTGGAGCAGTGCTGCGTACGTGTCGAACAGCCAACAAACCAGGTCCCTTATGGATTTAGTATAGGTGCGTAATTATCCATATATCGTATGTGAAAAATACAGAAATAGAAAGAATTCTTAATCGACTTGTTATTCTAGTTTTTGATGGTGGACTCTTTCAACAACTGGGAGCGAATTCCGCCGAGGAACGTGACAGTTGGCTACAAGCACTTCAATTGGCAAGCTACGAATGCATGCGTAGCCAACTGTTGGCATTGCGACAACGGATAGAAGCTTGCAGTGGCCATAAACATGATACGGATATACAGATGTTACGGTTACAGCGTGGAATCACCACAGGTTGTAAGAGGAACCACTGCATTCTGATGTTATCCATGTCGATGAAGATGCAATGCAACTCCTACTGTAGGTCAAAATTTCTTATATAAATTTCTCTTAGATCCAGCTGAGATTCCAGTATGTGAGATATCGCTAGCATGCGATAATCTCTTGTGCGACGGTCATGGTAGACCACCAAATCCCGTTTTGGAAATAGACGTGCAAGCTACCAGGTCGAAAACTTGGATAAAGTATGCCAGAACAGAAGTGGTCGAGGTTCGTTTTTCTTCTTGGCCTGTTATTCTTCAGAATTTGTTCATTTCAAACCCATGATTTCTATATTTTAGAGGAGCAGCAATCCAGGCTTTTTGACTACTGTCAGCTTTCGAGCGAGTGACGGTCTTACTGCTGAAACAAAAGTTAGAATTACTGCTTACGATGTTCGGGAGAGAGTCAGTCAGACTGCAACGCCAATTGGCAGTGCTATTGTTACTTTTAGTGCAGTTCAGGACACCCCAAGGTATGTAAGACATACGTTAAGAATTGAAGGCAATAAAATAAACTTTTATTGTATACTTCTGTCCTCTATGTGCAGGCTGAGAATACCTTTGAAATCGGCCAAAGCGACGACCGTCGGTTTCTTGACGATAAATGTATGGAATCTAGAGGCCGAGGACAAGGGTAACAGTACAGAAAGTACACCATCCAGAAATATACCAACTACAAACAATCAGGTAAGGGAAACTACCAGTTTAATAATAAAGAATTTTAAGGATACATTTTGCATATGTACATCATTTCATTACTGTTTTAGGTATTTTCTCATAGAAGGTCGCAGTCTCTACCACCTCGATTAGGAACCAAGATCAAACTTCCTCATCAGGGACAACTGAAACTCTTATTTGCTAATCCTCATGTTCAGACATATAGGTGTGTATTGCTATGTCCATATTGAGTGCTTAAACATTTATGCAATATGATTTCTTTACAGATTTCACTCAGGCTTGGGTGGCGACATTTGCGTACACGAGATAATGGCTGAGAGCAAACTATGCTTTCAGTTTCCTCAACAGTTACTGTAAGTATTACTTATACATTAATCTGACGTAATGACGTATGCTAAACAATGACCACAGTGGGATTTGGATACAAGAGGAAAAGGAATTATTACAAGAGGTAGCTGGAATGGGAGAATTGAGAGAACCTTGGCACACAAAGCAAGTAGAACTACTTGATCGGCATTTACACCTCTTGCATTTATATTCGCAAGCAAAGGAAAACCTAGGAGCTTTCAAAGGTATTGCATGAGGGGATGTTGTCTTTAGGAAAATATTGACAGTTTTGAAATATTGTAGGAAGTCACTTTAAACAGTCCTCACGGAAAAATGACAGAACTTTAGAATTTGCTCCTTTGAACTTACATCTGCAGAGGATGTGGGTGCACAACGACACCTTAAACAAATGTGGATTTTATGATTTCATAAGCGTAGGAGCTTTTACTGCGCACGCACATAAAAGCAAGAATGGCGGTTTGATAAGGTGGATATAAATATTAAACGTGATTACTGTATAACTGTATATATAACTTCAAAGTTTTGGTATTCCGTTAGACTGGTACAAGCCCTGAAGGAATCTCCAACGCGTTGTAGTCAATTATATCAAGGGACTTCGAAAATAACAATGGCGCACGATGCCATTCAAGCTATAAAACAATTACGAAGGGACGTAGTGGAGGCAATGCGCTCTCTAATGAAATTAGCTAAAGAGAAGCAAACCAGTGGCATGTTACCGATATGCGAGGACATGATTTCCAAGACGAGGATATTACTCAGTTTATGGGATCCGGGATTGGTCGAAGAAGCATTGACTTTCTTGGAGGAACATAAAGTTGCAAAGATACAGGAGGAATTAAACAACGACGACACTTTGACATTGGACTTTAAAACGAATCAGTCCTTATCTCCATTCAAAAGAATAACGCAACAATTGAATTTCGATTTGAGAAGTCCTGACTTCGACGATTTTGTCACACCAGATACTCCTGAGTGTGTCCAGGATATATGGACCAAAGAGAGTGCTAAAAATAAGTATGCGACTCTCACATCTAAGAATGAAATCAATAGCAACGATGACACGCTACCCGAGGAGAATTTTGTTATATTCCCAGACGTAGAGGACGATCCTAAGGATCCAGAAGCTAAGGAAAATGATATCTGTGAGGATAATAATAACGACGACGAAGAGAAGGATGATGTCAGGGGTGATATTGACCTTAGCAAGAAATTTTTAGATACGCAAAAAATGTGCAACTCCCCGTCAGCCAATTATTATAAGCCTACAGACGAACCTGAGCCCTGGGATCTCACACAATTGAACATCGAAGCTAGTGTAATGTGCCTTGTGTCAAAGGTGAAGTTTCTTTGTGGACGCTGTAGCAGTCCTGCTGTGAGATTACGTAATAAAAATGGATTAGGTAGATCGCAAAGTTTAAAGGGATATCTGCCACATAATAAAAATAATTCAGGGGTGGTTACGATCCAACCAAAAAATGGTATCAAGGGAGAAGAATCCAGCAAGTTACTGGACCATTCGAATGGTTCACGACAACAGACTAGTCCAGGATCAGAGAAGCCAGTGCCTGCTTTTGCTAAAGCTAAGGAAGGTAATGCAAATACGAACACTAATTACATCTTGAATACATTTTTTAATGCGAATTAGATATTTTAGTTTGATTTTATTTTAGTTGGGTATAGCATAAGACATCTAGGATATAACGATATGTCAGGGAGTACTGTTATTTATTGTAATACGTCTTCCGATAAAGTGTGCCAAGCAGTAGACTCCATGACCAGGGTGATAAAAAGCAATTCCGGACAGAGGAACAAATTTACTGAAGGTCTAGATTTTGCGTCTATAGTCGATTGGACGAGTGAGTTAAGACCCAGTATGAAAAAATTACGACAGGCAATGGATGGTTTATTGAAAACCGCTAGATTAACGCATTCCGTCTTTCGAGTACAAGAAGATGCAAAGACTGCACAACGAGCATGTAACGTCAGATACAGACGTGACGTTTGTTTCAGCCAAGCTGTGAGTAATATTAAAATTATCAAATTCAAAGAAATATCAATTTAAGAAAGCCAGAAATACAAGGGCCCGTTGTCAAATCACAATATTAAAAAATTTCAGTTAACAGCCCTTGTTTCTGGTTTAATGGCAAAACTGTGGTGTCAACGACCTGACCCCATGTTTTTATTAATTTTGACAACTCTTGGACCACTCGTGTCATTCGAGGGGTTACTTAGCTATTATGGGGATGAAATAGACATGTGGGGTGACATGGCTGTGGCAGTTGAAGATATGCACACTGTTACTTTTACTCTGTCCAGATGCGGTGTTCATACAAGGTATTTATTATACACCTGTGTACTTTATTCAAATTGATTACATATATCACTCTAATATAATTTATTTATTAGAATCGAAGGGAAAGTTAGTGCCACTTCGCAGTTACCATTACCGAGGGTCGTTGGATCACGTACAGCTCTTACAGTAATGCTTCCAGTACCAGATGCCATTTATTCTTTACTTCCTCTTGTGCCATCATCAAGACAGACTTTATCTTTTAACGTGACTCCAGTATTTTTCAACGTTGGCATTAACGAAATGGCGTCCCTTGCTGAGAGTCTAAATACTACCAAACCGCAAGAGAAGAGTAACGTGGATAATTTCGATAGGCTCAACGAGTACTATTTGAGATTCAAAAAATTGAATCTGCCTACGGAACCTGCTTCGACTAGACGTTAGTTAACTACAATGCAACATAATTCTTTTTTAATTTCGTTGAACTTATTTAAAATCGAATGAAATAATTTCAGTGGGTACGCGATCAGCTCTTAATCAGACACTGGCCGATATGGTGACAAATTTGAAAGTTTGCGTACAAGCAAAAGTTAATAAAAACGTGGAGATCTTACAATTGTCTTCACAGATATGCCGGCGTATGCGAGGACTAAGATTTACTAGTTGTAAAAGCGCAAAGGATCGTACTGGCATGTCAGTAACTTTAGAGCAAGTGAATATTCTTGCTGCAGAATATCATTTGGCTGAGCACGAATTTACAAGAGCACTGGACTGCATGCGAAGGTAAGAATATATCTTGAAGTCTGCAAGATGAATAAAGTTGAATATCCTGGTTTGATGTTTTTATGTAATTTCAGTGAGGGATGCCGACGAGAAAATACATGGAAAAATATTGGTGTGCGTAAGTACGCCTTTAACAGTTTACAAATTTTAACTTTGCCAAAACTCTACCGACCACCCACCGGTACGTACGGATTCGCACAAACTTAAGATAACGAAAGGAAGATGGAAATGAAATGAAGATAGTATATAAATATTCTATTTAATTGTTTAGCTGTACAGTGTAGTCGTTAAGGAAGTATGATAGAGCAGTGATAATAATTGTGCGTGTGTCTGTTGCAAATAGGTACGAATATAAAAAGAATCAATTTGTGCGGTGCTAATATTTAATTAAATACTTGTTCGTACTCGTTGCAGGTCAGTTACCGTTTAGTAATTTTATGTACGCGGAAAAAAATGATTGGTCTTCCGAGAAAATTGCTGAACGAAAGAAGCAGCTACGAAAGCTGTGAGTGCCATTCTCGTTTATTAAGTTTATGAATTCTGAATTTATGAGTATATCAAAATAGAGGACTATTGTGTCCACGCGGCGAGAATCATTAAAGAGAAAGCAAGGGCTAAAATATTAAAAGAAAGTCATCAAGTCATGTATATAAAAGGAATTTAATTTCAACTCTATGAGCTGACGGTTAAAATTATATTTATTATATAGAAAAAAAAATTAATTCATTGCGTTATTTCCTTTTATATGTTTTTTCGTTTTCTTAAAGATTTTAGAAATCTCTAAAAGTACTTGAGTACCTCGTTTTTCACTGCACAAGCACAGTGACGCACGAATGAATGTAATCTAATTCTAATTAATTAATATCCATGTAACAATGAGTAACGTGTAATTGAAAATAATTCAAAAACTGCCGTGGTCCTAACGATCAAACTTAAATCTCCAATCACTGGGTTGAATTATTATCAAGAAGAACGCTACACCGAATAACTTAGCAATGCTCAATACACAGAGAACAGCTGCATAATGTTATAAAGTCAATCCATAGTCTTACGTATCTCTGGATACGAGTGCATCTATTCTACAGTCTTTTCACGGCGATATAAAAGTTTGCTCAAAATTAAAGCTTCCATATGCACTGTTATTTTGTCCTATACTCGAAACAGAGCAAAGACACCGACAAGAAGCACCAAACATCTTATACATGGAACTAGTAATCTTTTTCAAAATAAAATAGCATTAACGATACTCGTTGAAAAATCAATAGAAGAAGGGGATTCCAAAAATAATCACCCTCTCAAATAACGTCTTGAAATATTGATTGACTGGCCTCGCTAATGAGCAAACTCAACTTTTCATGATGATAATACGTAATGGCCAGTCGATACATATCAACCTAGTCGAACAGGCTGATTAGTACAGACTGCAAGTTGATACTCTGTTATAATAATTTCTGATACTCTGTGAAGGACAGTATACTGTTTCTCATTTAATTAATAGATTATACACCGAACTTTCATAAGTGCACGGATGACTATAATTGTAAAGTGACATCAGAACGAGAAAGAAATTCGTGGACGTAACTGTAGGATGTTGCAGGTGTTTCTCTCTGATGTTTCATATTAAAAATGACTGTGTATCGTAGTCGGGACCCTCGTTGTGAATTCTATAGGGATAACCGTATCCATGAGCAGGTGGACCAGTGGAAACTGAATTTCTTGTGTAGAGTCGTTAGAGTAACGGGAGAAAAAGTCTGGCTCAGGAAATAATATTCTGAAATAGACAGAATTATGTAGAATCCCCTGTAGACACTGACGATCGGTATCAACTTAAATAATGCGCCATCGAGTATACGTTGACATCACTCAATTAGATTACTTTAGATTCCCTATTGATCTCCGTTCATTAAGAATCTCTAAGTTCTTAAGTGTCCCCGTATCACGTGTAACATCGAAGCCCTTTATAGTAGGTATATAGAGAAAAAAAGAAAAATATAAAAAAAGTCGACTTATGTACCACAAAAGAAACGAACAAAAAAAGGAATATTTATTGTAACTATGAGAAACTTAATATTATGTTAATTCCTTCATAGATATAATACTTAGAAGTCTCTCGGAGATGATTATTGTTTTTAAAATAAATTATTAACGCAAGAAAGGTATGTCCTCTTTATCGTCACCAATTCCTAAAGCTCCCTCAAGCCGATCGTGTAACCTCGGTGGATTTTCATGGCGCAATTCGGTATATTGATGATTCATTTTCGAGGAAATGGGGATTTTCTTCGCGATCCCCCGAGAAATATGAAAGGGCTTTTCAGAAGGTCTTTGAACGACCCAGAGAATAAGACGCTTAAGGCTGTTCTAAAGGAAGGAGAAGAAAAAAAGAAGAGAAAAGGACGAATTCCTTAGTGCTCCTGCGTGGAATTTCCACAAGAAAGAAAAGAACAAGATTCTTGGGCTCCTCTACGCGAATGAACGATTTCCAAACGAAACTTCAACCCACGCATCCCTCAGAAGCGTCTACCAGCTGGCAGTTACTTCTCTCCTTGGTTATTTATCTCATCCTTTCAGGATCCAGCCTCTAAACCCAAGGAATGATGATTCGTTCGTGTGCCGGCCGGCGGGCAGCTTGCAGCAGCCTGGTCCAGGCTCCAATGATTTCACCTTTGCCGTTTGTCGCGTGGCTCGCGCGCGACTGCTACAGTATCGAAAAAATGCTGACAGTCCGGTCAAAAAATTCTTCGCTCACAAAAATTGTTCCAGCAGCAATAAAATAAAATATGTATAACAATCTAAGTAAAATAGCATCAATGAACAGGAAATTGTAAATTGCATTAATTTTGAAAACAAATACAGCAGCTATTTTTTAAACATATTTACATTAAATATAGTATACAAAAAGCAATAAATTTATATAACGAAAAAAATGGATCCAACATATGTATGCTTGAGATTTGATATTCTTATATTAATTTGGATTTAATTGTCACTTAACACTAGATTTACAGAATCCATCAATTTAACGTATTTTAAATTTCACGTTTAACCCTTAAATTCCACATTGGTGCGAATTCCGAATTACCACCATCCAGCGTGGAATTCAAAAGTGCGTGACCGAGTTGTGCAATTTAAGAGTTTAAATCTCAGAAATCATTATTATTCTTTTGCAATTTATGTTGACTTTGATAATCAATGTCCGTAAATCTAGTGTTAATAATAAAGAACTTATTTCAATTTCTTAGGGTGCTGTCCCTTGATTTTTTCCGATACTGTAACCTGGTCGGCACGCACTAAGGAGCAGGGTAAATGTGTGGGACTATAGTATACCTGATGGCCCGGTGCTGGCGAACACCTGCTCCATGCCGGCTACCCCGACCCTTTGTCCAAGCGCTAATATAAGCCCGTACTTCGTTTTAACACTGTTCAGTATCGTTTCGAAAGTCTACCTTGACCATTCGTTCCTGATTCTAGACTGGAGGTAACTTTCGCGGTACGCCGAGCTAAATAGTAGTCGGCGTCACACGTGCCGGTTGCATATAGCAGCACTACTGTGGAAAGTGTAGAGATTTGCGGGTCTGTCAAAGAAACGTGAAAATAAAATAAACGTCAAAGTGTAGAAAATCCATCTTATCCTTACAATGGCAAGAACAATCTGGACGGTACCAGCGATAATAGCTGTGACAGTTTTAATTGGGGTCGCATGCACCCCCATCGATTTACCCAGCACGGTGAAACTACTACAGGAACAAGTGAACGCGCTGCTGGATCATCGTCAGGAAGATTACAACGCACTGGAGGAGAGTCTGAAACGTGCCATAGAAAAAAATACAGAGCTTATTGTTTTGCGAAATGAAGTTAAACAATTAAGGTATGTTTAATTTTATATAAAATTGATCTTACTTGGAATCTGTGCTAAGCCGCAATGAAATACATGTATATAGAACAAGTACAGTGCACTTTCAAATAGTAGTTTTCTATTGCATAAGGTAGTTATTGGTACATTGGATACGGATATGCAATTCCATTGTCCTGAGTGGTACCTATATGTATGTATACATAACTACAGTATATTGTTATTGTACGGACATTTATAAACCTAGATATAATGATACCTAAAGGCCAACTAATTCATTACCTCAGCATGCCCTTCCTGTTATACTCACGCGATCTGTATATCCGCAGGAAGGAAGTGAGCGCGCTGCGTGGCGGAAGCGGCAATGAAGCGAAGAACGAGAGATTGAGGGTGAGATGGCTGGGTAGTACCGTGACGGAATTGCAGAGTGAGGTAGCGGAGGTTCTAAGGACGAGGAACGCGAGTGAAGAATTGGCAGAGCGTTCCAGGATGCGAAGCGAGCTCTCCTTGCTTAAAGGAGACGTAGCGGAAGTCGGAAGAGGAATCAGGAACCTTGGTGGTAGGATAACAAAGATTGAAGCCACCCTGGGGACTATCCGGGTAGACATCGCTGCAGTGAAGGAACGCTCGACTCAATTGTCAAGAACATGCGCCGACGTTACTAGCCAGGTAAGTTTTGAATTTTGATTCGTAAGTAGTACTTCTGTTAAACGATTATGTATAGTTGTCAATAATAACCTATGAAAAGCAATATTCTAATGAGTAGAATGCAGTGAATACAGAAAAGAGATGATTGAAGTTATTGTTAGTGAAAGGAGCGAATTGACGCTGTTTACGTACGTTCTACTTCGGATGGCGCTATATACTTATTTACATGAGGGTCTGCACCTGCAGGCCAGCCGGCAGCTAGCAGCCGGCACGTTAATTTCTGTTTCTCGTTTTGGTAGCTAGCAGCTGCCGCGAGTCTGCTCCCCCATACCTTCTCCTCGATGTGCGTTCCATTCCGATGGCAGCCCCCCCTTTTTCATTCCATTGCGGATGCAGGGGCGTCTGCAGGGGCGTCTGCAGGGGCGGCTGCCTGTTACCTCACACACAAGACTCCCTCTCTTCTTTTTCTCATACCTGAGTGCACCTGGCGTCTCTCCTGAGCCGCCTATCACCTGGTCAATTTAACCGACCAGCATCCTCCTTCGACTTCCTTTGATCAATACACCACTACAGGGTGGTTAGGATGATCGAATGACAACAAGCCAAGTTAATTACTCGTCTCGTTGCCTTGGGCATGAAGACCCACAATAGAAGTCTTCCTCGTGCATATATTATATTACGCCTGCATTTGTCAACTAATTAACTAACTAGTGTATGCTTATAGAAAGAGATATTTATTGATTAGACAGTATATACGTTCACTTGAAAAAGAGGTCTTTAATCATGACATTCTCTTCTTGACTGTTTCAGTTGAGCGCGGTGCAAGTCGAAATGAAATCTTTGAAGTGTGAGACATCGATGGAGCATAAGGATCATCAGTTGTCCAAGAATGAAGTGCGCAATGAAGTGACGAGGGAACACTCCAGTCATCATATGCGACATGGATATTCACGTTCGCCATTCACTCGTCACATCGAAGAGCGTCTTACAAGTCTCGAGCATAAGATAGCCGTGGTATCCAGGAAAAGGGGAATCGTTGAGAAACGTGTTGTATACGAAAATCAGAATTATTTGGCAAGTCGTATAGCAATATTGGAAACTGTTCAGCGTGACCTCTCAAAGCAGCTCTTCAATGTCACCCGCGAGGTGACTGCTATGGAGAAGCTCGGAGAATCGATGGAGCAGCTCTTCGAATCCATCCAGTCATTAGAAGATAAGTTCACTGCCAACCAGTCGGATACCAAAAGGGAAATTGCTCGTTTGGATATTAATGCTGCTAGAAAAGCAGCTGAGCTTTCATTAACTCGTGAAGAGCTTGGTAATCTTCGTAGAACAGTTCAAGCACTAAGTGTCAGCGCTTCGAAGTTACAGGAGAAGAGTGATCAGCAACAAAAGAGCATCTCGAACTTGAACAGCACCATGACGCGTCTTGATCTCACTCAATCTCTTGACAAAGCGACAAATATTACCCATGAACTTGAGCACGTCGAGGATCAATATAGGCTGATGGTAGATGCTCTTCCTGGTAATTGCGACAGCAAGGATGGTCTGACTCTGTTAGCACCTGGACCAGGTGCGCCGTTGTTGGCTTCCTGTCATAAAGGATGGATAGTGATTGCTCGACGTACTGATGGTATGGTTGACTTTGATCGCACCTGGAATGATTACGCTGCTGGCTTTGGATCACCTGTTAATGAATTCTGGGTTGGTAACGAAGCTTTGCACAGATTGACTAGGGATAACTGTACTCGCCTGAAGGTCGACCTCATTGATATCTATGGATTCCATTGGCGTGCTGAGTACGAATCGTTTAATGTGGACTCTGAGGATGAGGGCTATAAGCTTCGCGTGTCGGGATATTCTGGAAATGCTACTGATGCGTTGTCATATCAAAATGGTATGGCTTTTAGCGCTAAGGACAGGGACATGGATATTAGTTCTGCAGATTGCGCTGCTAATTATCATGGTGGCTGGTGGTTTAGCCATTGTCAACATGCTAATCTTAATGGTAGATATTCTTTGGGCCTTACTTGGTTCCAATCTAATACCAATGAATGGATGGCCGTTGCATCTTCAGAAATGTCAATACAGAGGAAACGTGAATGCTAATTGATAGACGATTTCTTGAGAATGATTCAAAGTGCATCAAATCAAAATTGGTGCTATGATCGTGATTATATTCACTGATATTTGCCTCACGACTCCTCATGTGTACTTTGATCGTTCGCCATTGCATTATCATAATATTATACACGACGCTCCACCAAAGACTTAATCGTAATAGAAACCTGATGTAAATAATCTGTAAATTAGTTAAGGATATAATATAATGTTTATAATATTGTAAAGGAACTAGTGTGAGTTCAATGGATTTTGATATTACATGTGCTCGAGATTAAATAGTATGTATAGGGTGTTGTGAGAGAAATGTGCACAATAATATTTATGCAAAAGTAACGCGATTATATTTTTTACAACGGATTTTCTACATAAGAAGTACAAAAGAAACTGTTTGTAAATCTTATCTCTATGATGAAAAAGATGACCCAAAAATAAATATATTAAAGAAATTATTCTTTTATTTTATCCTAGGTGCAAATAATTGAATATGTGTTAAGTGATGATTGGAAAAGGTTTGGGCAATAAAAATTAATATAATGATCATCTTTGAGATTCCAGCCCAACTTTGAACCTTTTTCTAACTATGTCATCACATGACACAATGTGACTGCATACTTGAATCAGTGTATCCTATAACTGTGTCCGACATACTGGTTGTTCCATAATAAGCTTTACATTTTTTTTCATGTACAAATAAACTGCCTGAATTTCCATAAGCCGAGCCACATATTTTACAAACAAAGGGTCTTTCACCAGTATGTGTGAATGTGTGTTCTTTCAAATATTTAAATCTTCTAAAGGCTTTGCCACAAGTTTCACAGTGATAATTTGCCTCACCAGTATGAATTCTTATATGATACCTTAAACCATTAGCTGAAGCGAACGCAGCACTGCAAACGTGACAGACGTAACATTTATCTCGGGTGTGTGTTCTCTCGTGTCTTATCATATAACTAGAAATTGCGAAACCTTTATGACAATATTGGCACTTGAATGGTTTTACACCAGTATGAGACTTAATATGTAAACAGAGACCTGATTTGGATACAAATGTTTTGTTACAAATATCACATAGATACTGATTTTCTGTATTCAGAGATGGTCCCTTACCATGTACTCGTAAGTGGTACATGAGTTCGATCTTTTCTTTAAAAGGCTTACTACATATTTCACATTTAAAGTTTTCATTATATTCATTATTATGTTTTATATTGTGATCATCTAACTTTTTTTTATTATTGTAAGTTTTACCACAAATAATGCAAGTGAAAATGTTTTCATTTAAATGTGCTTCAGTATGTTTCAACAGTGCTTTCTTGGATATATATTCCTTTTGACAGATATGACACAAGAATCTCTGTTTAGATTTTCTATCATTTGTCATGCTTAATGCCTTCTTATCTTTTCCTAGCTTATGTAATATTTCATCGGAGTATGAGTCATTGTCTCCAAAAGTATACATGTCATCGTCAGTCTCTGAATAACTGACTGTACATATAGTGATATCTTCATCATCATGATCAACGTTTGTCTGTCGCGGTTCCACTACCAGAGGATCAATATTTTGAACTATTTCTTCATTTTTTACAAGAACAGCTTCAGCAGATGATATGATCTCAGCTTGTACTCCGATATCCTACAAAGAGCCTTATAAAGTACTTTATAATCTTGATATAATCTTATGAAACTTACCACAAAGCTCTTACTTGATGATGCCTGAGTACTGGAAGTTATTGGAAGTTTGAAGTACTCGCGTAGTACATGGTCTGACTGTTTGCATTGCTCCCTAAACTTCTGTACTGTAGTGAGCTTAAGTTTACAACCTTTGCAAATCTGCTTTGGCAAAGTATCGCTCTCCAGTAACTAAAAATGAAGGGAAGAGACGTACTGCGTCATCGAAGTACGCGAAAAAATGCAAATAACAACAAACACTCAGTTATCCACACGCACGGAAATGTATGTGCTGTGACAGTTCGAAATTACATGAGTACATAAATTATTAACCTCGATAGAACAGCTCTCCCTAATCTGTAATAGCAGTTTAATTGAATATTGCCCTTTATAAAAAATAGGCAACATATTCTGTTTAGCCTGAAGGCATAACCTGCACACGTTGTCCATCTCAGATCCTTTTAAACCGTAGCAGTGCTTAGAATTTATCATTGAAAACCTAATTCCCGAGTATTGTTTTGCATATTTATAATCTGATTATTTGTTTCTTTTATTCAATTAACGGTAACTACTCTTATATCAGAGATGAGTAGGTATCAGTACTCATCTCTGCTTATATCATCCTATAATATATGTATACTTATCAACCGAGAGTTGGATGATTGCGTCTGATCAAGTTTATGGGAAAGAGAGGAGCCCAGAGAAGCCATAATCCGTACGATCGGTGAGATCTAGGTGTCAGTTGCAGTCAGTTAGTGTTAGAGTCCCTCTAGTAGAGGTGCCTAGGTGTCCCTCTAGTTGGTGTCAGCCAGTGTCAGCTGAGTCCTCTTGTAGTTTGTGTTTGGACAACAAAACTCTAACCTGTCAAATGTATTCTGCTAATACTTCTGAAATCGAGAGTATTGTTAATACATTAGACAATGGTATAAATAATGAGAGAAGTGTGGAGAATACGAATATTTCGCTTGTGGGTAGATTTGAGACTGCTACAAGTTTTGAAGATACACTTGCTCAAAGATTTCCTAAGGATGAGGAGCAACAAAGTAATAGATGTGTTAAACATAAAGCAATTAATTCACCAGAAGAAAATTCTGTGACTTTTATCGCTCTTGATATAGGAAATTGTACGAATTTATGTGATATTTGCAATAACGATTGTAGACTGAACATGCTTGATAAAATTTCTGACTTCGAATGCGAAGTGTGCAAAAAGAAATTTATAGATCAAGCCAAACTGAATAATCATTTGCGTGTTCATGGGAAAGGACCACCAGTTAAAACTGATAAGCAATTTCTGTGTGATGTATGTAGCAAAACATTTGCATCAAGAACTGGTCTAGGTTTTCATTTGAGAACACATACTGGGTATAAGCCTTATAGTTGTCAATATTGCAATAAAAGTTTTACTATATCTAGCAATAAAATAAGACATGAACGTACTCATACTGGCGATAAACACTTTGTGTGCCATTTTTGTAACACTGCATTTGCTTCATCCAATGGTCTGAAATATCATATGACAATACACACAGGTCAGTTTAGATACTATCATTAGAATTAAATAGCATTTATATAGTTTCTATACTTTAATATTGGATCATTGCTTGTAGGAGAGACCAATTATCATTGTAAAACTTGTGGAAAATCATTCACACGTTTAAAATATTTAAAAGAACACAATTTCACCCACACGGGAGAAAGGCCATTTTCTTGTAAAATCTGTGGTGTTTCATATGGTAATTCTGGTAGTTTATTTGTTCATGAGAAGAAGTGCAAAGTGCAGTACAGCAATTGTTGGTCTGAAGACAGTAATGTTAAAGATGCATCATATCATGCAAATCAAGAGAACAATGGTATGTCTATCGTAAAGTTTTAGGACCTATTTACTATTGAAAATAAAAATAACCATATATATTTTTTTTAGCAGACATAATGCACTTGAAAGAATTTGGAGATGCAGAAAAAAAGTCAGCAAGTCCGTGCACATCAGAAAAATATGAGATTTCTTACACATTTCCACAAAATTCTTGCGAATTGGAATCACGGAATCAAACAAATCGCTACTATAATGCAAGTCGGAAACCTGCCTCAGTTTCCGTAACCTCATGGCATTTTAAGTGGAGTGATACAACGTAATTTAAGAAAAAAAAAACAAATTTCATTTACATTGATCAGTTGTACATAAAGATAGTTCTTTTATAAGCAGTACTGTAGCAAAGCATGTATAACATGTTTTTAATGAAAACATACAAGCTCATGTCGAGCCTTTAATCATCAGTAGAATGGATATTTTATTGCATTTTTAAAAAGTAATACATGAAATAGACATTCATATAATATAAGTAAATGATTGATTATTCTTAATCCAGAAAAAATCCTCGATTGCCCTCTAGTTTAATTATCTAAGTAAACTTACGAAGAATAATTTGTTTTGAACACATAGCCTTGCTGAAGAGTTTTTTGAGCAACTCACTTGTCGGCGTTATCTTGAATTCAGCATCCCATAAATCATATTCGAAAATTCCCGCATCTTTCGAATTCGCCATAATTTGATATCAATATGAAAGTGGAGCGATCGTAAAATACGCTTGTAAAATCGAACAATAATTGCAAGTAATTTTATCGCTTGACACTCTAAATGCAAGAGATCGCCAACAAGTAGCTCCGTATTACCTTCCATCTTCACGTTCTTCGCGTACGAGAAAGCGATCAGTTTAATAAACCTTCCTCGGGTTCAACGAGTATAATCGATTTCTCAAAGGCTCGTCATTTCTGGTTAATGGATCGAGCGCCGTTACGAAAACTTTCCTCCTCAAAAGTTCCCGAACGCAAGACTTCGTGTCACTACTTATCTGAATTGCAATTTTTTTGTATTTCTTTTTCTTTTGTAGTATACGTGACACTTAACACATTTATTAAAAACTAACAGTCGCTAGTAAACTGTAAACATTCACTAGGAAATGTATTAAGTCGGTACGACTCTCTTGAATTTCGTACAGCTTGCTGCCTCGTATACTCGAATTTTCGTAATCACGACCACGCGTAAATGGACGTACGCAATTTCAGTACTTTTCCGAATAAATATAATAGTGCTTTTACGAAACGTATAAAATAAAGTGCGACCAATCGTTTGAGGGACTGACGAGGTTACGTCTGCTGACTCGCGATTGTTTTATCCGAAACTTTTATTGGCGGTTGCCAATTAACATTCCGCGCGTCGCGTATTAGTAGTCCACAAGTATTTATATATCTTCAAAAATACTCTACACAGTGGACCACACGTTGGACTCAGCTTAAAGTTCGACTAGAAAGTTATTAAATTTGAAAATGAAGTGACAAATATCAACTACGTGAGTCACAGGAGATCCTTCCTTATTGCATTGAGGCGATCGGTGATAAGGATGAAATTTACCGATGCTATTAATGAATAACGCGTAGAGGATAATCGCGAGAGTTATTCGTATCAGAGGATAAAATTATCAAGAGTTTTCTTTCACTAAAGTGACGAAACTGACGCCGTACCAGGATATACTCTTGTAACGAGTAAAATTTTTTCAACAGGGAATGCGATATACTTTTCTAACGATTAATAGAAATAATGTCTACGCCTGTCTATCGATTGTCTGTTGCGTATAGTAATGAGTTCACACTTAGGACAGAACGATGATTATTTTAATCGCATTTGAAATTTCGATCGTTAATCGCGAGACTTCTATGCCCACGCCTTCTCAATCCTCCGCAATTTTGACGTTTCTCGTTTATTGCAAATTTACGCATTGAAATTATTACGCCTCTCGAAGATCGCGTCACGTGATGCGGGAACGAGTTCCGGTCCTGATAAATCGTTAAATGATTGTCGTTGATTGTCAAGAAATCGGACTCGTGTCCACCGATCGAAATTTCAATCGCGCCTTTCATTCTTAATGTTAAGGACACTTAATTTTGTAGTCGTCTCTTTTTTTAAAACAATAACCACATTTACTATTAGGTTACCGTAGTGATTGTGTCCATTCATTGTCGTTTGACGCACATATACCGAAGTTCATATATATAATATATAATATGTATATAGTGTATATAATCTGTATCCTCGTTTTGAACTTATGTTATTCATCTCGATTTCTCTCTTTTAGATTTTATTTTTCTGTATTATCCCCGTAGCACAAAACTGCATTACCTTGCAATTCTAATCGTAGGAAAAGTTTTGGGACAAAATTATGAATAATGCGATAAAGCTCTCGATAAGCGCTTTCAAAGTGTCCCATGACATAAATAGAATAGGTATGACTATAGTTACGTAGGTAATTATTTAGGTATAATATTATACCCATCCATTAATCGCTACTACAGATGAAATGCATTGACACGATAAGAGTTATTCCCTCTAAATCTTGACCTGAATAAATTCCATATTTTAGGACATGAGTTGCACGAGAATGTGCACATTAGGAAGGTGTATCGATAAAAGAGAGGGTGCGTCCGTTATTATACGACCGCACCCGCCAATAAATCTTTGTGCCGATTATAAATGATAAATCGATCCAGGCGATAAAAGAGGGGTTTACCTATTTCGAATTACGGCAAGTGCACTATAACCCTCTTCTGTCGCTAATTCGTAAAAGCGTACCGCTGCCATCATATACTATCGCTATTATTTATATCATCTGGTAAATAAATATCTCTATGCTTGCAGGTACAAAAAGCTGTGATTGAAGATGGGCTAAACTATCCTCTGATAAGATAGCCGTGACGAATCCACGGCTGTCAGACTTAACAGGTTAGAATTTATATATATATATTATATATAATTATATCGGTCTGTTGACAGTATAGGAACCGAATGAAACATCGATCGATAGGATAGGTCCGTGTATCACAGTAAAAAGGGGATAGAATAAATATATATACGAATACGAACACAACCTACTACTTTAGATAAACCTTATGCTTGCGCTCTTATATACTATATACTCATGACTCGACGTAGCTGGACTTTTTATGACGGAATTTGAAGTGATTAGTTTTTATCATTCAATTTTCAACATTCTTCATCCACCTTACTTTCCTGGTTATCGTTATTCTATGGATTCTGAATCAGGTGCATACCTTATTTTAACTGTACGCTCATATATTTTGATCTTTGTTATTTTTTGTATACTCTTCTTTGTTTTTCGAAATTAAGCATTTCTTTTTCGAATCGACCCGTGTGAAATTGCTCAGGTACGAAAACCATGCAAGGAAATACTGTTGGGATAATTTGAAAAAATATCATCGCCTAACGTTTCTGTTAAGATTTGGCACGGCAACGTAAAGGCTCGTGGCGAATGAAATAGGGAGCTGTGCAATTTGAAGAATGAATGTGAAAAATGACGTTAAATTCACTTTGCTTGAAAAATACTTTACTTTCATCTGGTGGCCCAATCTTTAATTTCGTGACTTTCGAATGGCGCGATTTTCGCGCGTTATGATTTCTCTCTCTCTCTCTCTTTCTCTCTCTCGTATCAGGCCGTCGAGTATAAAAGCTACCTTAAGAATTAATGATTGTTAATGCAGTAATTAGAATACGGCAATTGACGATACACTGTTCACACCAGTCATATTGCGCATGGGTAGACTGGCCATTGCGATTTTTCACTTCTAGACTGATCTTCCATAAAATATACTACTATCTTTTTCTTTATCTTCTCATTCTCTATCTTCATCTTAAACTTCAGTTACTATACCAACGTCAGATTTTTATCCACGACTTATTTGCTCGTTATTAAAGCTACGTTAGCAAGAAAATATTCTCTCTGAATGAGGCCAAGGATATGTATACGCGTAAATAACGTTAACATTAGGCTGCCTATGTGTATCTAGAGTATAATTCGACTGATAATCCAAGTACTTTGAAAATCGTCTAATTTGTAAACTGTACACGTCGAAAAGCGACGATGATATAATTCTTCTGTTCAACGTGATTATGAAGTTGATCGAGTTAGCAAAAAAAAAAAAAGAAAAGGTGAAAAAGAGAAAACCAAAGGTGACAACACTCTCATTAGAAGTCTATGGTGGAATAATAATGTTCAGCCTAGCCTAGGCTATTATTCAATAATAAATTGACACATTTCTTTTTCTGACAGGTCTAGCTTAGCATGCCAAGGATAGACACTGCGCGATGCTCACTAAAAATTCATGTGATTGCGATCTAGATAAGTAATTATTATTTTTAAAGTATACTTTCCCGCATCTACTCTGACGTAACGAAAGAAAACCATATATTCGCTCTATTTCATTTATCATACTTTATGACCTTTCTAGGATCCCTGTCGATTGTCCTCATACTCCGTTTCCTTAAGACGAGGTAATCTTAACTGAGAGACTGCCAGACTATTATGTACCTTTACAGACGTCATCGCGTGGCTGACGTTCTCTTGACGTCCTAGACCCATAACATTGCCCATTAGGTTTACAGTCTGTACGTCATTTGACACAGTACTGTCAGGCGTAAATGGCAAGACGAGAGAAAAGCCACAAAAATCACCATGGGTATCCCCATGGCACGCTTATGATCTTCCAGAGAAAAGTTGGTACTGTAACATAAACAAGTCATAAAAAACACTAGGTGTACCGTGAATATAGATTGTCATTTGAGAAGACTGTTAGTATTCTTTTTTTTTTATCATTTTCTCTTTCTACTTTCTTCCCTTGGTCCAGTTAAATATTTATATTTTATTGACCCGTATCTCTTGAGAACACGGCAGTCATAAAAGTTACCTCGGACAGAGTTGATACGATATATATATATATATATTTATATATATTGTATAAGCAGAGAGATAAAGAAGCAGTGAAAGTGTTTAGCTAAAAGTTTCCAGGACGACAGGGAATCTTGTATAAGAAAGGCCGGTAAAGGAGCATAGCGATTCTTACACTGTAACCAAGGGTCAGTGGGAAGGCTGTCCCGATGGCTGGAGTGATGGAGAGAGTGTTGGTGGTCCATTGAGGTTGAGGCAGATGGGGGGGAGTTGTCTTACCATGCCGGAGCCAAATTGTTGAAGGAGTCCTGTACCCTGCTGGGAAGACGTAGAGGATACCGAAGGACGCCTTGAGCCGCGAATACTGTTCATACTTGAACTCAGAAGATACGGGACGCTGCTGCTTGTGATCGGCATGCCGCCACCCTGATTATGTAAATACGTATAGGAACCCGTACAAGGCGAATTTTCTAAAAATAAATTACTTACTGTTGGCGGCGATAAATTTATGTTCGATCCTCGACGTTCCTGAGGTCCTGTACTGGAATGTCGACGAATTGGTAAACCGCCACCTGGCGTACCGCCCGGTGAACTTGCGCACGATGGTGCTATACGTATCTTAGGCGTCATTAAAGTGTTATCGGACAATCGACGACTTGTGAAGGTACTTCCTACGCGTAGGAAATTACCGTCGTTTGTTGAGGATGATGAACCGAACCACCAGCTTCCTAACATTCCTGGTACATACATATAGTTTATGGGATATGACTTTATAATTGTATTATGAAGATGGTAATAAGACAGGGGTTCTCACCAGCCATTGAATTCTTTCTGGCCATATTTTCGGCCGAGGCAGTCATTGACATGGAACCTATAGAAAAATGTTAGCTTGATCAGATAGAGTCTATTGTATAAAACCATTGTTTATCAATTGGATCGTCGTTATGGTACCGATTGAATTCTTTCTTGCCATATCTTCGGCTGATGATGTTTTACGTTGTTCAATCCTGAGATTTGGTATGTTGAATGGCGGTGCATGCATATTGTCAGTACTGTACTGATGTCTCAAGGACCGGTGTCTTTCCGGACTTGGCAAGGAAAGGTTATCAAGCTTGAGTTTATTCCGTTGATTTCTTGAAGAAGAAGTTTCGTGTTTTAAAATACATTTTAAATTATAACAAGATAAAGTATATCAAGTTTCAGTACTTGCCTCTCTATGTGATTAAGCATCTCCTGAAGGACTTCCAGGAGCAGAGTGAACTGGTCCAAATTCAGCGCCGGATTCACCGTTTGCGGTAGCAGGGAAGGCATCACCCTTGTTGCCATTAAGTTTACCGAGAGTCCGTATTTTTTATCGTTTAGCATGATTCTGTAAATATCTGCAGGAGCGGACTTATTAAAAATGGAATATTCTTTGCTTAGATATATAAGTTGAGGTTATGAGGTTGCAGGCAGACACTAATAAAGGCTGCTTGCACCATTCTGATCCCCGTTAAAACATTTTTCTTTTCTGATGATGGTAAGTTTAAAATATAACTCACAATAAGACAATAATTAACAATGATATTATGACAATATCACTTACTTAAAACCCGCATAACGATCTCGGGTTCCTGAAGTTTTACATCCCAGAGTAGTGGAAGGACCTCGTCGATGATCTGCTGCTTATCCAGTCGATCCAAAATACAGGAAAGGACGTTCATTAGTATTCTGACGTCGGTGGAATTCCTTTCAAAGGCAAACTTCAACTTCGGTAGAACTATCCTTCGTATTGCCATGTCATCTAAATATTCCGTCACATTGGAAACGGCAACCAGAGCTGCTGTCTGAAGGATCAATAATATATTGAAACAAAATTCAAGAATAATTTATCCTGACAACCAAACGATAAAGGTCGTACGCACTTGGACTTGAATTGTAGAGCTTTCAAAAGCCGAGTAAAGAACTGGCAAGACTTCGGATCTAATATCGTCTCGTGGGGTCTTTTCCAAAATTAAATGTAAATTTTCTAACAGTATCACGGTCGCCTGAATCGATTTTGGGGTCGAAAGAACAGCTCTAAAATACCAGAGCAACGGATATAATTTATGTTCCAGAGTGTCACTATCATGTTTATAGTGCAAAAGACTCACTTGAATGAGGGTAGAATTACTTTTTCATACTCCTCGACAGTACTGTCTTGTATAATGTAGAGCATCGGTTGTAGTACAGCAACGAAAGCCTCTTGCGATTTTGATTCTGCTTGCAAATAGGGCCAAATGTGCTGATACCATAATTTCTTTTGAAACACGAGAAACGGTATTGTCATATTGATTATCGGAGTTTTGAAGCAAAAAAAGAAGAAAAAACAATTCGTTTTTAAAAAACCAAGATCTTACTCGTGGTATATAAGGCAACACTTCCTTCAGGGTGTTTCTATAAAAATGTGCCTTTTGCGTAGAGTCCTTCATATTAATTACATCGAGAAATTGCAAAGCGTGCACCGAGGGATCGCTGGAACACAGAAGAAAATTAATTAGCGTTACGTTCACGATTCTAAATATAGAATCTCTACCTAAAATATTTAATAAGAGAGAGCAGCTGCGCAGTAGGCCTTTGTCTAGGGTCCTTATGGAGCAGTCTGACCACAGCTTCCTGAAGAGGTACAGGTACTCGCGGTAGAATATTATGGACTTGATCATCAAGCTGTAAACAAAGGAATATTCCACATTAATAAACGTCTCCACTTCCTTATACCCATTTCCTTTCTCGCTTTCATCTTTTATCCACAAACAGACTTTGGGCTTTCAAGCTACTTTGAATAAAGCATACTCACAGTTTCAAGCTGCTTTAGATACGAAGAGCAACTATGATTCGCCTGGATCAAAGGACGACCCTGATTGAATATTGCGCATATTACCATTCCTAGACTGAACATGTCGCTCAGTATATTGCAGACTTGGTCCTGTTGCACTTCCGGAGCTGCGGAATTGGCAAACAAACAAATCCAATAATAGGGGGAATAGGATGAAATCACTGTGCATACATCCACATTATACTATATAAACGCATTACTCACCAATATAATCGAGATTCGGTTGAGCCATTTTTGATAATTTGTTGGTCCAAGACTGACAAGGCACCGGTTCCAAACCATCTATCTCACTCACGCGCTCTGTAATCAGTCAGTTCACTCGATACATTAATAAAAATAAAAAAGTGAGAAAATAACTTTGTACGAAAATTTCACATCGTACCAATAAAATCTAAACCGGACAATTTCCAGGTTCCCTTCTTTGTGATAATGATACTGCTTGGACAGACATTTCTATGGAGCACGTGTCCGCTATAGTGCAGAAAGGATAGTGCCTCTGTGATCTATAACACAGGTCTCTAGGTATCATGTAGCCTACGTTAAAATTTCATCGTTATATAAGAACTCACCTGTAATAATCCATACTTCAGCTCGATATCCAGCATCTCGTATTCCTTGCTGAAAACAGGACGATGACTGGGAGTCTGTGCATTTTGTTGCTGAGCAGTGGAGGACTGTGCCATAGCATTGGCTTTCTGTTCTTCGAATGCTAAAACGTTAGCTAAACTAGCCAATACGGGTTCAGAGGCAAAGGCCAGGGTTTCCGCACACTCCTCCACGGTATGCATCACCTGATGAAAAATTGAATGTTACTTGAAATATTCATAAAGGGATGAAAGGATGTAAGAAACCTGAATAATTTATTCTCCACCGCCATAAAACTTACCTGTAATATCTTTGGATGGCGATAGCGCTCCAATTGACGTACGCCAACACGTAAAATTTCCGTGACGGTTTCCTTGCGTTTTGGCTTATGAAGTTTCTCCACTGATCGTTTCTCGAAGAGGAATATCGACACCTCCTGCAAATTTTACACTCAGCTGTACGATATCGTCACACAACAACGTGCCGATTAAGCCATCAACGTTCAAGCAAAAATAGAGCAGCCTGACGATCCTGGATGAAGAACGAACGATCTAATAAAATAAAAAAGAAACTTCTGGCTGTCTACCATTCGTCCTTTTTATTTTATTAAATAATTTATGTCTCATCGCTATAACTACAAACTGCTAACGTTATATATTTTTCGTTAGTATTTTTTTTCCAATAAAATCGAATAGCGTCGTGTTTTTTAAAAGACTAGTTTTGAAGGAAAATTTTTCATTATCTTTCCCTTCCGCCCCTTACAAACCTAAAACATGATGGCATTATACAATGTAATAATTTAACAAAAATTCCGTAATCCCCCCCCCCAAATCCGGGATCTCCAGTTTATCCCATTTTTGCTTGGTCGCTAATGGGTCAGTAAATTTAATATTCATGTGGGGCGAGTCGTCGAATTAATGCGTTATGCATTATGTAAGATGGTTTTGCAAGGGCTGTCCGATTTCACGAAACTCTATATATAAAATAATACATATTCCTACCCTTTTCTTTTTTACAATGCAAATTCACTAGTATCTACATTCTCTCTCTTGTGCGCATTTAACTTTTATATATTCTTACCTTGCCGTCGCATTTTCGATATGCGTCCAAAATCCTCCAGACATGTTCCGGGCCAGCAGTCGCCGATTGCTTGCCCACTTCGAATTGATGCCATATGGGATTCGATTCGAGAGCATTCGGTGCACTGCTACTCTTGAACTTCGAGAACATGTTACCGGAGCTCATCCAATACCAGTCTTTCGGTATTCTGTCGATAAAAGAGTAATCCTGAGTGACAGCGAGTCGTTGGGCGCTATTTGAAAATTGCATGACGTGCGTGACCGTAGCGAGAGAACGAGGAACAGAGGAGACAGATAAAAAGAGAAAATTAAAAAAAGCAATGAAATAAAAAATTGTAGAGAAAAATGACGTGGGAAATAAAACGATATAAAAGCAGTAATACGTTCCCTGGTTCTGACAATGTAACACGCACGTCAGCCCGATACTATCCTCTTTTTAATTTCATTCACGTTACGAAACTCGTAATATTTCCCTCGAGCGAAATTTCACATTCTCTCTATATCTCCTTCTTATTTGCTTCAGCTGGGGTTCCAAAACTATTATTTCACAGATACAATCTCTTACGGGTTATCAGAATAATAGCTGGAGATACAATGTTATTATTACTCGTATAATAGCCGAGCGTTCTTGAATACGTCACGATTCAAGTTCGACGATAGAATCACGTGTCCTGAGGGAACAAGGTCCTCTTCGTTAGTCAGAATCCCGTTTACTTTCCGTAATTCGATTACAGTTTGGTATACAGATAAAATCGTCGCACGATATTCAACGCCGTTGGTTAACAACACTTCGGGACAGCTGTCTAACTTTCTGACAGCGAAGGGCGAACTTTCCTACAGCCTGGAAATGCGATTACGAACGACACATTTCCAATTAGAGAAATTCATGTATTAATTAATCTCTTCGTTAGGACAGAGTCAATGATAATTCAGAGAGCGTACTACGTATGCTATCTTTTTCTTTTAATTACAATAAGGAACATCCGGCAACCTAACCTTCGTTCGTTTCACCAGGGACGGTTATTACTTTTAAATGTTTCACAGGTCGCGTAGCTTCCCCGGGAAGCGGAACGGTCGATTTCCTCGCAGTTCGTAGTTTCCTCTTATATTATTTGAAATGAGTGAAATTGTGAGAGGGTGCCTAATGAAATGGTAGTCGTGGGTGTCATAGAGTAGAACCCATCGTGTAGAATAGTAAAATCTCGTTGAGTAACGATATAAGATTCTGTCTGACAAAAGTAGAGGATTTATTCGAATTTCTTTAAGTAGTGCTGGTCTCTTTATAGTCAGACGTAACAGTGTATTTTAATGGACGTTGCAGCTGTGCAGATTAATGCCATGCATTTGTTACTACAGATAACCCGCTGGGAATTGCCTAAATAGAGTGTGTTACCTATAGTATAATAGTATAGTAGGTCATACGGATAAAGAACCTTGTTCTACGTTCCATGAGATGCTATTGCACACATTCTGTAAAATAGATAAGGGTCACTGATAAAGACTTAAGTCTCACCGAGTGGCGAGAATTTCCTCGATAAAATTGAACGTACTTACGTTTAATATGTTCAGAGGGATCTCAGGATAATATATGGTGTCTGGGTGTAGCACGTAATTGCTCAAGAAATGTCCTGAGCACGTACGATAAAGGTATTTTCACTAGTATGTATATGCATTTGTATGCTTGACATATAAATGACCTCGCTCTGGTATTACGCGAGAGCGTTGGGACGCGGAGATATCTACAAAGTATGACAAATATAAATTAGATCTCCTTATAGGAGAAAAGACGAGGTACTCGGGATTCTCTGTGTAAGAAATATGATCCATAATGGAAGCATTCTCATCGACTCACTTGAAATTCCTTCTTTCTTTCTTTGCTAGGTCCATTTCTCATGCCATTGTGCTAATGAAAATGAATATTAACGAAGTATCACAAGAACTTAAAGCCTGGAATATTCACGCGAGCATCATAACAAAATACGGCTGAGTTGGCACTCGTAAATTTTTAGGAACGGGAATCAAATTTTGCATAGATATAAAAAACGTCCGACATGGTATTTGCACGAGGTTAAATCGTTGGGATGGATGGTTTTAGAACCGAGAATGACTATAAAAATGAATTAGTCTAGCGACGCCTTGAAAGGTCGTAGAATTCCATTGCGTGACCCAGTCTACATAAATTCTTATTCCTTGTCGTTGTTTTCTTAAAGAATTAACTGGTCCAAGGGACTTTCTCGAGTGAATATTTCTTTTCCACTGTTACTATATAGAGATAGAAACCCACGGATCGTGGTATACGATTATTGCCCTCTGTATTTCCGAGCCAATCAATTGGCTCGTTGGTCGGCTGATGAATTGAATGGGAAACGGTATAGGTGGAAGGTCTCCTTCCGACGGCGTTACGGAATCGTTGAATCTAAATCCGAAAAAGGATTAAATGTCGAAATTATTGTTTTTCTTTTTTCGTCCTCTCCCTATGTATGCTTCAAGATATACGAATATTTTTATTTAATATTTTACTCCACATCATTTTTTTGCTTGTCCCGACCACAGTGCCCCCTGATTTCGTATGCATAAACTTTTGCGGGTGAATATACTAAAAGGTTGGGAGAAATAATTAGACAAGTGATGGTGGAGCTTTATTGTAACAGGAACAGAGGAAGGAGAAAGAAAAAAATGAAATAAGAGTTTGCATAAAAGTACACCGTCCAACAGTAGCAAAGAGAGACGTTACTGCTTATGGAAAAATATGAACGTCGTAGAGCTTTAGAAATAACCGATACTACCTTTATAGTACGCCCTTCCATTTTCGTTTCTCTCTTACAACCCTTATTATTATCCCGTCTCTTCAGAGGACTTTCAGCTTCTCCTTAATTCTCATACACTTCACCCAGTGTTATGTGTTATGTTAGGTTATGTAATATTTTCTTTGTTTCTACTGCATACCTTGCGTCGCGAGAAACAAGAAGGCAGCTAGTTCAGCAATCGATGTAGAACGGCAGAGAGGTAAATAAAACGAATGTATAACTAATCGCTTGCCTCTTTAATAATTGAGCGAAAAGGCTAAGGATAGTTAATTTGCAGGGTAGATAATTTCTAGAGGCGTAGAAATAATTTCAAAAGAGACCAAGGAACGACGAGAGACAAATATTTCAGCCTAAATGAAATTTTAATGTTCAGAATCAGACGGAGTCCCGAATTGTGTAAAAGGGGAGCAGAACAAAATTGAAAAAAAAGCCAAACGGTTTAATGCGTCTGCATGTTTACGAAAGAGGCAACAGCATATACGTTGAAAACTACGAAATTCTCTCTCGTGGCTTTCAACTTCGTCCCTTATAATGACGACATGCAAGGGGTTAACAAGGCCAAACTCGTCTCGCGTTACACATTTTTATCACGTCCGGTACGTTAATTGATCGAGCATACATTTCTTTCTTTCTTTCTTGTTTTTTTTTTATTACTTCTGTTCATATGCGCATATCACACGAACCTTTGCTGAATCACGACTGAAATTGAAATATCACCAGCTTGAGTTACAAGCTCGAAATTCATTTCTATGTAAATTAAGCTACCGTTGTACCGGTGGAAATGCCTAGGACGATAGTAGCAAGTTACACCTACTGTAAGATAGAGATAGACAGTTGACTCCTAAAAGGGTTTGCTGACGTAGAATTATTTAGGAGGATAATTAATTTGCATGACCCTTCCGTCGCGCGCGGATCTTTCCAAGAAAGCAAAGGGGAATCCAAAACCAATTCAAGGATGAATTCGCGTGGGACGAGGGCGATGTTAAAGACGTACCTTGTTGCTTCGTTACAGGAGCTACAAATTACCTTGAACATTACGAAACAGTTTTTGGTAATGGATATAACAGTGATATAAATAATGAGAATGATACAAAGTTCAATTACACAGGATATCAAATCTATGATTTATGTATAAATAATAATTGTAAGGTATAAGTTTAGCCTGTTATATTGTACAATGAAACTTTGGAAAATACCCAGAAAGCACATGAGCCCTAAAGTTATCTTTAAGATATTAAAGGCGACTTCTGAAGAATAGATGCTTCTGGGTATCGACTGGACATAGCGATTGTCAGAAATACATAGCTCCGTTCTACACTGGAGTAGGTGCTTGGGTTATTTGACAAATAAAATTAGCTAATCGTTTTTATAGTGAGTATTACCACGTTACACTTGGTGTAGTGGATCAGGTTGGATAAGACACGACGATATCGGACAAGACATTGGATTTCTATGTCGACAACGGATGAACTATGCTATATGCGATCAGAAATCCTACTTCCCTTGTTTTGAGATAGAAAAAATTTAGTAAACTGGATTTTACGCGTGAATGATGAAATCCATGAACTTATAGTTTCACGTACAATATTCTGCATGACTTAATAGATCAGTACGCGGAGAGTTTTACTCGGGTGAATTATTTATTTCTGGCTCCTGTTGCTGCGATTTATCTCCAAGTTCATCAACGCTATAGTATCGGGTTACAATTGTAGCAATTGGCTCCGAATATTCGTAGGATCCTCACCTGTTGCCGCACGACAGTCGAACACCACTAGGAGCGCATTACGAGGAACAAACAGAACGTCCTTGTAGTGTCGGGGTATATCGCGACACTGAAGAAGGATCCTGTTATCCTGTAAACAGGACACAGGACCCCTTCTTCGTGCTCCTGTGCGATCCCACTCTTAGCATGAGAATGGCAATGCGCGTGCGTCCGCTTGGCCAGGGTATAGGCCTGCCTGGATATTATAGGTCTGGGCTGCAGGTAGCTTTGGCTAGGGGCTCCTGTCAACCAGCAGCCTGCATCAATACCTCGGCATCCTCGACTTCAGCTCCCCGATTTGCCTAATTCCCTGCTCACTATTTAGGCCAAGGTCTAGAATCCCCTTAACCAGTTGCAACTTTATACCACGCACGCAAGTCTTTTTTCCTAGGGATCCTCTACATCCCTTTGACGTTCCTTGGATTCCTGGAATATTCGACTTATTCTATGTTATCTCTGATATTTTACTACCTTCACGTTTTCAGTCGATATCCTATCATTGATAGTTATCCTTCCCCGGAGACGATTCTTCACTGCCGTACGATATTAGGCCAAGGTCGATCGCTTGCAGCTGAGCAAAATCCCATCTATTCTCGCAAGTCTGATTTACCTGTCGAGAGCGTCCTTCGTTTTATTCGCAGGACGAGTAGTCCTCCGGATTGCTTTTCATAGATGGTGCTAATACAATTTCAGTGTGGGTTATCGGGATAAGAATCTATGATATGCCATCCAGTTCCGTTGGAATGGGCACGCCATGACAGTTCTGAAGCTTCGTGAGGGGTATTTTCTTTTTTGTCGTTATGGGGTGGCTGAAGTTTATTGCGGGTTAACATTGGTATTACCGGGAGCTAATGGCGAGACGCTCTTCCGAAATGTATTCAAAGTGTGATAGGTTTTTTGATTGTCATACGTATCAAAGAGAAGTCAGGGGAAAGATAAATGAAGGTTAAAGTAATCGCAAAAGGGAGCGGTGCGACTAATCGTTGACATTTTTCCTTCTGCAGACGACTCCAAGTGTATAAGAAAAATCTTTCATGGACAGGTCTTATCTTTCTATAACAATGACTAAATTCGTATCTCTGAGGAGGGACAAGCTTCTTTAAGCATGCGCTTCACCAGAATACTACGAATCCATCTAGTACGATCTTCGACAACGATCACACGGAGAAGTTAAGTTCTATTGAGCTCAGGTTATGACACATCATGCAATTTTCTTTGCACTTTAAATCATTCAGGATGGAATGCACTTTCGAATTAGGTTCCATTTTGACGTTCAATGTTCTTGACAGCAGACGCAAAAAATTGGATGCCATTGAATTATGAAACATTTTCTCTAACTGAAGGCTTCTCACACTGAAAACTTCATTTAAGAAATTGATTGGATTCGCGCTCGTGAATTATGCGTTAATAATATCCCGTACGCACAAGTTTGCATTTCTATGCATCGTAGATCAAGGAACTTTCGAATTTAAAGAGTTTATCAATTAGATCGTCCAGAGGTGTGTTCCAAAACCTACTCTCGTAGACTAGCGTATCATTCTGCGTCTCTTTACTGACATGCGTTCGACAAAGACAGACCAATACTCGAGAATACAAGAGTAAGATTTTGGAACATACCTAGGTCACACGCGCGAGCGTGGACCAGACCAATCCTGGTGAGAATTTTCAGGGACGCCACTATTATTAATTGCAATTGGACATTGGTAAAAATCGGCGACTATTGTTGTTAGATCTGCGAATTCGCCTTAAAGTTTTGACGTGTCCTACAAAATGTGTAGGTAACTATCAACGGCAATCGATTCCGACGAGCGCGGTTGCAGTAATGCGCATTTCTGACAGGTTTGCCAGCTAAAAGTTCGTAACTGCAAGTCCATCGAGAAACAATTGGTCAGCGATCCTAGCGCAGATTTGATTATCGCATGACTGGTGTAATACGTGTCTGTTGATTTTATCGAGTGTTATTTATATTTTCATTACGTTGCCCAATGTTGCGCCGAGGGCAAAAACACTTGTAAAGTTTTGTTTTTCAATTCCGCGGCGATTGCGTTTCATGAACTAAAAGTGGGCGCGCTTGGAATTGCAGTGTGTCTAGTATATCTTCTCACTCTCGTTCCCTTTATAATATAGTATTTTATCAATTTACCCGTCTGTATGGGAGGCATCAATTCACGTGGTATGGATTTCGACCAGGACCCAGGCCTTGCTGCGGTTTTGCAATACTTAATACGAAGGTTGGCCAATTATTATTTTATGTCAAAAGCTCCCATCTCTCCGCCGACGTCCTAACCTTTATTACTTTTTTTATTTTGCATTCCACCTCGTTCCGTGTTATATATTATCTATTATCGTCGTGTCATATTTCTATTATCCATGTGAAATATTTATTATTTCAGCAAAAATTATAATCTAAAATCAAATTTAATCGGTCACTTTCAGCACAAGATGTCATGATCATAACCTCACTTTTTTTTTAACGTAACATAGTTTTGTAACGCAGTTACTTACCTTTAAATTTTGCAATTCCTGAAAAGGACTGATTTGGTATAATTTCATTTTTTGTTTTTTATCAACTTAAATATTTCTTATTAGGGACAGTTATTTTTATCCTGATCCTGTTATTGAAGATTATCTGTTCTGATGAACATATTATTATGTTACTGTATACATATAATGGCTATGTAAAAAATTATCTTCTTTGAAATGGGTCATATGATAGTATTTGCTTTCTAGTATCTTTCATAACTGGATTGACTAAGAGATGGAGTTGTAATATGTAAAATTAGTTTTCTTAATTGTCTCAGTATAGTTATCGCTATAATGGATTTCTGTCTTCATTGTTAACAAAATTACTATATTTTTGTAATTAACTTTACATAACAGCTGTGTAAATTAAATTAGATTGACAAATCATATTTTACATCGTAATAAGTATATACCATCTATATACACTCCTACAAATGGAAGTCTTGGCTAGATAAGAATTTTTAGCAGTCTCAGCATGTCTTGCATTTTGATTACTGATAATAATATAATAAGTAATGCTTTTCTAGTAACCGAAGTACATTTGCAATAATCTTATTTGTGCTAGCAATTTTTTAATTAAGATTGAAGAAACTTTAAAAAGACCAAAAAAATTGTACTGGAAACATGAGTGACACAATTATTGACCAGGATATAGTATCTTATTGATCAGCGAAATAAGTCAGTCAGTAATGTTGGAGAGAAATAATTATTTAAGATTATTCATAAATTGGGATTTCATGTGATCCTTGTGTGACAAATTAAAAAATTTATGGTGAATTTGTTAGAGCGCTAGGAAAGAATCACAAATAAAGCATGGGCCAATTGTTTAGGTATACAAGATAAACTATAAATCGATTTTATACAAATGTCAATCATATTAAAGTAAGAAAATCATAATAACATTTCTATTGCAGCGGGCAGGTACACATTGTATCCTCGGACCATGAAGATTCAGACGAGGAATATGCTGCGAATTCGCAGCCTCCACGTATTACTTCTCCACCAAACACATCAAGACTTGATGTAAGTAAAATATGACATTATATTAGTTAAGTGATACAGTCACTTCTTAATATTACATATTTTCCCTAGAGAAGTGAAATAAGCCTGGCGACCAAACAAGCATGTGGTCTTGTTGAGAATCGCAGTGGACCCACAAATGTATCAGTAACCTCCATGATCCAGAAGCGAGCTCTTGGTCCTGGTTTCAGTGCAGGCCAGAAATGCAGAATAACCAGCAGTTTTTTGCCGAATAAGATGTATCAAGTAGCAAAATATAACAGTAAAGCATTCTGTGGTTCCTATTCTAAAGATGGAAGATTCTTTCTCACTGCCAGTCAAGGTACGACATAAATATAACTTTCCATGCTTCATGAAGTATATCAATAAGCATCGTCATATATAAATTCATATAAATTATTAGACAGATGTTTACGCCTGTATCACACGCATAACGGAAATTTTCTGGAGTTTAAAAAGATCTCAGCTCGTGACGTTGGATGGAGTATTTTAGACACTGCGTTCAGTCCAGACGGCAATTACATTGTTTATTCCAGTTGGTCAGAATGTCGTGAGTATTATACGTTACGTAAGAACTGTATATGAAAATTGTGACGCACCTTTGTGGTGTTCTTATCTTATTCTAAGAAGATCTCTGCGAAATTAGTTTTTTTAAATTATCATTTTTTTTAGTGTATCTGTGTCCTGTTTACGGGGACTCCAGCAATCAAGAGTCGTTGTCGCTGTGTCCGGAAGATCGAAGATTTTGTATATTCTCTTTAGTCTTCTCAAGCGACGGTCGTGAAATTCTCGGTGGTGCTAACGATGGCTTTCTTTATGTATACGATCGCGAATGTCATCAGCGTGCTCTCAGGGTTCGTGTAAAATATAGTAAGAATCAACACAAAATTATCTCCTTTTAGCAATTTTCTATAATTTCAGATTGAGGGTCACGATGACGATGTAAATACAGTTGCCTTCGCCGATAATACATCACAAATTTTGTACAGTGCAGGAGATGATGGATTGTGCAAGGTATTGAATGGATCTTATATTCAGTAATAATTATCGATATCTTTTACATCTATAGCAAGTTGTAGTAACATCTTGATAAATTAAGGTTTGGGACAGACGAACTTTAAGTGAAACTGATCCACATCCAGTGGGTGTTCTTGCGGGACATATGGACGGTATTACGTATATTGATCCACGAGGAGATGGGAGACATTTAGTGACTAATAGTAAAGATCAGACTATTAAATTATGGGACGTTCGAGCCTTTTCGGATGAGAATGCTGAGCAAAATACTCGTAAAGCCGTAACAAATCAGAATTGGGATTATAGATGGCAACGCGTACCTAAACGCTGTAAGTATTTAACATGAAATTTCTCTCACAATGAAATAGAAAAATGATCTGTGAATTACTTTGATTTTTAAATATTTTTATATTAGTACACAGAGCAAGAAATATGCTTGAGGGTGACACGAGTATCATGACCTACCGCGGCCATTCTGTTCTGCAAACTTTAATTCGGTGTCACTTTTCTCCTGCCGCCACAACTGGGCAGCGATACATATATACGGGATGTGCATCTGGACGGGTGATAAGTAAGTCATTAGGTTAAATAACATACCTATTACTGTAACTTCATAAGCTACATATATGTAGTAATAATTAACCAGAAATGATTCCTGTTAGACTTGATTAGTATTACAAATTATTAATAATCGTTACCGTCCTTGAGAGCGATAGAAAGTACTGCAGGTTCAGTGCACTTGTCTTCAGTGCAATTAATAACATGCGAATGATTGTATTTGGCCTCGAAGTTACTTTTCTATCTCTTACTCAAGATCGACGTGACAGTGAGTTCATTTAAAATGTAAAGAGCACATTCATTTCCCAAGGTGCATAAATACCTGAAGAATTTCAAGATATTTATTAAAATACGAATCCGACATGGTTTGAGGATATGAGAACAGAAGAATAGCATTAAATTCAGATTTTTCAAAGGATCGTATGTTTTTTTTTGTTAAATAGTCTATGACGTTCTGACCGGAAGGATAGTAAGTTCGTTAAGCGGCCACAGAGGATGCGTAAGGGATGTTAGTTGGCATCCGTTCCGTCAAGAAATTGTCTCCACGTCGGTAAGTGTCGCCATATCCAGTGACTACAAATCAAGAAATGAATATTCATTTAGGTCAAATTATTTATTACGTTACAGTGGGATGGTGCCATAGCCAGCTGGCGATACGCAGGTAAGAGTTCCATGGATAACTCCGATTCCGAAGAGGAAAGCGACACGGAATCTCCACCGCGCACATTACGTCGTAGCCAGAGAATAGCGGCTCAGAGAGCAAAGCACACGGCAGCTTGCACATTGATAGACATACACAATTAAAGCAAAACGGTGTGCAGAGACAGTCACAGTTGATTAAGGTCTCTTGGAACAGTGCAAATTGGTTCTGTCCCCCATGAAGAGGTCGCTAACGATGTTCTCTCATCGAGTTTACTAACCAGATCCCAAAATCCGCAAGAGTATAGGATCACATGCAAGACTGAAACGAACGTTTTTGTTGTGTTTAAAGATCAGTGTTAATAAGGCAGCCCAATTTTACTTTATGAAGAATTACATATTTTCCGAAGAAAAATATGACAAAAAAGAAGATGAAATGACATTAAAATTCTGGGGAATCGTATTCTCTTTCTTTTTTTTTTTGTTTTACGAAGAGAGCGAGATTTCCAATATCAATCATAATCGAATGTTTTCATGACAAAGTATGCGTTCGAACCCAAATGTCATCAAATGGATATTTTTAACTACGCATACAAGAGATTCTTCACGTTCCTTCGACTTTATCATTTATTTGTTACATTTTTCTATTTTTCAACCTCCCTTAATTAACTTACTTATTCACTGAATTATAACATCGACCATTAAGACGATCACGTTTAATATAAAAATTACATGGAAAGAGCAGTAAAAGTGCAGCAAGTACTTTAAAACGTGAAAATTCATAAATCCTGATTTTTTCAGGGAGTCTTTAAAAAAAATTCAACATGACAAAATCTCTATAACTGAGAATCATTTGCGGATCGAACGTGTGCTTATGTCTCTTATCTTGAACATTTTCTATTTGTTGCTTCCACTTAATTTTTTGTTTCTTTTTCGTTTTAATCTTTTTCTCTTTTTCTTATAAGCGAGCCACGCGCCGAACGTTCATCCATGGCCGCCTACTCGCAACGCGATAATACCCATTAACGTAATGGACTCTCTATTTTTATCGGATTACAAAAAAAGAGTATAACAAGCGAGTACACGGCCCTAGCGTGATTAGGATGAATTAGATGGCTCGAATTCAAAATCTACGTCTTGTTGTAATGTGACGAAGCAGTGTAAATTTTGCGATACCTCACACCGAGATGTAACATATTATTGTTGGCTTAATAAAACAAAAAGAATCCACGAGCAATTCGAATCGTTAATGTTTCTCGTCGTCTCGTGTATCCTTCGTTCTCATCAGCGGCACTATTTGCATATTGTTCTCATAAACTTTTAATTATAATTAATTAATACCATTATAATTTAAATCCACCAAATTCATCACTCATCCTTGAATCTTCGTTCTGTCCAATAACAGTAGGAATCGAAGTTAGATTCTGTAAAAAGTTAAATTACATATTGTGTTTTAAAAAATATCAAATATCGAGCGACTCTACGCCAGCATGTATACGTGTATGTAGAATCAATGCAACATACAAGTTAAAAAAAGAATAAAATGCGCGAACGAAAAACTTTCAAACATATCGTAAATTTGGCCATTTTTTGACTAACAATACAATTTTGACCTGCAGCAGGATTGATCGTTGTAAAGCCAATTTTATATTGCGCTTATAAAATAATATCAAGTTCACTCGATAACAAGATGGTCACTCTATTGCTATTCTCATAGTGATTTATCTCTGGTCAAAATTGATCCATACCATATGTTTAGTCCCATAGCAACGAACATATGGGAGTGTTTATGTTCCAATTTTTGGCCTCTGTATTATCAATACTCTTCTCCCTTGAAATGACGCAAATGAGAAACAACAATATAAGAATGTAAATATAATTGACAGCTGCCTAATACGCAACCTCTATACTATATGTACGATATCTTTTCTAATCATCTTTAAATTGCTTTTGTGACATTGCCAATGAAAATTATTGTACCAATTAGATATAATTACGTACGTTTTATCGTTAATAATACGTCGTTATGTTTAAAACAAAATTTTAATTTTGAATAACATGAAAATCAACAGTATCAAACCATATTGTATCCGCTGTCCATAATAAGATTTCTATGAATTATACACTGTAAGCCAGACGGGTGATGGAATGTACATTATTTGCAATATAATTATATCACACAGACTATCCGATGAAACATGTAGTACACGTTCACGGAATACTGTAACGGACGAAGGAAGAAAAAAGTTCGTCTTTAAGAAGTCATATGGCTGTGATATATCAAGAGATATACCAATTTATATTGCATAGCGATTCCTAACGACACGCATTATGTATCCGGTAATTAGAAGACTAGAATCATATATTCCATAGGTGTCTACGAGAGTCTTTAGTCGCGTCGAGTACAATGGTATTGTAAAATATTTTAAATTAGCTTCTATCCTATGTATTATGTGTATACAAAAGATATTTTTAAAAACCGGTGTTAAGCCGTTTACCAAGCGCGTTGATGAAATAATGGCGTAGATGACGTATGCGGTTAAGAAAAATTAAAAAAAAAAGTGAACAACATACTAAAAATTTGAAAAATTTTCGCGCCACTTTTTTAAAAGTATTCTCAAGCGAATCCTATTAACATTGAGATTCCGTAAATAGTAATGATGATAATAATAAATATTGGGACACTACGACGATAAAGGTAATAGGTGAATAATTGAAGCTTTGTAAGATATAAAGGAGGCTTAAGGTTATGTTTAGTCATAATAATACGAATTAGGTAATATTTAATATTATTTCTATCATATATCTATACGACATAACGAGATATCGATTCTCAAAGTGAAATTGCACAAGATGGAATAAATAAAGAGAAAGGCAAAATTGTATGAACGATATTTAAATTTATTTCCCTACCCACTGATATATCATTAATTACATCGATGTATAACTTTATCATATATTTTATATCGTTAACAATTTTTTGATTATCGATAGATCGATACGGTTAGAGATATTTAAAAAAATCGATACTCAATTCGCGACCTCCTTTTTTTAGAAGCCACACGAATAATCCTTTAATTTTGTTAACGTGAGTGGATTAAAGAACGAATCGCGAAGCCTTATCTTGGAAGAATAAAGAAAAATCATCATATACTATATTTGCGAAATAATTAAATAGTGAATTTCCTACACGTACTAAAAAAATGAGATATAAACCTTGAAAGAAATAAAACCAAATGCTCTATACGGGAGGATGATGAATCGTTATCGTTTATTCGTTAATTTTAAATGCATACCGATCAGTAATTAACTTATACTAATTAACAATTTTCGCAGCCAATTAACAGTAATATGTATACGATCCAACATAGTTTGTTTTTTTCTTTCAATTCCTCAGTGACAGACTTCAACATTTTCCGAGTTTCTATGTACGTATAAAAGGGGCCAATGCCATTTCGAACGGAACGTATGTACAATAATACCTGTAAGATCTGCTCGTTACAATGTCTTTTCCTGAAAGAACTTTTTATAATGATGGATATCTTTATACACGCAATGTTCACGTTCATCGTGCGAGGATTACTTTTGTCCTTTTGTTTGCTTGTGAATTTAAAAAGAAAAATTACTTTTATGCCTACATTGAAATACCTAGTAATACCAAAGTAGTCAAAGAATTGGCGGGACATTGATTTATTTTAGGTTATGCTACACGTGCTGAATGATTTTCATTGATATGACTGTATTTGAAAATATCATGTCTTTCGTAATATTTGAGCATCTATAAATTTTCTAAGTGGATTCACTAAGAATTCTTATTATTAGTATTGTTTTATATTAATTTTGTTAGGTCGAGTTATTCTTAATGCAATATAGAATCAGTTTGCTTGATAAGATCGTCCAAGAGTTACAGTTAAATAACGTGTAAATTCACTTTTGATATATGAACTTCTTCTATTTATATTGATATAATGTATGACCCGTGTAATTTTCTTTGGGAAATACTGTCTAACAACTTTAGTACTAACGTACTAAACACACGACCTAATAAGTAAAATCCCATACGAATTTGTATGAGAACCAAACTTCAGGGGGCAAGTAAGATGCAATATGCGGTTCGTCGTTACAAGCGGAGTCCTAATAACCGAAATTCCACTGTAAATATATGAAACGTAAGGCTTATCTCAGTTGACGAACGTGTCAGTATTGATGTTAAAACTGTAATGGACTAAGCAAAATAATGTGTCTAACTAATAAGAGCGTTTACAACTAATTTGTGGAACTAGTAAATCCAAGATTTAAATTTGGAGCATGGAGCCACAGGAAATTGTTAGATATTAATTAATGGATAGACCTTTACCACTGTTTAGCAATGATATTACAACATGCGAGGTTTTTTGAATATATTGTTGTATAATTTTAATACTATCTCTTTGTTGTTAATGACAATTATAATGATGGTTAAATAAACATATTCAATAGTCCATATACATACAGGGTGTCCCAAAATTACCTGACCAACGGGGTATGGCGGTGTTCGGGAGGCATCACTGATGACGAAAATGACCTTCCTTTTGTCCGGAAGGTCATAGTTTTTAAATGGGAGCAGGTCAAAGTTGACCAATCAGAGGGAGGCGTCACGAGAAACGTAGACACCTACAAACGCTGAGTTTTCTTCCTTCGCTTTTGTTTCTCGGTGGCTTCGGGCAGGATGACGTCAGCCGAAGCATGTCTATTGGCTGTCTATCTATATCTATACTCGATATATACAGGGTGTCCCAAAATTACCTGACCAACGGGGTATGGCGGTGTTCGGGAGGCACCACTGATCACGAAAATGACCTTCCTTTTGTCCGGAAGGTCATAGTTTTTAAATGGGAGCAGGTCAAAGTTGACCAATCAGAGGGAGGCGTCAAGAGAAACATAGGCACCTACGAACTCTGAGTTATCTTCCCTCGCTTTTGTTTCTCAGTGTTAAAAACTATGACCTTCCGGACAAAAGGAAGGTCATTTTCGTGATCAGTGGTGCCTCCCGAACACCGCCATACCCCGTTGGTCAGGTAATTTTGGGACACCCTGTATATATGTGAGTGTATATATATACGTATATATATTAGAAACCGTAAAAAAAACATTTGAAATATCAATTAACGATCGTCTTCGTCGGATAAGTAAAGTTGCGATTATTTAAAATGATTTAAGTATACAGTAAGTCAGACACGTAACATCCACAACGGCGTTCCAAGTAGTAAAATAGCAGCAATGGTCAGCCGGCGTAACTTGATTTCACCAAGAATAAAATAAATAAGAAATTAATATCGAGAATAACGAACGAAGTTCTTACAATACAGAGCATACTCTAATGATAAGTTTCAATTGCTTAGTAATGTCACAATTGGGTATTCGTCCCTAATAGGAAATTGGTATCCATCGAGTCTTCGTAATTTTCCAAGGTTGCAGCGGTCGAGCCATTCCTAATAGAATTTTTATATGACACGCAAGCCTGTAGCTGAGTGAGTCGATAAAAGGTAGTTTAGTCTTCCACATAGCCAGGTACTTCGTAGTTCGTTTAGTCGCGCGTTGCTCTTCGCAGTTTAAACGTGAGGAAAGATCGGTACTGTTACAATTTAGTATTTCTCTATTATTTAAACAAAACCATTTAACACGAAATCCACCCGTTAATAGAAATGCTCTAAGTCAATGATTTGAAATTATTGAAAAAAAATATATATATATCTCAGACGATTACATGTCCCACATTTTCTGACAGATAACAAAAGACCTTGTTATAACGTAAATGATAACAACTAGGAATACATAGAATGACACATTAGTCTTATGAATATTCCGGGACGTATCTGTCGATTCGCCAGTGAAAATTTTTGATAAGAAGCCTTTGAATTTGGCGGACCTTACAGGTGAAGCTACGTAGCTGCAGTTTCTATCTGACACAGAACAGGAGCGAAGATAAATAATAATGGCTAGCAAGGTAGAAGAAGGAATCGGCAGAAGAAACGCCATTCCCATAATACATACGAGAGGAACTCATTATGAGATTGGTTTTGATATCGTAAGTAATAGATTAGATAATTCATGTACAAGATGTCATTAAAGGTACAATTGTCTCAGAAAAAATCGTCACCGGTGCATTTATGCTTTTCCTCGTTAGCGCACAAGATTAGTTATGATTGTTATGCAATTATTCAAGGTTACTGTTTAGAACGTTTTCTCGCTCGTATAGACATTTAAACGTACTACCGGTTTTGCATACGTCACAATATGTACACTGCTCAGTTATTGCTTCATATTAGCACCGATTCCGTTTGATATTCTGATTTATGACTATTATTTCATAACGATGCCAAATTCATAATGATCAGTTTCAGTGATCAGACTGTTTCCACGATTTATATGTTTCGCTAAATAATTTATTAACCTCGTAAAATATAGTTATTAACTATTTACGTGCGTTGGTGACTATATTAGCAGTCCAATCGCAGTTGTTATTAAAATGACCGATAAATTGAATTTGCAAAAATGCTACTAGTTACTCTGTTAATATGTGCAATATAACATAATTTATGTCACGCAACAAGGTTTTTTTTCGGGGCTTGTCAATAATTACTTTATTGAAAGTAATTTGTCGTAAGAGCGTTTAAGTCTTAATAGATGATTATAAATATTTTTATTCGAAAATGGCATCGCTTGATAAAGTGCGTAATAACTGTATCATTACACAGGGATATTTAACATCATTACTGATTATAATTCTTACGACTTAAATGTCATTAGTGGTTATGTATAAACGTTCTAGCAAACACAATATGACTTTTAACGTTTATGTAAAGTCTAATTTCGCACTCATATAGATAACGTCGATATACAGCGTTATCATATCAAGGTTTTAAACATAAACGGGAAATCACAACTAACATATGCGTTACATCTGATATTGTGTGTGCTGGCGCAGTATAACCTATTATGTTTTTGTCCGAATATGAATTATGACTATCGTTGAAATCAAGCTCAATCAATTCCATAACACGGACAGAAAACTGATTTTATTCTTACGTGTACAGATCTTATGCATTTCGATAGAGGATAAGCAATCGTATGACAAAAACATGACGCTGAAACTGGCAGACGGAGCCGCGCGGCGAGCAATAGGTTCTGAATGCGACTGTACGCGACTGTACGTATACGAGCTACGCTCGGTACAATGGCAAGTTTGTAATTTTTTTTTTACTAATAAAGGCCGTCAACGGGAAAAATCATAGAACGTTCTATACGTCTGAGTGTGCAGACTATTCGTGTAAATTCACGGGATCCTAAGATCATGCGTGTAAAAGTTATACACAGTTTTTTAAGTGTGGCTATTGTAGGAGGCGCACGGACATGCAGATCTGTGCAGCTCAGCAGTACTTTTCCACGCATGCGCACAGAGATTTGTAGATTTACACTAATATTCTATGGGACACCACGAATGCAATACACTATAGCTTATCTCGTTGACGGCCTTTGTTAATAATTTTTAAAAAACATTAACGACTCGCCATCGCACCGAGCTTTGCTTGTATATTGCACAAGTATTTTATTTAAAAAAATAAATAAAGCTCGTCAACGGGAAAAATCAAAGTATGTTTTATTCGTTTCGGTGTACAGAATATTCGTGTAAATTCACGAATACCATAGATCATGCGTATAAAAATTGCAAGCCGTTTTCTTTGTAACGCTGTTACAGCAAGCGCAAGCATATACAAATCTGTGAAACTGAACAACATTTCCACATGTACACCCATAGCAACTTGCAGATATACACTATTCTATGTGCGAAAAAAATTCAACGGCATATGATTTTTCCCGTTGACGGCCTTTAATTATTTTTATTCTAAACAATATATTTGTTCAGTATACGAGCTACGCTCGGTACGGTTACAAGTTTGTAATTTTTTTTGTTATTAACAAAGGACGTCAACGGGATAATCTATAGTGTATTGTATTCGTGCTGTCCCATAGAATATTAGTATAAATCTACAAATCTCTGTGAACATGCGTGGAAAAGCACTGCTGAGCTGCACAGATCTGCATGTCCGTGCGCCTCCTACAATAGCCACACTTAAAAAACTGTGTATAACTTTTACACGCACGATCTTAGGATCCCGTGAATTTACACGAATATTCTGTACACCCAGACGAATAGAACGTACTATGATTTTCCCCGTTGACGGCCTTTATTAGTAACAAAAAAAATTACAAACTTGCCATCGTACCGAGCGTAGCTCGTATACGTATAGTCGCGTACAGTCGCATTCAGAACCTATTGCTCGCCGCGCGGCTCCGTCTGCCAGTTTCAGCGTCATAAAAAAACTGCGGATAATTCGCGTGAAAAAAAGGCAATTAAGAAATAATTGAAGGAGCTATAACTATCGTTAATTATTTTGTCTGACTTCACGTTAAAGGAGAAACAAATCAATAAGTATATATGTAGACTTACTTTTTTTTCACCAAACTCCCATACTACTTCCAATCTGTGGGACTGAAATCAATTATATTACGAAATATTGTGGTTACAGGCTTCCCGCGTCGTTTTTTCTTCCTTTTTTTTTGTAATTTACATAATTGACAACAACGTAATTACCGTCACGTTGTTCATGAAGTGAGTAATCAAATAAAACTCACTTATGTATCGTTGAAATCAATCTAACAAATCCCGACAATCTTCTAGCTGTATGACAATACCGGATACACGAGTCGACCTGTATTACCTATGAATATCATCGACGGAAATGATATTATCGACAGCCGAATATTTCCAGTTTTCTTAATGACAGTCGAATGAGGAAATCGGTCAAAAAGCATCTCGAATCGTTCGGTCTTTGTACCTTAAGACAGTTGATACTCTGTATTTTCTGTATAGCAGTATAGGACTAACTGAAAGCTATGTATCCCAAAAAACACAAAGTAACAGTTACATATCAGCAATCTTACAATGTACTACTCAAGTATGTAATTGTTACGAAAACACCTCATGTAAGTAACTCTTGTATCCCCAAGTAAGGAATTTTAACGTTGCTGATATGTTAATATTACTTTGTGTTTGCTGGGTATGAAAGATCTTGATTTTAAATGCAAGAATAGTTTTTCAACTCGGATGCAGAAAATGACGGTCGGTATGTTATCATGAATACATTAGGAAAAAAAACATTAAGACATTAAACATATATAATACTTCAGAATATATATATTAGCGTGTGAAGTATCACTCGTCACTGGATATATTGATGGAGCGATTGACGTGTCTAATAAGATTGCTTTTTAATTGTCATTAAGAATATTATATGTATGAAATTGGCATACTTTTATGGCATATTCATTATCAACGTCAAGCTTGCTTCTGGATCGAACTCTCCATTTTCAGGGACGCACATTCTCTGGTCTGATTCACAATTATGTGAATATATATCGACCGCTTAATGAAACCAGCTTGCCGCTTTACGAGACTCAGGAGGGTCGAAATGTCTATGAGGAGACACTAGCCTGCGTGACCAAACAATTTCCACAGTACGTCAGAGAAATCCAGGGAACTGCGGATGGTGCAAAGATACCCTTTCATAAGGTTCATATAAAGTCTCGCTATATACTTAGTAGATACTAGTTAGTACTTTCAGAACTGGAATTTCTAAGCAAGAAGTAAGGTGTATCCTGGGACTTAGAATTGTATATAGAAAACAGTGATGATTTCTGATGTGCATTGAATTTTGATAATATTATGCACGTGATAACCCTGAGGAATTCGATATGAGGTCATTGAATCATTAGAGATCTTGCGGTAAGATAATTGTACATTCCTAGCGCGATCGAACAAAACTATGAGAGTGTAAAAATGGAGATTGTCTTGTATTACGCGGTAGACGTATCTTAAGACGACCAGGGAAATGTAAATTCTTTGCGAAAATGATTCTCTGAAATGATTACATTTTTTCTTTTCTTCTAGTTATTTCTCATGCATCTAGATGACATAGTGCCTAATGTGGTTGAAGGAACTCAGGGTAATCCTCAACCTGTAGGCTGTTCGACTGTGATTTGTAATCAGCCTGGCCAGGTTCGTCAAGTATTTATGTTTCTGTGATGTTTTATTATTTTACGAATGAAAGAATTTCAGGAGATTTTGGGACACACGGAGGATGCCCTATCAGAGACTCTTAATCATTGGTATCTCGTGAGCGCTCACGTTATAGAACCTGGTTTGAGAGAAGAAAAATTCACTTCTTTAAGCTATGCTGGTTTCTTGCCAGGTTACACAATGGGCTACAATCACCATGGTCTTGTCTACACTGTGAATACACTAAGTGCCAATAAATTACGTTCTGGCAAGACACGTGAGTTTTTAGATTGTTATTGTTTATAATTTACTACCCTGATCGCAAAGCTATAGAAACTGTCTTGCTACTTCAGCCAGGTACTTCTTGGCCAGGTCATTACTTGGCGTGGAAAATTTTGTCCAGGCTCAACAAGCCCTGAGGAATGAAGGGTATGGTGCTGCTGAAGGATTTTCTGTGAATATGACTTTTTTGACACAAGAAGGTGACCGCATGTTTCATAACGCTGAAGTGGGACCAGTAAAGCCTGACGCTACCCAATCGCAACTGAGTATCCTGACAGCAAGTCCTGGAGAGAATATATTCCATTGTAACAAGTATGTCTTACAGCGTCAAATCATCACCTTGTACAAGTGAATTGTATAAGGAAATTACCATACCGAAAATTTTTATTTTTGGTAGATACTTGCGATTAAAGGTACCGGAAGTGGATGGTTTGATAATACCCAGTAGCGAGCATAGAATGGAAGCGATATGTCGACACGCATCGCCAAAAACACGTGAAGATGTCATTGACATTTTAAGTGATCAAACTGATAATGAATATAGAGTATTTCAAGAGATTGGACCAGACGACTATGTCAAAACAATTGCAGTTGGTAAGCAGGTACAACTCGTGTATTATACGCTTTGGTCATAACTATTTTTCTTATTACGATGTTTAATTTTTGCAGGAATTTTTGACTGTATTGAAAAAAATTGGTCTCTGTATACGGATATTCCCAAATATAATGATCCGATATTGGTGATACCTTTACAACTGAATAACAATACACTGTGCCATTTGAAAAATGGTAATGGAGTTGTTGACCAATAATGGGCAAAATCGCGAATGCGTGTTTGTAAAATATCATGAAATTCTATTAAATGTTACTTATATGATTCTTGTCCTGGGTATGAAGATTTCATATACCAAGAGGATACTAATACTATAACAAATGTCGTTCATTTTTGATGTTGTTATTTATGTGTCTCATGGATACTAAGTAGTATAAATAACATAATATAATATATATGTACAGAGCTAAAAAGTAATTATAACAGCACTCTATGCTATAAGAGATTATAGTGGATCGATTCTTCCAACTGTAATAAATAGATCACGCATAATACAAATATGTTGCTCTTTTATTTATCACGTTATCTAGCAGAAATAGGATATGCATTTCTTTACAATGGTGAGATTATATCATAATAACTTCAATATCTATCGATCTAGTTATACGGAATTAAAACATATATAATTTACGCTTCAATGTAAGATACTGACATGGTCCTGGGTCTCTTCAACGGCAGAAAGTTGGGATTACAACTTTTGGACGTTTCTTTGACTCCATCTCCGAGAAGAATTCTTTTATATCTTCCTCACGCACCACCTTCTTGTTTTCCGCAAATTTCTGCAGGTATTGTTTCAGGCGTTCCTTCATGTTGTTGTACTCTGTTGGTAGAGATGAGAATCGACGATTCGATATACGGATTCCTAAGCACGCGGCGAATATAAATGAGAAATAAAATTATACTTACCCTCGATCGCTGTTAGTTGTTGAACATGGTCCAAGGAGGCCAATGCCTTCATGCCTCTTTCGTATTGTGATTCCCGTTTATTGTCCTTTCCGGCTTCTTCATAGGCCTGAACACTATCCATAGGATCCAGAAGAAATTCCAGCTCATTCTCTTTGTACATCTGTAATAGGAAGAATAAGTCATATTATTCATTTTATCGAAATAAATAAGTAGAAGGGAATGGAAAGAAACTCACTACTTTGCATTTGTCACAGGTGCAGAGAGATGATCTCCAACCCTCTGTCCAGAAACAACCACTTTCTGAATGAGGCGGATTTGTTTGAGGCATGGTGCACCCCTCAGGAAGCTTTACCACCTCTACCTTATCTTCTTTACTTTCAAAAGAATCATTTTTAGTGGTTTTTGATGCTAGAACAGTATAAGAGCTTGAGTTTACCTAATGATCATTAATAGAGGTTTTCGTTTGGGATGACTTTTTCATTTTAATACCTGAATATTTGGAAGCGTAATGCCATAAGAAGGAATGCTTTTTCATGCAACCTGCACAGATCACTTCGCCATATGAGTCAGAATCAGGAATTTCTGTACAACCCAGATGCTAAAAACAAACATGATAAGTAAATATTGAATACATATAACTGGTATCTAATTTCTCAATCATTACCTTGGAATGATACCAATCTTCACAAAGGACACACTGTAGCATCTCGTCATTATTAACATCCTCTGGGTCTGGATATGGTCTGGAGCATGTACAATAAACTCCATCAAAATTTTGATTGTACTTGTTCTCATCATTAGCTGCAGGTTTGGCCTGAAGATATTTAAATTAAGTAAACAATCATCCATATTGGGAAACAATGTGGGCATTTTGACTGAAAGAATCATACAGGATCTAGACTGCACTTTTTATCTCCGAATTTGGAGTTTCCGCAATCGCATCGAAAATGTCTCTTAGTGTAAAGCTCAATAAGTTCGTGTCCTTCATGACAGTGGAAACTGCAAGCTAGACAAACAGCTGCACGTGTTTTCTGTGGGCAGCAGGTCTTACAAGCATAAAGAGCTTGTCTTATATATCCCTAAAATAAAAAGAGTAAATAAAATAACATAATTTACAATATAATGGAGGCGAAATTTCACCCGTAAACTTTAGTCGCATCGCGTCGTAATAAGCATCAAGAGAACAGTTTTTGAAGTAAAGCGTAACAAGAGGTTAGGTAAAAATAAAGTTTAACCTTATTGAAGGTACAATTTTTATCATCGGATGCACCAAGTACAGCATAAGCATCCTCTTCCAGTTGATTCTCCTCTTGCAGAACGTCCAGCATCGTTACAGAGTTGTCCTCCTCCAAATTTTCAACAGCATTCTCGGCCATGTTTTACTCTTGATAATCACGTTGTAAGGATACAAGCCTGTTAAAACCTCTCTTTTCTGATTCAAATCCAGCACTCAGTGTCCGTGGTATTTCCTTCAACAACACATTTAACACTTTCAGTAAAATATCGTAGCAGCACCAAAAATTTAACTGTGAATAATGACCGAATCGCTTGTCGCGGATCGTTTACAAACCGTTCCCGCTTAAACACTTGTTACGGTAACTTCAGATCAAAGGATAGGCAACCTCTGAGCAGCAGCAACTGAACTAGTAAATTGACGACCTAATAATTCGATTTAATGTACGAAAACGATCATTTGGAAAGCACTAAACTTATATTAATTTAACAAACATGTTTAGGATGTCAAATTCAAATATATATTTATTTTTTAATATTTCGATCTTTCCACACAGATGTCTATTTTGAAAATTCAATTTTATGCATTTTATGTAATTCGGCATTGCCTTTGTTACTTTTCTCCTCTTTTTCTAAATTTTTAAATCGTTACATATGATTGGGCCAGGTCAAATAATTATTAAAAAATGTATGCAAAGCTAACATCTGATAAGATGATATATAGAAATCAGTTTTCTAAATAAAAACCGTCGTTATCTATATTTGTTTTTTTTTTGTTGATAGTAGCGTACTCATAATTAGCAGTTACTTGAAAATTAATCTCCTTTAATTTGAATCTGTTACTAACATACGATAGATTAGGGAAAAGTATAGGGAAATAAAAGAATGATATACAAACTTAAATACATCTTGTTATTTACAAATAAGTTTGTTTGTGTTCCTTATAAACTGGTAATGAGATATAATATATATAATAATAGTAAGTAACTTCAAGAATAAAAACTATCATTATGGTCTTGATGCGATTTGGAGCAATGCGCACGACGCTCTGTAAATGCTGCCATTCTAGTCGAAGGTATCGTAGCACCTTTTGGTACCTAAAAGCAATGAAACACTCGTAAATTATGTAATCTTCGAATGTCAAATTTAAAAGTATATACTGTATCCAAAAACAATACCTTAAACCATGGGGATTCTAAGCACGTCTGTGCAGTAGCACGATCTTCTCCACGAAGACACAATAATCTCCCAAGAAGATCTTTCGCATCATTCGATATTGTCTCAAAATATTCGTCAGGAAAGCAAAAATCACATTTCAAAATATTGGCGGTCGTTTCCTCGACCGAATCGTCCAGGAATGGCGACAGACCACTAAGAAAGATAATGCATAAGTCATAAAATCATTTCGTACACTAATTATCGCCGTTAAAATGCTGCGTACCTTAAAAGTACATAAATAAAAACACCAGCAGCCCACATATCAGTGTGAGAACCGGTCGGTCTGCCAAGCACCAATTCAGGAGCTGCAAATTCCAAATCAGCTGGAGGAACAACTTCATCAACCGGTCCTCTGACAGCCTCGCCAAAGTCTACTAGCTTCACTACTCCGGTCTCTTGGTCTACTAATACATTTTCTGGTTTTAGATCCAAATGATAAATGCGACGGTAATGCAACCATTGCAGCGCTGAAAGCAATTGACTTGCATATTTACTAGCCATTGCTTCGGTGTACTCAGTCTTTTCACTTAAGTATGCAAAAAGCATTGGACCTCGAACCCTGGAAAAGAATGTTATAAGAGCGACGAAGGCTTTGCATGAATCCATATTATTATGATATTATATATGTCAACTGAAGAATCCTTACAATTCCAATATAATGGTGTCTACCCCTGGTTGTGGTGCATTCTCGAATAGGGCAAATGCTCGTACGATATTACCATGATGTGTAGACGCCAGTAAGTCGTATTCAGCACGAGTAAGCGAACGGGACTGTTTGTGACGTGGTGTTTGTTTAAGAGCCACTTCCTGTCCTGTTCCTCTATCCCTAGCACGACGTACAACGGCAAACCTTCCTTTACCTAACTCGTCCAGCTCTAAATATCGTCCAATGAATTGTTCGGCTTCCCAACTGGAACCCTCGTCCAGCGGAAGAGTGACAACAGCCGACGGTGAAGTGGCAATTCTATTTTTTCCTACTACTCTAAAACTGTACGAAGCTCCCGGTGACAGTTCTAATATTGCTGGCGGAGTTTTAACTTGATCCATTATAGGCATCCATTCTAGTGATGGTATTGTTCTGTACTCAAGATTGCAAAGACCTGCTTCTCGTTTCTCCCAGTCAACTTCGATTTTTGATGTTCCCAGAACACGTGCCCAGGTATTTCCATTGCCACCTGTAATATCAGATTCTAGTCTTATTCAATAATATCAATATGAGAAGATATAAGAGATACAAATGTAATAAATTAACAAACCCGTTACGCAGAGAGTAATTTTAGCTGAGCAGGAACCTTTCTCCGATTGAACGTTGCAATTATACACTCCAGAATCAGAGGGTCTGCAACGAGCTATCTCCACATATACAAATCCTGCATTTTGATGTAACTGATAACGGTTATCCTGCTTAACGTTACGATCTTCGCCCTCTTTTCTCCAAACAATAGATGCCCCTTCTGCATGGGACACTTCCACAGAGAGTCTAGCTACTTCGCCGGCCATTGCCCTCACTGGGGAGATTGCGCTTAGTATCTTAGGTAAGGATTTTTCTTCTGGCAATTTTTGAGGACTGTTAACATTCTTCTCTGAATCAGTCTTACGTGGTCTGAAAGACCATGCTCTACTGAATGAGGAATTGGGAATGAGACTGGCTGGTATCCATAATTCCTCTTTGGCATCCACAGGAGAGACAACCAGTCCTGGACCATCAAGATGAGAGACAACAAGCTCATCTCCAGCGTGCAGCTTACCCCAGTCTGCTGCTAATCTTACTCGAGCACCTGGAGCGACCTGAGGAATCCGCAGTTTTAAAGGGAATCCTTTTTCCTTGTTCGCACTCTCGCCCATCTTCATGCGATTGTCCAACGTGCTCACACGTGCACCAGAACTTCATGCTCACCACCCATTGACAGATAACAGTAGTATAGTGTAGAGTAGTATTAATACTAGTAGTAGTAATAACAGTAATAGTAATAGTAGTAGTAGTAAAAGTAGTAGTTTGGTAAGTAGCAATAAATAATAATAGTAGTAGTAGTAGTAATAGAATACAATGGGACCACCACCCAAGGTGCTATTTTTGGTTTAGTACCGACGCGACGGAGTCCGTAGATTAAATACAGTACATATTTCTCTTTATTCTCCATCTTAAACGGTAGTAACGCACAAGACACATTATCATACACATTTTGTACTTTATCATTTTGTCTCTTTGCATACTGAGAAGTGGATATAACTGTGTATCTCGTATAGTATCATTTGCTCGTATTTTTAATCAGTATTTCTCATTTTCTGCTATGGTGTTTCGCTTGTTGCTTTCTAACAATAGAAAACCGAGGGTTTGTCATCGCAACAACAGAAGGCAATGCAATAGAGAGCGGATAGCGACAGGCATCAAGAGGAAGAAGCGGAAGTGTCCCTTGGCTGCAAGTAAGAATTCTATAAGAGAACCTAGGATATCGATTTGGGAGGAAGGTCTTATATAATTCCTTAATAATTCTATCCCTTTCCACAATCTCCTTAAAACTTATTTCATTTTCATTTCTCTCTCTCTCTCTCTCTCTTTTCTCTTTCTTTCTTTCTATGGAAACAGTCTGCTCACCGGGATGGAATTGGTGCGAACGGGCGAGCGTGCCCGTAGGGTGTTCCTAAATCCCTCGAGGAAGTTTAGTTTACTCTTTGTCGGGCTGGGTGTACGAGGTGGAGTTCCGTCCAGTCCTCCGGTGAGCGATCGTTGAACAGCTTGACCCTTTCGCTGTCCACCTCGTTCTTTATTCGCCGCCCCGGACACTGTCAGCGTCGGTGGTACCGAAACGGCTGCTCGAATGACTGGCTCAGGTGTTGCGCTGCGGCTGTACGCCAGCAAATCATAAATGAATGGCAAACACAGTACTACGATAACCGTGAGAAAATTCCACTCGTAGCATACAGGTATGTACTTGACACGCTGGACATTCTTGTTTCAATAAAAGCGCGTTTTTCTTGTATTAAATAAATTATAACTGTTCGGACATGACTCAATGTCCAGGATAACAATAACACGAATGATCATTATAAACAAAAAAAAAATGTCGATTGCATTGGGATTCTACGATTTTAGGAACTTCTAAAGAAGCTAGAGGCTTGACGTTGTATAGAAAAAAGCCAGGGTTATTGGAATCCAGGGTACAGGAAAAAGGAATGCTATATAACGTGCCATGGAAACGATATGCGATTATTGCGGTTTGCGCGTTAGGTGTTACGGGTATGAAAGGCAAACTCCATACGGTTAATGTTATTCACGACACGGAGAAGATATCCGGTTTTTATTTTGCAAGCATTTACAGAGACAGTCGGGAAGATGTAGCTAGAGACAATTAAAGAGATGGTTGCTAGGATAAAGTGGGATTTAATACCTTGATCTGTAGTACTGTGTTCTTTTTTTGATAAATCATAAGAGAAAACAAGCTGTTAGTTGGGTGCGAGGTTAGTTAAGGGCAGGTGGGCAGGTTCCAGACTCTGGGAGATATTACGATGCATCACAATCACATTCTTGGTCATTTTACAATTTATTCTAAACAAAATGTTACGCTCACGAGTCGATTATAGTGGTTTCCTTCTTCCATTAATACGTATTATGTACATACACTGTTGCCTGTTGCTCGAGTGCCATTATAAACGTTATTAAAATTATTATAAATATAACGTACATTTTTATTGTTATAATTATTAATAATCGATTCTCATTACCAGTACGCTCACGTTGAGCTCTCCTAGTATTCGTATTATTAGTATATATATATATATATGCACATTGGAACGGATTAGCACACGTGAAAGGCTCAGGGAGCAAGAGTAAGTGAAAGAGCAATAATAAAGAGAAGAATCCGAAGCTAGAGGGGGTTCGTGAAAGGGGTGTATCAGTTAAGAGAGGGTAGGGAATGGGGGTCAAGGTCTCTTCACGGATCACAAGGTAAGTTTAAAAGGAAGGGAAACGACTACCGTTATCTAGCTTACAGTTTTCGTATCTTTATAAAATATACAAAAATATGTCGGAACGAATATTCACAGGTTGAGTGTTAAGAAGTCAGTGAGTTCAGTGGTAGAGACGCTTACAGTGGGTCTTTGGTAAGTTCCTTTTGGTAGGCAATGGGGGACTGTATAGCCTTAAGGAAGTCCCGCTGCGTCTGCAGGATAGAAGTAATTGTATCCACCCATTCCTGCTTGCGCGTCCCACTTTCCTCTACCGCAGCGCATGAAAATCCTAGCTCAGGTTTATGCGGATCCGTCGATCGGATCACGAACTTCTCCGGATCATCAGGCGAATCCTCTAGACTCATTTTATTCACCTGCACGTCACACACAGAGATATCATCAAAGAGTAAAGCCAGTCGTGACATTGAAGAAAGTAGTAGAAGACAATTGTTACGTCTCCAGAAATTTACGTAAATTCCCAATCAGTTGATGACCAAGTAACACTCACCTGGATATGAGCTTTGTATATATAGGCAGGATTAGTAAACTGTGTCTTCTTGCCAACAGCTTCGCTGAAGATGATGTTCTGCTCGAATAGAAATACCTGTAATTCTCTTCCACGCGTTGGCATACTACCAAGTTCAGATACCAACAGCGGACCGTGTAACAGAAGTTTACCCTGTGCCGTTATTTTACCCTGTGAACAATGATTTAGTAGTGGTAGACAATTATTAAAACTATTTGAAACGTTCATAAAAAATCACAAGGACTTTGTATTGTCGAAGTATACTAACATCAAACCCTTCCAATCGACCGACGTCCATCATGTCATTCGCTGCTTTGGGAATAATCCGCATAACGTCAGCAGCTGCACGAAGTCCCTCGATTTCAGATATTCTCTGAGTGCGCTCGGTCAGGCGTAGCGCCTCGCGTAGCAACAATTGATACTTGGTGATCCTCTGCACGGGCTTTATGAGCAAATCGCATATTTGAAGTCGGTGACCGAGTTTTTGTCGCAGTTCCTGGGAATAGAACAATGAATATTGACAATTGAAAACATGATATAATTTAACTTTGAAAAGCGTTCAGCGACCTGCAGAATATTACCTCGAAGTATGTGTCGACGTGCTCAGACACAATATACTCGGAGACGGGTTTGTTTTGACAATAAACCACATACATGTGTAACTTCCTCTCGTAACGCTTAAAAAGAGGGCCCAGCTCCTCCGGTCGCTCTAGACAGCGTTCCAGAGCCTTCAGAAAGCAACTGTAAAAGCAAACGTATTAGCGATTTCCTAGGAGAACGAGTAGCGATTCGCAATCGGTAATTTAATCGTGTAAACATTACCACAGCTTTAAAGAATATGCTCTTAAATAACTACGAGGATGAAACTTACTCTCTGTGCCACTCGTAGATCGCTTCAATGTTACCGAATACCATCTTGTCTTTACCACTTCGCAGGTCCTCGGGAAGGGGAATGTCACTGTCAGGATCCCTCATTACTGCCATATAGCCTTCGACGATCTGCCTGAGATCGTTCACGTAATCCCTTTCAGTTTCCACAAGTTCTCTGATGACGAATTGCCGTTTAGTCAGGGCAGCGCTCTCTGGATCATAATCCTCCCCGGCTGATCCACCGATACCACTATAACCATCCTCTGCCCCTGTAGATGGCCTTCCTGGTGTCCTCATCAAGCTGTGTCTTTCCTGATTCTCGGTATGTTGTTCCTGGATAATGGAATATTGACAGAGTCTTATTATTTATCAAGTATCGCGGTATCACGCACCAAGCACAGCACTCTACACACTGTGAAAATGTATTGAAAGGAAGCGCACAAGTTGACGGGACATTCGGTGCGTGTAGCGTGACAGGTGGGATATGGGATCTGAACTTAAAATTAAGTGGTGTGACACTCACTTTTGTCAAAGCGTAACTGCTAACGACCGATAAGATAACTAGAGGGAACAGGTTACATTGGGGTAAACGAATAATATCACCCACTTACCATACTCTCCTTGACAATTTGCTCGATTTCAGCAATATCAGCGGACGCAGCACCGTCCAGTGATTTCATAGAGCGCTCCGATACCTGCAAATATTAATCTTTAGAGCACCGAGAACTTTCTCCTTGAAATTAAGTTTTTTTTTACAGGAAATTTATATACAATATATATGGAATCTATAGACTACGAGGAGGCGTCGAGTTTGCTGCTGGTCACTAAAGTAGTTATAATCTAGATCTGTCGAAATGAAAAGGTCATGGAAGAGACTCAAAACCGCATAGACTGCGAACAAATACGCTTATACATGTCAATACATTATATCGAAGCATAAATACATTTACTCAAATATGCATACTTTCCTGTGATTAATCTTTATTTGCACGTTATACTATCTCTTTCTGGAAACTATAGTCGCCACCGCGGCCTTCTATAGGTTAAAACCATTTAAATGGAATTAATAATTTAGACTACGATCGTCATTACTTCCTGGCAGCTTACAAATTATTACGCACTATATCGACGGTCATGAACCCGCTCAACGCAAATGCCAAAGCCTGCCAAGTAGGATTACGATCAAACGAGTAGGGGAACCTCTAATCATAAGGCAGTGACTGTCACTGGCAACCGAGACACCCTGACTGGTTGCCTTTAGCCAGGTTACCTCGTACATGGGGATAGCAATGGCTGTCACGCGCATAAACATGTAGATCGACAGGAAGCTCGGTGCTGAGCGAGTAACGTGAGATTTCACAGTGTACCGTGATCTCGTATTTCGCCTCTGGCGAAAGTTCTCTAGCACCGGATAGGATCCATATCCAGGCTCTTCCTGACTTGGATACTCACTCGTTTCCCAGGCAACTCGTCCGGGATCGTGGAGCCCGGTGGACCATTTCCCGATGCCACGAGAATCGGCTCGGTGATGGGTTTCATGGGTGGTGGCAATTCGAGATCGTCCTCGGCGTCCTCGCCGCCGTTCTGCTCCAGGAACGCCGGAGCCTCGCCGTCCTCACATTCGACCTCATCTTCCTCCTCGCCCTCGGTGGCGGCTCTACCAGATTTATCACCGCTTGGTAATTTGAAGCGCTTGTCCGAGCCGGTTTTCTTGAGCGGCGGTGGACGATCGGACGTTGTGGATTTCTCGACTTTTCCTTGGCTGAGCTTGCGAAGAGGTGGTGGCAGCCATTTTCTCCTGAGGATGTACAGGTACATAATTACAGATAATTTTTAGGAACGATTCGGATATATTATCACACGTGATCAATTACAGATTCTACCACTGACTCATTGAGCTTGATACCAAATTTTTTTTTACAATATTTATACAGGTCTAATACGTATATAAAGGGCCTTATGTTATTAAGACACAGTGACAGAGCGAGCGAAAAAATTGTATCCATTAAAAAAGAAACATAATCGTTATTTCTAGTATCGTAATGCGTATCGATGAAACGCAACAGATAAGCACAACTTGGCATACTCCATTGAGTCTTATCATAAGATACCAAACCAGTGTTATCGTCTCGTTTAGCTGTACAATGAAATCAGACTAAACTGGTACATTAACATTACGACGAGGCTATGCACCAGGAAGTGGTCGTTTTACAACGTCACAATAGTACCGTTGAGAATTTTAGTAATCATTAAATTCTAACCTTAAAGCAGTAAGAAAATTCATGTGAACACTGCATAGACTACGACAGTGAAAGTTTTCAAAAACGTAATGGAGCTGAATAATCTTTTTCTTCCCGTATACAAGATAAACAAAAAAAAAAAAAAAGATTTCTTCTTATATTTATACGAAATAAACTTACCCGCTGAATCCGCGTCTCTTGTTCCCAGGTGAGCTGGTACTGGCCGATCCGCTCCCGTCGCTTCCCACGGTTTCTAGAACATCGTACACCACTTGATACATACCGATTTTCTCGTGCGAACAGCGCGAATCCGACAAAAATAGCCCTAAACGCGTCCTGACATCTTTCCACGAGGTGTCGCGCATGTGGACCTACGGCACGACGTTGAAGTCGCGAATTCACAAAATGGGTCACACGATAATTAAAGAGCTACGCCTATGCCACCCATATGGGCTGCCAGCTATAATCGCGACTGTGTGGTCTTCGATCAAGTCGCAAAATCCGTATTTCTCGGTTGAGATTAGGCCAGTTCGCGTTACGTTCGGCATAATGTTCAAGGTACTCGTCACCGTAGCCTGTCTCTCTCCGGCGACGGAGATAAGATCTTCGCGATGTCAATGAGTCACCACGAGGATTTTGCGAAGATGAGTGCACGCAGTACGTACTCGTGGAACCGCGTGAATTGCGCTTCTTAGCGCTCCTGAGGATCCGCATATTCGCGTGCCGCTCGTTCTATGCGCACTAAGTGCGAGAAGAAGAGTCTGTGTCTAAGTGGACGATGGAAATAGTCGGACCTCGATCTCCCTGCTGTTACCCTGGTTCGATTCCAAGTTACTATATCACCGAGCTAAGGCCGCTATTAGAGCGGGAACTTCGAGGATGCCTGACGTCAAGTCGGCTGCAGTTGTATTTTTGGATGGGATGAGACACGTCAGGAAGAGGAAAATCCTCTGGGGACATATATCGAGTTGGAACACGATAGTTACTCGGCGCCTGGGAAAAGAATGAATGAGAAATAGAAATGCGAGGAATACACGTTGAACGAGAAACCTACTTGCTCAGCGGCGCTTCCCTTGCCGTAGTGAAATCACAGCTTTTGAGTGTTAGTCGCGCACTTTGACCTTTCGACAAATTTATGTCTTTCAGCTTAAGGGCTCAATTTCTACTATCCATTAGGGAACTCCAGATCGCGTACGCCAATGAATCTTTCCAGCGACTGAGACAATTGTCCTCAAGTATCTCAAGAGCTCTCTTTTGGGTACTGACGATCAGGATGTGCTTTTCCCGTGTTTCCCCTTCGCTCGTTCTTACTTTTCAAGCCAAGATAAACACACTGAAGTATTCATATGTCTAGATGGAGTATCTCGCGGAGCGTAGAATCAATACAAGGTGAAACCAGCGGATGATTCTCTTTGATCTTTTCTCCTCTCGAGGAGCCCGCGCGGCGGTATCTCTAGCAAGAGTGACTCTAGGAAATTAGTGTATAAATATAAAGGAGCTTAATACGTAAGCCGAGATCTACTGTATTGCTACCATATGGTGAACTGGTAAAGTCGAGAGAACGATCGAGGCCGTCAATCCTCATGAGTACGTGGTCGTTGGGTACATTTTCTTCGTGAGATGTCAGCACAAGGTCACCGGATGAAGAGTAATCGTGATCCGGTTGAATTCTTTATTGCGATGCGAAAACTCGTCGTACTTTGTTTCTGGCTACGGACGACACTCGTAGAAGAAGGGGACTTGGCACGGTTTTTCATAATGCACTAGCCGATCGATTGACTCTCGTCAGGATTGCATCAGTTCGACGTCGTCTATCGTCGTAGCGACGTATAAAGTTATCGAGTGTATCGTGAGGATGCGCCTGCATTTATTAGCCACTGTGATGTCCCGGCTACTAGAAAGAATGGAAGCTGCTACGACGAGACTGGGAAATGAAAAAGAAAAACGGACGAGAAATAAATCGAGTAATTGGGCTGCGAACGAAAATTTAGTAAAGTGGATTAAATAAAACGAAGATTTACCACACTCGAGGATATTTTTTCCATGAATGCGGGAAGATTCGGCATTATCAAAAGTAACTCTGGAAATTTGCCAGATAAACGTCTACGAATGTTCCAATATTGGAACACTGGGTTAAGACCGATTAAACTGACAGTATATAGGGTGGGGCATGTGCCGGGTACCGGGGCCATTTTTAGCACTGAAATTCCTTCTGGTTTCGGCACCGCTATTAAATAATTCGTGATCCTATTGCGCGTCTCTCCAGCATTTATATCTGAGATAGAATTCGTTTTTCACTCGTTTAATTTATCCACGAGTGGCTATTTGTTTCACGGCAGTGTCTATCGCTGAAGTACCAGGATATCATCTGGCAGAGTATATCAGCCTCTAAACAAAAAAAAAATCAAAAATAAAATATCAGGGGATAAATATGGTTGGTAAATTTATAAAAGTTCAAACCGACAGCGGTGCTAGGACTGCGACGTATAAGGAGCATCTTCTTTCTATATATGGCGGGTTTTTATGAAATCGCAACACGCGTGTAGTCCAAGTGACCATCGCGTGTGTCGAGCGCAAGGAAATGTGGCCACTTCGTAGCATTCTCAATGGCCAGAGGGTCCTTGCGATTGGCGCTTAAGTCACGTTGGATATTCAGATATCATTAGAAATTCCACTGAGAGCCATCGTAGATCGGTAGTAACGAGATCGAAAGTGTCGTATCACGTGACACTTGCGAAATACGAAATCACTGCACTACTGGGTGATTTCGTTCAAAATAAATTTTTTTAGGTTTTTTAATAAATAAATAAAAATGGTTTAAACAGCATAGTACAGTATGCACAATAAGCACTGTGAAAAGAATTACCTGAGTTAATGTACACTTTGCAGATAGCCAGTCATAAAAAGAAAGGTTATCAGGGTGCACTTACATACATAGCGATCACGGGTCAACGCGCCTTTAGTTAAAAGTTCGGTGAGTGAGCAATCGATCTTCCATTAGAATTAAATCCTGATCGGGTCGTTCATTAATTTCACAGTATTTTGAGTGAGGGGCGCTAGTCGATTTCTAAGATAGGGTTAGTGGAGTTCGAACTTTGAATGACCTCGAGGAGTCAGAGGTACAGTCAGGAAGTCTATATAAAGAGAGACTGACCGGTAATTGAAGATGTAGAAAGAATGCTAATACCTGGACCAGGTAGAGGAAATGTCCTTCTGGATGAGGTGCCTCGTTCAGCCATGGTCGACACATGTCTGAGTAAAAATCATCGACCCAAAAGAAATTGGTCACTGGATATAATACAAGCACCACTAGCGAACCCAAAGTGATTTCCCTTTATGGAATAAATGCGGTTTTCTTATCACTTTTTTCGCGGCATACACGCGTCGCCCGCTGGTGATAAACTGAACTGACTCCGTATAGAAACGAACAGCGCCGATGACGAAGACGCTGGTAGAAGCGGCGGTGGAAAGGAGGCGGGAGGCCCAGCCGGGATAGCGAGACGTGTCGCGGTTATAAATATTATTAAATAAGTTGCTTATACCACATAGTTATAACAATGATGATCTGACGAGCGGAATGACTCCCGGCGAAGTGGGTCGCATCGGTTCTTTAATCAAAGAATAATAATGAGAGAATCGACAGTCTAAGTAAAAACGGGATTTCCAGTACCCTGGAGCCACGTACAAATATTTACAGAATAATATCTATGTTTAATAAATTAGCATAAGAAGTCCATGTGTCACGATAGTTTTCCTAGAAAGGCAATGTATACATATATGATGAATGACATTGGTACCAAATGTAGTCAAAAGCCTACACGCGATCTACACGTGGAAGCAAGAAGAGTCGACCGAAGCTATGGCGAGACGTCAAGACAATATAGGCAGGACCCCAGAGCAGTTTTAAGGTGACGTGGCCCATTGGCCAATTTGCAGAGCAGCGGGAGTGGGTTGATGACACTGGAGGAAGGTGCCAGTCCGGAATAGTCATTGCACCATGTAGGATCGTTGCAGAAGGAGTAGGTAGATAAACAGAGCTATGATAAGATGCCAGCCCGTCGATGGTGATTATGATGGTGGTGGCAGTCCGAAGAAACGTCAATATAAAAATTCGCAGGAGAGTTATTTATATCAGAGTATAGTGATCGTGGCGCGTGTTATGGAGCGACGACGACGACGACGACGAGGAGGAGAGTGGCGGTGGCAGCGTCGTCTACGGCAACCACGACGTTAAAATACTGTTCGTTATCCCTAGGGCAATTGCGGTTGGCAATGACGGCTTACATCTCCTTATATGAAGCGTGCGTAACGTGCACGCCGGGACTACGAATTGTGATAGGTCGCACTGCTCGCCGGCCGGCCGGAGGCTGGGAATTGGTCAAGGACGCGTGGCGATGCGTATTGATCGAGTGCGGACTTGGAGTACACGTACAAGTAGGGAACGGTAGAGCGGTAGAAACGCAGGAGCCGGCGCAAGTGCCGTTTCATCCTATCCCTGTGCGACCCCTATACTTCCTGTCGAGACTTTTTCGCGTGCTATTCACAGCCCGTGGGACCGCCCGTGAAACTCCTCTACAATGACTTAACTTACAACCCACCCCCGAAGGATCCCCATCGGTTCCCCAGGTACAGACCCTGATCTACCGCCGCAGTGTTACTCGAGATAGCCAACACGCAGCACCACTTAAGTCCAAGGGAGACTTTTTCACGCGAGATCGCATGAGCTACCGAGATGTCACTTGGCTCTGGGCATGGCCGGTTCGAAAAAGTCGAACCCCAGAGCCTAACAAGTTCTTGAGAGTTATATTATCTTGACCTAAATAGTCCTGATCCCAGCACGAGTTTTATTCTGGGTTCACTGAGATGATCGACCAGCGCAAATATTTTCCTCCATTTGCTTGCGAGCTTAAATATTTTAATCAGCCATGCTACCGGAAGAGTAATCGTCCATGCTTAAGACAGGCATCTCTCATTCCCCGCCTCATATATCTTCTAGTGTCCGCCTCTTATCTCGAGCGTGTATAACTACATAGGTAGACTTGACTTGATCGTCATGACTTGAGTCCATATTGAAAGAGTCGTTAGTCTGGAAATTTACGAATATTTAACTTTATCGCTGAAGGCAAATAGACACTGTAAATTAATCATTAAGACTGCACTACACAGTCATTCAAAGTGGTCGTTGGATTAATATATAAATAATGCTGCACTGATGCATGATATATTCTTTGAAATTTACCTTCATCAGTCTATCTGAGCAAGTACGTCCGGAGCAGGGAGTACGCAAGGACACTAGAGTTTTTCCTAAGAGAATTGGGAACTCCTCCAGGACTCAAGGTGTACCACTTACCAGCATCCTCAGCGGTAGCAGACTGTTGAGCAATAGCAACGCTCGGTTGCGTCGGTGCTTTCCTGGACGGCGACGTTTTGCAGGACGTGGTGGGTGGTTGTTTTAGTGCACTCGTAGGCACTAGACCTTCTGGAGGTGGGTCAGCCTGACCCGGAGCCAGAGGAAGTCGAACCAGGGTCCATTCTCCTCCAGCGCTATTTCCACTGCCGTTCTCCAGAACTTCAACCTGCTGCCCTTTGGTGACAGTCAGCTCATGGGATCCCGGTGCAGCGGAGTGATCAGCGACTACCCACGTCATCTCAGCCACTCCCGTCTACAGGATGAGGAAAAGGGGGCAAGAAGAAATGTCATGAATCTCGTTTTACAAAAATAACCGTGTTTAATAAAATTATTTAAAATTAGTATGTCAAGAAAACCAACTGGTCCTACGGTAACACGAGTGTACTCGGGAAATCGGACGAGCGGCCGCAGCGTACCATAGCGCAGCCGGTCGATACCCACGGACGGGAGATTCTCTTTGAATTTGCGGCCCGACGGAGCGACTAATATATTATTCTTGCCTCGATGGATCTGATTGAGTTGAAACCTCAGTAAACACTGAGTTTAAATAGGGCCCGACAAACGATGCAGAATTCATCGAGAGCAGAAAAGAATGTAACAAGAAATACGAATTTATAATATATTTACAAATATATAAGATCAGTATGAAGTATATAAGACCGATGGCAAACCCCCCGTACTTGCCAAGAGTCTAAGAAGCATGACTGTCGGGATATTCTTCTTTCACTCCTTTTCGAACGACCTGGGATACTTCTCCACAGCCTCTCTCTGTCTCTCCTTATCTCATTCCATATAATCGCACTTGAACCAGAGTCACGTGGCTACATAATTCTAAGCGAATTGCAGCAGTTAACTCGAGCGAACTGGAGCGCCTATGTGTCTATGCGTAGCGCGTTGACGGTTCCTTAATAATACGCGGTTGTAAAAGAGAGCGAGAAGTTCAGTTATTTTCAGAAACGGTAAACGAGGGGAAATAGCAGCTACGATGGATGATTCTTTTCCGATCTTTATTATAAACTGGATTTTAAGGACTGGATTGATAACGAAATTTAAATTTGAGGTTATGTCATTTCCTGATAATCATGATTACGTCGATACGACAAAATGAAAAATTAAGTAATATAACATTTTGTTGTCAGGATGGTCAGTAGTGCATTTTTTTTTAAAGATAGCGTAAGCAACATCAGCCTTTATATAAATAGTGACATTAACCCTGAGCTGTCAAAAAATCAAGGCTGAATCCTACCATGTGACTTTCTCCGATCTCCCAGAACCCTGGAGAGAAGCATGAAATTCTCCTTCTTTAGATGTGGATCGTGCACATTAATAAAGTCTGGATATGAAGTTGCAATGCGTCATATTAATCCTCCTTGTATTTTAACTGATACTTTTTTTCCTTTCTTTCTCAGATCCGAATTTTGCGACGGGAATAGAATTTGTACGATGCTGGGAGACACTGACAAATATGATACCTAGTGCGCCATTGCCAATTGGATGATCCAGTAGTGTCGTCGTTAATTCAAGTTAATCGGTAAAATTGAAATTATACCGAAAGAAACAGTTTGGCTTTACTGCCAAGCCGCCAAATGTCGTTTAGTGTATGATTTGACAGTTAATGCGTCCAAGTTTTATGGGCTATCTGTTTCTTCAGAAGGTTTCTTGTAAAGGTTATTTTCATTAATCCATGATAAATAACGATCATGACGTGATTCTAACGGTCGGATTATTTAACACCTTGGATATGATTGCCTTTTAAATTAACCCCGATACCCTAGTGGCAACCGGTAGAACTAACAGCGCGCAGCGATAGGTGCACAGAAGACTTGAAGTACGTGTTGTGAAAAATCTTCAAGTAAACGTAGTAACTAACGAGAACAGGATGTAACCAAAGTATTATTATCTCGCTCAAGGACGAAGGAAATCCACATAACTGATACCACGATTTCCTGGCACTGCGGACTAATGCTGCATTCTTCGAACGTTCACACGTGGTAATATAAATTCCCAGGGCGAGTGAATTTCATCGAAAATTCATAGCAATGTGTTTCTATATATATATATATATATTGCTGGAGATATATATATATATATATATATATTATATTGCTATATATATATATATATATATTGCTGGAGATTCCAGAATACATAATAAAGCATAGCCGATAAAGCATACGCCTAGCATCCTGATAATAAAAATGTCCAAGAAAAGTCCCGTTTCTCATGCAAATCTAATTTGTAACTCCCACGCAAATGGGTATCGTGTGTAGCGCCATCCGTGAAAAGAGCATTTGCGAGAGGGTTGCAGCTAAGAGGCCTCGTTACTTGAGAACTCGCCAAGTGTGTCGGTAGGTTTCAGTAAAGTGGGAGACGAAAGAAGAAGAAGAAAAAAAAGAGCTGAGGTATCGCGTTATATAGTTTGAACAAGACGAGAGAGAGAATTTTTCGGACAGCTAAAAGGATATCAGGATCGTCCATTTTGTCACTATGCCAGGGTCCCAGCCCGGATTTTTCGTAAAAGCGGGTATTCCCGTGGGAAGTGCAGACCTGGATTGGTTGGGACGGAAGTACAACTGGCAAACTAGCGATGATAAATCAAATCGTAATTGCCAATCCGTACTGGTAATCGAGGGACAGACCGTGGTATAGACGGAATGACAGACAGAGGCTACTCTTTGAAAAGAGTAGAAACATATAGATATGACTGGTGCAGATGTATATATACATATATATACGTTTTCTTTCAAAGGCGTCGTCCGATTTCCATTGGCTCGATAGCGATCACCCTCTCGACAGCCAATCGCTGCATGACCGAATCCCTTCAACTTCCGGCACTCGAGGCAAAACAAATAGAAAAAAAAAAAAAAAAATTGGAAATCAACCACCAACATAATTCTTGTATTGCAAATCCCGGCGGTTACGTAGATAACAGACGTAGGATTGCCAATAGATGCACTTCGACGTTCGGTACGTTTTTGTATCTAGATATACCGGTTATATATAAATATAAAAAATAGATGGCAGTTCTACTTTATGGTAGTTTGTCGCATGATAAACTGCTTATCGCAACGTCGCGCACCCACGCATAGGCACAATCCTTTCGACGAGTAAGACGCGAACGGTCTGCGTGGTCGTTGTATAACATGAAAGAGAATTAATGGTGATACGATCAGCAATTAGTACAGCGTCTCGACGTGGACATCATCGACGAGGTATACCTGGGACAGGGAAGGTTGTCGACGTAGTAGTCGGGCCTGGAAGGATCCCGGGGTATCAATGGTGTGCTGTCGTGCAAGGGCGGGATGCGGCGGAGCCACGGAGCCCTGCCGAAACCAGGGTAGCGAGATCTTTCGACGGGCCTTCTGGGCGATCGTCGCCGGCTTCCCGGCTGGCGATGTCATTCTGGCGATAATCCCGATTAAACACGAGCGGGCGTTAACGTGAACCCGAATTAGGTGATGAAGAAGCTACTCCGACGAACTCAGCCATCCTCGCGCCGCCTTTGGCCGGACCAGGAATACTGGAGCGGCTGGAGAGTCCGGCCGACCCGAGAGTCGCGTCCGTACTGCTCTCCTCGCTCCTGGATTCACCTCGAGCGGATACTACAGGCTCACCGAGTAACGACGGTGCACGATCGGTCCGGAACGCTCCCACCTATCTACCCGCGAATATTACGCCATTGGCGGACGAGCCAGTTGATATGCCCGTCGGTTGGTTGGCGCCTGAGCGCAACCTCGACACCATCTACCCCTACGTACGACCCCACTACTACGGCCTGTGAGAGTCCTGTCCTGCACACACCTCCGACACTTGGGACAGAACTGGCAGGCGTCTGCTCCAGAAGATCGATCCTGTTCCTTCCTACCTACCTACCTACCTGTTCGCTTGGATCTACCTAACCCGCTCGGTGTACCGACTCCCTACCATATCCCATACTTCATAAGCTCATCTTGAACTTACACAAACCCTCTGCCGAGCCCTGGATACTCACGGCTCCCTATCAGTGTTATATTAGCATCCCTTTAAAGTTTTATTTGTCCCACAGGACCGTGTCAGATGAGTTTGACTCATAGTGAGATTTTGATATTCAGATTAGAACCGGTTAGTCTAAGACGTTATAATTGAAGTGGCTGCATGATTTTATATATCTATGCGATAGCTTGTTATTGAACTGTGTTTCCTATGTACTCGTTTTATTTTCAATTTTGAATAGGAGGTACCTAGGTAATTTACAGGGTCGATATGAAGCTTCTATTCAAGTAACTTGCTTTTAGTATTCGAACTCGAGATGCATTTGAAACTCTAACATTGAGAGCGACCTTTGGCACCAAACTAATAAAAGCCTATCTTGATGTGATGTATCTAGTAGGAAGTCGCAACACAGCACGTAGTAATTAATTACTCACTCTTAGGTTCCTAAGTTACCGTGAATACGATCCGCACGGCTCGGGGAAAAACAGTCATTTCCACCTATACATTGTCGTGAATTCGTTACAAGCAAATAGAGATAGACCTCGTCGACTGTTTGAAATTTTATATAATGATGTTAACAGAGTTTTAAATGGACCGACTGTTACGTAAAATCCAAACCATTTGTATCTGACAGAACGATTATGTCACGTTCAATTTCCTTTTTATTATTTTCTAATACGGATCACTGCTTTTCCTATTTGACAAAGTCATACGGGTACTGGAAAACTTGTAGAAGAAATATCAGTTTTTAATACGACGACCTCTTATCTCTCAGATATCAAATTTCTTTTTTTACTACTCAAACACAATTAAAATCTCTTGCGTCACTAACTCGTTCAACAATATATTCTTCCTACCTTATCAGAATCCGTTGTATTCGTCGATCCAAAGGAGGCCAGCGAATTTCTGTCGAGATTCTCCACGCTGTCATCCAGGGAAGCACATTCCTCGAGATCCCTGCTGGAGCGCTGACTGGAACTCTTCTTTGCAGGACTCTTCGGCATGCTCAGACTGAAGTACGTCTCTTGTATAACCTCGCGGAGTCTCTTGACCCAGAGTTGCTTAGCTTCTAGAGAATTTGCACGCAGAACGACACGCGTATCACTGGTAGGTGCTCTTCCAGTCCACACGGCAAATTTACACTCGTCTCCTTCTATGTGCTCGGTGACACCCAGCTCAGAAGTCATTAGCCGACTCTTGTAAATATACTTAACCTACACAGACAGGATTCTCTTTCATATCGAAGGTACTTGCGGTTACTCTTAAATGGAGCAACCATAGAGGAGCTCAGATATCTTTAATTACAAACCTTGCCGGCAGAGTCCTTGACTTCCTTGCTGAAAAGTAGATAAAGTTCGAAAAGGAATATATGACGGTCCCTGCCCTTTCTTATCAGTTGCTTAGGATCCCACACGGTGAAGGAGTCCTGGAGCACTACGTCCCCCAGCGTATCTATTCTCACATCGCAACCTTCCAGGAGGCTCAAGTGTAAGGCATCGTTTGCTTTTTTAGGCACATTCAGCATTACTTCCAGGCCGTCTTTAATTTCACCCTGTCCTTCTTGACAGCAAGCCTAAGCAATACAAATTTTGTATTATGCATAAATAGGACTTTATATGTTACTCGTAACGAAATACACACGTATACTGTGCTTACCTGAAGATCCTTTAGTAAGAGCTGATATTTTGTAATCCTCTGTACGGGTTTGATTAAGTACGCAGCTATAGGATGCTCTACTCTATGTTTCCTCTGCAATTCTTCAAACCATGTTCCCCCATGAGCAACCAGTAGTTGATTACTCTCCGGTTTATTCTTACAATAAGTCACGTACATGTCAAACTTCGCGGCCTGTAAGGGAGTGTACCTCTGGTTAGTGGACTTCTCTCGCGTGACTAATATTCCAGGAATTTAGTGGTCAACGTGATAATACTCACCCAAGTAACGAAACAATGACCAACGTCTTCCGGCATAGTTTCGTATTTTTCCAATTCACGAAGAAAAATGTCACAGTGGAACTGATGTATTTCCTCCATATTGCTGAATAATATTGACTCGCGTCCTTGCAATCCGGGTGGCACATTACCCTTGCCGTTCCGAGTCTCTTCCAGGAAACATCGGATACAAGTTTCTAGATCCTTCACGTACGTACGCTCCGTTTGCAGGAGTTCGGCCATAATAAATCTGTGGTCAAGACAGATTTATGTGTTAAGTAGGTCACCGTATATAGAATATATGTATTTGAAAAGGCAACAGAAAGGTTGTACTCACTCTTTTCGCCTTGCAGACCTTCGTTTCTCTTCATTCAACTCCTTTAGATCTTTTCCTTTGATTTTCTCTTCCAACAAGGGATCCGAATTCCGATCAATGGACAGATCCTTATGACCATCGTCAGACTGAATACCCAAATCACCTTCAATCTGAGTCTTGTAGCAATCCATTCGCATGCTGAAGTCTTTGTAGCGTTGATCTACCTCGGCGACCGATTGCTTGATCGCTGCAGCATGAGCATGACCCTTTTCCACCAAATTATCCGCCAATTGAATAAGCAATTTCACTCGTTCTCTAGTTTCCTAATTAAACATTAAAACCGTCAAATTGTTAGACACAACGATACAGCGAGAAGTTTTATGAAAAGACGATTACTGTCTAATAAAATTACGGACACTAAAAGCACGATGTCAAGAGCAAGTTTTCATTTCTACAACACCATCTCTGTCGTGCCATTTGGCAGAGCTTCGACTTCGCTATACTATTGTGCAATGTCCTGATGTCACAGGCTGTGTTTAAAGCAGTCAAAACTTACTCATGAGAAATGCAATATCCTACGATTCATTATAAGATAAATATTAGAATTTTCCGATGCCCTTTGCGTTACCTTAGCAGCACCCTTAAATTCGTTGTGCTCCTGAAGTAGCTGTTCGTTCTCTGCTCTGTTCTTCCCGACATTAGTGTGTGTCACCAGATACAACTCCCCAGTTTCTCTGATCCATTCCAGAGCTTGCTTGGCGCTACGTTCGAAAAGCACATATTGATGGCATTGGTCCAAACGTTTTTTCCGTTGGGTCCAATACTCGAGCACTTTGTTCTCTTTGCTCAGTAACTCTTCCAAGATGCCTACAATGTAACCAGAAAAGTCTGGCGCAATCAATTACGGCCTGAGGTCTATATTAGGAATAGGGTCGATGCGAAAATTTGAATGGAATCGAGAAACTCGATGCGCGAGTTAAAATTCCTTATGCAATCACAAAAATGACAAAACATCTTATACTAACTTTTGACTTTGTTCTCAGATCCGGCACTGCTCGTTTGATAACTATAGAACTGAAGACTTCTGTTGGTATACTTGAGGAAAGTCTCGGCAGTTCGACGAACCAAGGTACAAGCTTTCAGAAAAGCTTCTTTCTGTTCCTGATGTTTACCGACGAGCGTAGGTACTTGGACACCCTTTTCTCCACTCGAGCACCAATCTTCATCCCTTCTGTATTCTCGTTCAAGACTATCCAGTACTGAGCGCACTTGCTCGGCCGTTTTGTAGAAATTTATACTAGCAGTGACGAGCTTGTGCCTCTCTTCGGCGCAGGTGACAAGCTGCTGCCATCTTTTTGTAACGTCTTCGGCAACTTCTCTAATACTTTTAGGATCATAGTGATTAGCACTAACTAGGGCATCGGCTCTGTGTTTTACTTGGACTGCTGAAGTGTGAGTCTTCTCAATAGCGACTTGGAATTGCTCGTGTTCTAGACGAAGCTGTTCAGCGTCCTGGAGGTTCTCAGGGACTCTTAAAGAAGCCAAAAGCATAGCTTCGCCATTACGAATCCAATTGGCTACGTGGGTAGCATCCGCCTGAAGTTGAACAAGCTGAGCAGCTTGTTCCAGACGAACACGTCGCATTTCTGCGAGATCCTCAGCATCCATTTCTCTTTCATTCAAAAATTCCAAAAGCACTTGTACTCTGGCTGTTGCGCTATGCTGCCCATCAGCCATTATACAGACACCAGCCTGTTCCAGGACTTGAGCAAGTTCCTGACCCTGTTGTAACACTTGGAATGCGGTGTTTTGCATATGAGCTACTCCATCGTTGTGAACTCGTAGCAATTGCTCCGGGGACCCTTCTCGCGGTGGACCTTGCAATTCTTGAGCCCACATTTCAAGTTGTCCACTTGCTTCCAGAGCGTCCCTCTCAAATACGCGCAATCGAAGACATAACTCCAGTCGAAGCTTCCTGGTCGCCCATAGCTCCTCAAGTTCCTGTCGTAAACCTGCAAGCCTGTCCAGTGCTGCTTCTACTGCGGATACCTAAAAAAGAAAATAAATAAGATTCGTACCTCTATCCAATAAATATTATGGCTATGATAATAAGAAAAAATTACACACCGAACCGGTCGTATCGGGAGCGTCTGTAGAGTCCCTGAGTTCTTGCAATAAGGCTTCGCCCTGAGCAATTGTCGAAGCACAGGCTTCCAGGCAGGAAGCTCTATGCTGAGCACATTGATCCAGAAGCCTCTCAGCAGTTTCCAGACTCTCTGCAACTTCATCTTGCTGAAGTTCTTGTCGTAGTTCATCCACCCATCCACTAAGCTGAGAACAAATGAAAATAAAAATACATATAATGTATCGATTTACCCATAAATTTGCCTTAACTTTTGCATCAAAGATAATACCTCCTTTTCATGAGTATAAAATACAACAGCAAGGTCAAGTCTACGACGACGCTGCTCCACTCTGGCAGCAAAGCTGCTCACGTGAGCTTCCAATTCCTGGGCCACTGCGTATATTTCATCAGCCGCACATTCCCCAGTATGAGCAAGCTCTTCCGCAGCGGTAAGTAATTTCGTCGCGTTCGTATAAGTATTCTGTAAGAATAATACACGTTAAAAAATAAACGTAACGACATGGTACATTAAAGAATTAGACCTTATAAAAACAATCACCTGGGCAACATTTTCAAAATGCTCGTGACTCTTCTGATACACTCTAGCCTTCTGAAGATTCCTTCCAACGCCAGTATTTTTTCTGATAAATACTTCACCATGATTGGTGAGCCAATCCAGGACTTGCTTGACATCCTCTTGGAAGAGTCTAGTGTGACAAAAATCGAAATAAAATACGAACCGAACTCTCATAAATTTTTCAGCAAAGTGTAAAACATTTTCTAATAGTTTTTGGCACCGAACATTATCAAGATATATATATATATATATATATATATATATATATATTTGCAAAACGACGTGACTAAATAAATATGAATTATACACGATTGAAGCAGAATCCGTAAGCGTCAACCTCGGCAGGTGTAAACGAAAACAAAAAAAAAAGGAAAAAAGGGAATTTAAAAAAATGCACAGTGTAGCTGGGTTAGCGTGACACTGCACTGAAGAATTGCTTATCCCATGACAAAGCACCGTTGCTTAATATGAACGTATGAGTACTCTGTGCCAATGATGGTGCAAAATAAAAATATGAAAGATGAACGATCAAGTTCTATCGCCATAGAAAATAATGATTGGTCAGGATGATGCGATGATCCTCATACCTCAAAGCAAGTCGCTGATGCAACTTGACTTTGCGGGCATGCCAGCGCGCCTCCAGGGCTCTGTGATGGCCAAGAATTTGATGAATGACAGCTAGCACGTGGGATGCACCCTCGCTGTAATCCGCAGCTGGATTTCCACTCATACCGCCGCGGCTATCCATTCCATGCCCGTCTTGACTCTACCCAAGTTTCGAATAATCATTTAATAAATAATGCACAATGGCGTAATACCATATTGGCAAAGGATGACAAATACCTGATAAGTCTTAGAACAAGTCAATAATGTACATATGTGCAGTTTTGATTACTGAAAAAGCCACGTAACAGCATATACAGCTCCGTTATTCGTGCAAGATCAGCGAGTCACCAAGGATTTAACTACATAAGTGTTACAAGATATATTCAAACATCTGGGTTATATACAAGTCCTCATGTTAAATTCAGTATGCCAATGTTTTGAATCATACATATTCACATGTGCCAGTAACCGTGAAAAATATAATTAAACCAGTGCAATAGATGCAGTGAAACATATAAGGTGTTTCTAATGATTTTATACACACTGGTTGATAATACAGTGACTATATAGAGTATTAACAGTGCAAATTAAAACAGAACATATCATATAAATGTACGTACATCGAGAAACTGATCGCTGAGCGATATAGTTGGTAATTAAAAGCGTGAAGCAAGCTCCTAGTCATTGAGACTAGCAGTTTAAGAAATGTGTAAAGCATTTTGTGATGTTATAGTACAGATAAAACAGTAGTGCATCTTTGTTGAATTTAATTGCATCGTCATTACTGACCTCGCCACACTAGTTATCGTCAATTATAACTGCCGTCTGGTTACCTATTGTGACACCAATTGATGAACCCATCATTACCATTACTTAGGACGTTCGCATGCTCAGGCAAGTACAAGGGTAGGCAGGCAAAGTTTTATACATAGTAGAAGGGGCAAAAAGATATTAAATGAAAACACGTGGAATTAATTATGAAGCATACGCGGGACGGACATACATGTTTCCTGTTGGCGTGGTCAATCCCTTGGGGCTGATTACAGACTTGTACAAGATGATCCAGCTGGTAAAGAAGCTTCTTACTGGTACTGTGCACCTAAACAACAGTACCGTCCAGACCCACATTTTAGTACACTTAACTATTACATTGAGCCACCTCATCCAATTGCCAGTAACGGTAGGCGCGCAGCTATGAATAAAGCAACCGATTAACTATTATACTAAAATTCACCCTCGATTGCCTGAAACAAGTATTTTTTTTTAGTATATCATCGATGCGTGTTATTCGTAGCCGAGGATATGGAGTAAGGATGCATCATGTTCACTGGACAACACCTGGATACCAAGCTACCACCGATTGGACATCCACCGTCTAAAAACTATGAAGGGAAGACAAGTACAGGACGTGAAATAAAATGAAAATTTGTTTTTCCGTACATAATCGACGTGTAATACGTCCGACCCTGTGCCGCCAGTTGTGCTTGTGCTATGGCAAACTTGTAGCATTGAGCCCAGCCCACTCAAAAGTGCTTGGTATGCGTTGTAAACCTGTCAAATATCATAGTAGCTTACCAAACAGTCATATCTCCTGACAGTATGAAAATCTCTAGTTAGTAAGCAGTCTTCGCGGATATTCAAACAGAGTGTGTATCAAAGTGCGTCATACTCTCAGAAATAAAAAGATATATCTAACAGTGATCTCGTTTACTGATGAAACAAGAATTTAAAACGGGTTGGAGATACCTTGTTAGATAATGTTTAAAATCGCCACATCGTATACAACACGCACATAACGGATAAAACTCAGTACATTAACACTGAATGAGTCGCTCGTCTTTCCGTTACGAGCGATAACAACCATCCCCGCTACTTGCGATGTAAGACATATTTGGCAAAGTAGACAATGATGTCAGAAGAATACAGTTAGGTTATAATATGACAATAAGAAATGTTAAGGGCTCCCCATCACTCGCTAAGAAGCGCTAGTACTTATTCATTAAATCAACTTTAAACAACAATGTATGAAGAATGTTAAGATACATTGACTGGTATACGACCATTCCTTGAGAAAGTGAAGTTACAACTGCTTTCTTCAGACAGTTCATTGTATGGAGGGTTAAAGGGCTATCACTCTGATAAGGAAGACTTACACTGTTATACTTTATCAAAATTCGATAAGAATAATCGTCGCCTAAGGGAGCGCATTCAGATAATACAAAAATGGGCATCGTTCGAATAATTTTTGCATAGTTTTTAACTTAAAGCATTGAAATTTAATTAACGTTACTCATTGAGATATGTTTATCGAAGCAACAATGCTACTTACCTCCGTATAGGCCTGGCACATGGCTTCGTAGAGAGTTTGATGTTGTCGTATGTGAGATTCAAGTACTGCAATTTCATTTGGGAGATTTGTTGAGTCACAAGCTTGACTCCATCCTGCTACGCTGTCCACATATTGTTCAGCTTTATGATGAAACACTACACTTAAGCCAAGCACTGCGGTGCGCTCGTCAAGACCAGCAGCAAACTCTTTCCAAGCTCTGTCGAGTCTACCAGCAACAGCTCTCACATGACCAGCCGCGTAATGCTGAGTTTCAAGCAGTCTGCCAGCCATTGTTAGGATTTTGTTAATATTAACGTATACGTTCATAGAGCTCATGGTAAAGTGCTTATGCTCTTCCTGGAGATTCTTAGCGAGTTGATAGGAGCGACCGATTTCCACGTAATTGGCAAGGAAACCTTCGCGGTTGTGGCAGATCCAGTCGAACATTTTTTCACAATCTTGTTCAAATAGCCGAAGCTGAAAGCACTGATCTAACTTCATCTTCTTGATGTGCCAAACTTGAAGAAGATGCTGCTGACCAGCGTGAACTGAATCCATGTGCTGGATTACGAGAGCGGCCAATGCGCGACCATCAGGATCTGCACCACCAGTTGCACCGCTCTCGATGCTGCCACCTTCACCACCATTGCCAGTCATACCTTAAACAGTTGATGATATTTAAATTTGTTGAGAACATTGACATATTTAAGGGATTAGATGTATATACCGTTGTTGAAGCGTTCCAGTAGACGCTGACCAACAACCTCAACTTCCTCAACTGGAATGTTCATGATCTTCTTCTTCATCTCGTTGTGCAGATCTATCCCATGTTTAGCCCCTCCTACGTCGTCCGCAAAATCATTGCGGCTGAGATCTTCTTGCAAATCATCTAGTCTGTCTAAGAGATCAGCCGCCTGCCAAATGAAATCCTCTACGGCGAGACGTGTGTCGATCCACTGTGCATGATCGTATTGTAAGGAACCATCGAGATCTGCTGTTAGCTGGGAAGGATCTATCACTTTTGCGAGCGCCTCCAAACTAATAGTATTAATCTGTGAATGAGAAAATGGTACGGTTTTGTTTGGAATATTGATACTGTTTTGGTCACGGGGGAACTTTTTCGAAGGCGAAATTGTGCCAACGAGAGGCCTGCAAGATTTAATGCAAGATATCGGTTTTTAAAGGTCACCTATTGTGACTGTAATCTGCTTGCAGAGGGCCATCATATATGTACGAATATCGGGCCGTATTTACTACTAGTGTCGGTGTTTGCGGCACAATAGGCAGACTTCCATTTCGCTGCTTCAGTGCATTCAATAAACGCTAGAGAACTGACATCGTGCCAAACTAGGACAGAGGACCTTGCCAGCAGCCCTATATCAGTATTACTATAACATTCACCCTGCTACAGCTATTGATTGCTCTATTTACCTCAAAATTATACTTCTTCTGTTTGGCCAACGAAGTCCTTTGTTTCTGCCAGAAGTTGTCGGGCTTGATGATAAATGCAACATGGACTGAACGATGAAAGTGTTCATGCAATACCTTCAAGATAACAATATTTAATGGTGGTAAATTAGATTTGTTGCATACAAAATAAAACCTTTGTATTCTATTGCAAACCTTTAGAATAGGTTTAACGGAATCCCATGTTGCACCTCGCATATCCACAATAACAGTGAAACGGTGTCCTCTGGCTTCTTCATTTGGAATGGCTAGAAGATATTGTAAGAGGCGACGGTAGTCTTCAGGTTTTGCACGTTCTCGCCTTGGTGTTGTTGGAAATACAAGAACTGGACCACCACGACGGTCACGGCCACCCGGGAGAATAGCAAGGCGCTCTTGAAGCAGAGGGAGAACCTCTACAGCCCGTGTACCATCCATCACCTTGTTTTTTGATTCACTAGAATTCTAATCTGAAAAAATACAAACATTTAGATTCCGATTGTCTTAGCATACTCAAAGTATGTGTGCTATAATGCTAAAATGAATTGAATATATGGTCTGCTCTGATAATCTTTATAACCGAGAGAATCATCTTACAACTATCATTATTATCAAAGCATACTATAACACTAAGCAGACAATTCCAGGAAACAAGTAAAATGCCTCTATATTTCTTACCTTGAACTTTGCTTAAACTAAGACCTTTCGAATAATTCCAAAGAATTTAAATAAAGCAATTACAGAAAAAATAAACTACTGTATTTAATGTACAAATAATTTGAAAGTAAATTTTGCCATTCACAAACTTCATAAGATGACATGGATATATCATCAAACTGATATACACCTGTTGAATAAAATAATTTATCAATGTAAATAAGAAAAAGTAGGCTAACGAATTTGGTAAAGACCGGTATAACGCGATACACCTACGAAAAAATTCTCGACGCGTACTTTGTGATCTCTGAACTAGCCGTATAACCGAATATTATTCAACTAGAAAAAATCCAAAAGGAGATTCAAATATTTATTACTATCTAAAAATACTTTCAAATATATCACGTCCGTTCATTCAATGAATGCACACAGTGCTTATAATCGAATTCAAAAGAATAATCGTGCCCATTGAGCAGAAAGCTGCGTAGAAATTGCAGAAATTGCATTCAAGAGCCCTTTGTAATGGTTTCTCGCATTATTGTGGGGTTCGTGGAACCCCCCAAGGCAATAAAGTAGGATGACGTGAGAATTGGGGAACAGAGAAGAAAATCGCAAAAAGGAATCAACAGCAACGTATCACGAGGGAACGAAACAACGATAGGCCAAGAGTACAATTTGTTAATTTCATACCTTAATAATGTGTTTATGAGAAAATGACAATTAGCGCTAAGAACTTTTCTGTCGAGGGACAGCCCTTGATGATAATTAAAACAGAAAATGTACCCTTACAAGGCCAACGTCTACTACAACCCCTAAGTGCAGATGTAATCGAAGTCATTCCTCCTTTTTTCAGCTACCTTTACAATACAAGAAGAATGAAACAACATTGTGTGCTTCGAACGAGCGTCGACAAATCCCTTACTAGAAGGGTCGACGACTACAATGAACAAATCAATCGGTTCGCTGATGGGAAAAGAGCGCGTACAATTGTGTAATTTTTGAGTGATTAATTTCTTACATATAAGCTGGATACCCTAGATACCGTTAATTGAAATATAAGTCATCCAAAGTAATTCAGAGTTGTGCTTTTTGTCGCGAATATTATAAATAGACGCGAAGCGCAGCTTGTCAAATTCACCCTCCATCGGACAACAATTGCCTCGAATGATCATCGCTTACCTGCACGACACTTCGTTCGTTTTCTCACGTAATCGTCCGCTTTAGCTGTCCTTTTGCGCGACGCACTCCGAACTACCGCGAACAAGTCGTCACGGCTCATATTGTCGGCCCATTGGCATACAAAGTCACGCGAACAACGCGAGAATATCTCCTCCTGCCATGTTCGGCTACAGATTCTACATTGCGCTTGGAATTCGCTCTCGCTCGGGGGCAGCACTCACCATGGTTGAAAATAATGTAGGTTTCTCCGGAGGCTTTCTGGAGAGGATATTTATGCCGGGTTCACTGTTATAGAAAAAACTGCCTTTGTATAAAGTGGTTCATAAATGTTGTATAAAGCGATATTGCTTATATGTCACTTACATATTGCTTGCAAATCACTTTATCAGATGCAGCATAAGTTCAAGAATTTTGATTGTTATATTTAATTGTTAATGATTCCTATAGACTCCAGATCATGTTCATTTAAAGCTTGATCAAACCTTGTGAAGTATCCTTTAGATATTTCTTTGATGAACTTACATTTTATATACAAACTTTGTACGGTGGTTTAGTACATGCGCATGAATGTATTTCCAAAAAGTAAACTAAAGTTTTAATAGAGCTTGATTTATGTAGAGCGACTATTGTGTTTTATAGGAATATATATCATGTATCATTGAGAGTAATTTGGAACGTTGATAGGTCAATTGTCAATATGACGAGCATGATCTTATATACAGGTCTGGCACTTTTGACGCGTTTCACATCTCCCAAACATAACCCTAATGACTCTGAAAGTTTCCACTTTTGGCCGCTGCATGAAAAAACCGGGTGAGTGCGCATGCGTACAAGCGGGCTCCTCCGATACTAGCGCCTCATATTCCGAACTACAATCTGGAATCCCAAACGGCACCAAACAATGATCAACCGGTACTTCCATTTTCGCTGAGTACCCAGACTTGTATATAAGATCATGATGACGAGTTCCGTGAGCACGAATCCATCCACGTTATTGCCTCTGGGTAAAACACTATAGGTTTCCTAACTTAGCTCGGTGTGCAATGTCATTTAACATTTAATATTGTTTTAGAATTGGTGGATAAATGCATTGGTTCCCGAATACATATCATTATGAAAAATGACAAGGAGATTGTTGGCACTTTACAAGGCTTTGATGATTTTGTAAATATGTTATTGGAGGATGTGACAGAAAGCGAAGCAACTCCTGAAGGACGTAGAGTTACAAAACTGGATTTGATTTTACTTAATGGAAACAACATTACAATGGTATGCATTATTTGTATTATTTTCTAATTATTGGATGTATGAAATTCTTATATTAAACTTTTATTTCTATTTTTTATTATAGTTAGTACCAGGAGGAGAAATGCCAGAAACATAGAATACTGTGTATTACTTGTACTTTCCACAATTCAGATGTATACATTTATCTAATAATAATCTCACCTTTTCTAATTGTAATTTAATTTTATCTTATTCCAACGATTCTCAATTCCATGTTACTAAGTTTGTTAATAATTACCCTGAGCATTGGCCTTTTTTTCATATCTTGTGACCACATATCTCTATACAATTTCTTATATGTTCCATTGAAGCCATCATCAAGATTATCATCTATTGGTCTTTTCCCTTTACCAGTTAAATAAAGGATAGTATGTGCATGAAACCCGGCAAAAGGAATCTTTTGTGAAAGCATTTGCCATGCTAGTACACCTAGAGAGTAGATGTCTGAAGCAGGACTAGGAAAATCACCTTGAATTACCTCGGGGGCCGCGTATCCTGGGGTACCCTTAAAATATACAATATTTTTTATGACATTCGAATCATCTTTAAGAATGCTAGCAAAAAAACGAACGTGCTTTCTTGATGAGAAGTCCAGCTCATCCATAAGTACAGAACTTCCAAAATCTGCGAGCTTTGGCTGACCATCAGCGGCCATAAGAATATTTTTAGGTTTAACATCGGCGTGTACAACACCGGCACGGTGACAAAAGTCTAAAGCGCAAGAGATTGCTTTCCAAATACGAATACGTTCTTCCTTTTCAAGAGTACTGTCATCCAGTAGATCTTGGAGAGAAGTACCGCAAAGTTCCATTGTTATCAAAGACAAGGAAGTTCCTTGATCGATACCAAGTACTTTTACAATATTCGAATGATTCAAATATGTCGCATGTTTCTCCGCATTCACGGAAAGATCGCTATCTTTTCTGCGATTTATTATTTTCGCTGCAACTTCATTTCCTAAAATCAGAAGACATATTTTTACATTTTCTGGCAGTCTTAACAAATTTTTTTATCAGTAATTTATACCTTTATAAGATGCTTTGTAAACCCTTCCAAAACTGCCTGTACCAAGAAGAGAGCGTTGTACGTTTTGCAAACCGTTGTTCAAAATTTTCACTCTGTTCGGAGTGTCAATGTTAAAAGGTGATAAATGATTTCTATCTACAGTTCTTGAAATTCCATGATTTTCCACTCTGAGATCTTTTCTAACGGGTGTTTTAGGAGTTAAGGATTGCCTATCAAATTACATGAATGACTTCAAGATTAAACAGTACTCTACGTGTGAAACAATCATGTATACACAGTTATCTCAACAATTACCTTAAATTTTCTACACTTCTTGGTGATCGCGGAGATAAATTTTTTAATACCGAAGTTACTATCCTCGGAGAAGCCATTTTTACAATCACGTACATCCAACTACACAGTGAAAACATATGAGGACATTTTGAAATTGATACAGAAACACAAGGACCTATTGGGTATGTTCAAAATATTTATAATATTCTATCCTCTTGCACACTCACTATAATCCTTTAAAGCCTCATCACTTGATTATTAATAAGAATCCTGAAAAGAATAAATGAATCGCAGTCCACTAAATAAGGAAGTTGCAATTAAAAAATAGCTTATGGACAATTAAAATATTGTTTTATTATATTTTATTCTCTGTACTTAAGGCGTAAACGAGCTATTAATAGCCTATTACTAATTATTACTTTTAATACTGTATTTTAACTAAAATATTTACAATAGTTTCATCATTCGATAACAATGATGAACATAATAATCTCTCAAATATAGGTAATATCTGTGGCATAGATATAATAACGTGTCTCAATAATATATTATAAGATATAGAGCCATGTCTGACAAGTATTAAATTCGTCAAACAATCTACATTTTTTTCTCATTACAACAATAACTGTTAATAATAAGTACCGTGAGGTTCGAGCAAACGCGGTTTTTTCTATCACAATATTCTAGAAGGACTCGTTACTATTTGTCATTTTTTCATTCCCATTACTTATAGCATTAATATTAAATAAATAAACAATAGCAAGTAAACTGCTTGTACTGTTAACTCTTCGTCGAAGTAGCATTATCAGAGCTGGTTCTTAATTCTTTGACAATTTAATAACAATATGTCGATTAGTAAAATACTCTACAGAATTGAAAATACAATATATTTCTCACATTATATCTCTCTTTCTGTTTCTCTTAGAATATTCTCTTTTCATCTACTGCATTAATTGTATATTGTATATTTGTCTTATTGCAACATCAATATACCATTCACCATTACCATTAGATTTTGATTCAAAACGTGTAAACCTCAGAGAATAATTTAAAAAAAAAAGAGGCTTCAAACATAGTACAGAGTACTAATATTATGAAGATTATTCAACCAGATCAAATACGAAGATAAAAAACAAAGGCCATTATAAAGTATAAACCACGATCGACAATTTGCATAACTTTTTCAAATTGATATATGGTTTTCTATCTACCTATCGTATCTTATAATCTTATATGATATACGAATACCATAATGCCATGTATGTATACTTTATAAGTAAAGCTCTCAATTTACATCGATTGCAAAGACCAAAGTTTTTAAGTAAACACCAATGTTCCTAAGATACTAAATTCTTAGCATTTTTCTTTTGTACCCTTTCAACCGGCCTGTTTCTAAAAATAGAACCTCAATCGTCCATCTGTTAAGATAATTCAATATAAGGAAGAAAAACTTCGGCGAATTATACACAATAAGTAACACAATCTCATAAACACGCAGAGCCGCGAGAGTAAACCGATATATTTTATAGTGGCAGTGTTTTTAAAACTACTCCTTCGCCTTGATAATTTTTTTTTATTTTTAATGAATCTTAATGCGCACATGAACATAAGTTATTCACATCAATTTTGGAAGAAAAAAAAATAGACCAAAGGCCAAAACTTTAACGAGTGTCATCGAGATATTTCAAAAAAATTGAATACGTTTGTTGTTTAAAATTGTTTTATATGCCAATTGTCAAAATGATTTTAATAGATTGTTCTTTTTAACTGTCACGATGTAATATATCCACTGGTCACTTCTACTTATAATATGTCTCTTCTGCCACATCATTTTTTATTGTCTCTAATTTCATTAAGTTTTCGAGTAATATTTTTCTTCCTTTCACAATTTTTCATCGTTCAATATTTGCCTCTGATAAGAACAATTTTGTAAGTACATTTAGTTGGTCTACACGTCTTGAATCCCTAGCCAACGCATATAAGTACATTCGAATCGTATAGATTATGAAAATTATATTGTTTTTGTTTGGCGGTAATCACCTCAAAAGAAATGATATTAGCTGCTGACAGCTAAAATTGTGTAAAATTACGTCGAGAGACGCTAAGTACTATCCAAACAGGCCATATCGATTTGATAGATCTTTAAACTTAACAATATACGATTTTTATTTGATCTCATGGAATCCCTTAGTCGGATCCATGGAGGTAGCGTGGATAAGGTACACATGAAAAATATGGTCAGAACAATTCATGGTAGAGGAAAAATTTCGTCAAATATGATAAAATTCTTATGTCCTCATGTCCTCTCTACTTCTAAATATTTGTAGTAGCACCAGGAAACTTATTTCTTGGAAATTGATTACCTTTTTATTATCTGGTAGCAACAGTAAATACCTTAATTCTTTAAATTTCACATTGAGGATTGTTTCTTTTTTTTTTATATCATTGATAGATGAAAAAATATAGATTTCGCTGAAAGAACAAAGTTACACGATACAATATTTATCCGGTTGTTTCTTCAATTGGCCTTTCGGACAAGATTGTTAAAGATTATGAAATAAAAAAATGTCATCACGACTTGTTCGAAAATACTAAAAATATTCTGGCCATGATGGACATATTAGCATCGATAGCACCACGTTATACATGATTTTGGCACTCCCCACGTTCCGTGAATATCCACGTATACGAATTACTCTTATACAAAGTCATAAGACTCGACACGATCATAACGCGACCACAGGTACTACTCCTTCATTGAATTACTGGTGAAGTATGTAGAAGAATATTGAATTGTAGAAGATAAATTTAAGTTCGCAAGAGCTGTGCCGCTAATTAAATTTAAAATCTACGTTAATTAGTTAACTATTTACAAACTACGTATGATACATACAACAGGATATCCTCATGTACCTCATCAACAAATAAACGATCATAGCTCGCTAATACCGTTTCTTACAAATTATTAGGAATCGCGAATATGATCGTCACGTTCGTTGACGCAGAAAGCTTAAAAGTATATCTCGCTATAATAGACCTTTCCATTCGCACCGAAATAGACTTTAATGAAAAAATCCATTAAATTCATTTGAGCCACCCTAAGAATACCATTATGAAGACATAACAGAAAGTACAACGTGAGGGAGAGGTAATAGGTAACGTTTCGCTAGTAACAAGATAACGGATAATAGGTTGGATAAGCTAAGCTAAGGCACAATCTAACCAGGGAGAGGTGCTTCTTCGTAGAAGTCCGGTTCGTCCTCGTTCTTCTCGGGTTCGGGTTCCTTGCTGTCCAAGGCGCGAAGTTCCGCGGCGGTGAAGAAGTGTCTCATCTGAGCTCGTAGCGGGATCATCAGGATGAGGAAGAACGGCAGTGCCAGAGCGGCCTTGGTACTCTTCACTACCCATAGAATGGCCAGGCACAGGATTTGTGTTAGGGTGAAGATGTGCATCTTGTAAGTTTGTACTCTGCGCACGTAGTTAGCGGTACCGTGATGTTTGACTGGCATGAAGAAGAGTTTGATGCGGTCGAATAACTGGACTCCGTTAGTCGACGAAATACCCATGTAGAGGAACACCCCAAGGAGGACGGCCATGGGAACGCGTCTTAGTAAAGGAGCCATCAGGACGCTCACACCGACCAGGATTGCTACCAGAAGCCCACTCACTCGCTGTTCCTTCACCTCGACGATATGGGGTTTGTCTCCTGGTGCGTGAGTGCGGGACATTACCGTCACTGCTGAAACGTGGGTCAAGGAGCGCACTGAGGCTGCGCAGCACCATGGAGCCCCCATAAGACCACAGCCGACGTTCATTAAACAAACTACTACGATGTCCATGTGGTAGCCATTACCCTTGCGAAGCTTACGTTCTTTCTTGTCAATGATGAGTCTGGATAGTAATATCAAGTAAGACAATTTAATAACAATATTACAGTTATCAAGTGTAACGGGTTATACATTGGTTTGAATACTCACTCAGAGATTTGAGTTTCCATGAAGACAAGGATATAGACGAGAAACGCTGGAACGCAGCAAGCCAAAGCCATCCAGAGAGGAATCGCCTTCTCCTTTCCAGCAGGAGATACGAACCAGCTTCTGGTGTGATCCGAAGGTACCAAACCATCTGGTACTTGAAGTTTCTCCGTCTCGACATTGGCGAAATAATCAATGATAGCAAAAAGAACGATGCTGATAGGGACTCCGAAGTCTCCAAAGGCTCTTCTGGCACTACGGCCCAGGTAGTGACTGTTACGGAAGATTCGAAGGTAGTACGCCCCGAGGAAGGTACCCAGGCACAATATCGTGCACATGAGAGCAGTGTTAGGCTGATTGATAAACCCTGCTGGATCGGAGCTCGGTATCAGATGATTGTATTCCATGGAATCGACCGTGGAGTTTCCCATGTCAGATGCGATTACCAATTCCGTAACGTTGTATGGCGTCGGGGTGGTCGTATCGTTAAGCAAAGGGGCAAAACAGTATTGATGAAGAAGTGGATGGCGTTTGAAGTAATTAACTAGCTTGATGAATGTCTCCACAATGTAAAGTAACGAGATCAATCCAGTGAAGATTTCTTCCGTGAAGCGTGTGAACAGCCTTACTAGAACAGAACCTTCTACAGAGGCGATGGCTAGGGCGATGACTCCCATCCAGGCACCGACGTAGACTCTCACAGTGAGAAATTCGAGTTCATTCGCCAAACAAAATTTGTGGAGACTCTCGTCAAAGAGTAACAGGGGTCCTGTTGTGCCGATGATAACCAAGGGTTGAGTAGCGAATAGAGCCATTATCACGCCAGTCCAGCAGCAGGATACCAGGGTCTCGGAGATCCCGATGACGTTGCGGGTCTTGTCGCTCAAGAGACCACCGAATGTTATGGCCGTGCACAGTGCGGCGAAATACATGAACATCGCCGCTGCAAGGCAGGACGAATTGATACCATCGGTAAAATCCGATAGGTAAAACGGATAACGTCGTTTGATGTCATTTATGAGCCCACCGAATGGCCGCCTAGTACGTCGTAAAGGATCCCCGTCATCTGGAGGTTTCTTCCCGTCTTCACCAGCCAGAAGTGCTATAAGAAATCAATTGAGAAATATAGCGAGCAAAATGACATATAAATTCCTAATAAGGAAGTCCAATGCCAGAAAAAAATCTAAGAATTAAAAAATAAAGCATAAAATACCTTTCTTGAGAGCCGCCTCACTCTGCACTGGTTTACTTTTCTTTTCAAGTGCTTTAGCCTTCCGTTTTCTAATGGCTTCGCTCTTAGCTTTGAGCTCGTCAAATGGCAACAGTGCCTGCCTCTCCCAATCGCCAGGAGGAAGGACAATGGAATCGTCCAGAAAGTCGTTGATGGCTGACAACAGCTCTCTCCTCTCGGTAGCCTTGTAAGCGACTTTGTGGAAGGACGTGTTGGCCATCAGAGTAGAAATTGATCTACCAATCTCATGGTAATCCAGATCAACGTTCCTCGGTCCAAGAAGGATAAACATAAATCTCACTGGTATAGTAACTTCCGTGATGGACGGTATGAAGACAGCTTGCGCTAATCTAACGAACGCAATTGTTGGTTGATCCAGGAACTCGACGGCACCGACCAGGACGACCGTCGCTTCGGCGCCAGCAGGGATCCTCTTCAGGATATGATCGTTATGCCCTTTTTTGAGATCCTCGGTGCTACTCGTAAAAGTAAGTTCCTCCTTCATGTCCACGGTAGTGTGGTTGTTGTCAAGGGCCAGATTCGAGGAAACGATCTTCGGCTTTGAGTCGTTCAGATTCTGCGAAAGATCATACCGATTGATGAACATCGATTGGTAATATTGACGCGTCTAATGAGTAACGTATATACAGTATGTCAGAGAAAACTATGCATAGGTTTCCCAACTATAGGAAAATACGATTGTTCCGGTGGTTCAATTTCTTTCTGTTAATTGCTACGACGGAACAATCTAGTTAATGAAATTTACGTGTGGATGAATGATCTTTTTGCCGTACGGTAAGATCTTCGATCGGTAAAATCATATAAATCTTTCCACGAAGTGCGAAGCAGAGAAAACTTCGTGTTTGTTAATCTGTTTTAGTTATTCACACAATACTTTGATAAATACATAACAATCAGTTCACGGTGCATAAAAAATTAAGTCAGTTAAAAAAAAAAAAGAGAAAAGAAACGAAAAAGAAAACATTGTAAATATCGAATCGATGAGAGGTTGCAAGAATGAAGAAAACCTATGCTCCGTTTTGCGTGTCTACACAGTGTATACATACATACAGCGTCCAGTACCTATAGTACTCAGGATATGTGTATAAATTAAATAGAAAGAAAACCTGTACAAATAATTTATATACAGAGGATAAGGTGCGTATGTGTAATTACAATCATGCGCAGGCAGACTGCTGCTACTACTATATACAGTATAAACAGCCGAATGATCTTTGCTAGATCAATGAAAAAAAATCAATTGGTCTGCTCGATATTTGCATGGATCAAGTAATATGATAAAAAGACAAAAACATAAACAATCAAAACGATAAAACTCCAAGCCGCAGTGTAGTGTATGTTGCAGCGCGGTGAGAAAGATCATGGAACTTACAGGTAACGATTTATAATAGAAATCGGTATCATATATATTATACACATATACGATCATAGACTATTTGTATTTCTGTAAATTCAAAAATCATACACGTATAAGTTCATGATCTAAAAAAAAAAAGAAAAATGTTACTGGACGCACTCGATGCTAACGCGTGTATGCGTTGATCTTTGTACAAGAACGTAATACGTGAAACGGGATAAAAAAAAAAAAAAGGTTCAAACAAAACTAGCGAATAAAGTGAAAAAAATTTGCATTTTGCATTGGGGAACGAGATTTAGAGAGATTTACATGTCGGGTTACATGGTTCTCAGCGGCTTCTCGCGCGGCCTCCTCTTCCTCCAGCCAGATAGACTGTGGAAACAACATTAGGAATGCCGTCAATCATATCGTTCTACGTGCCACCGCCTCAGCTACTTTCTACTACAGTCAAATCCTTGAAAACTCTATCTTAAGAAGAACCCCTTCTGAATTATCATAAGTCAATGTATAGTTCTCTGATACAGAGAGAAGATACAGGATCCATGAAGATCCTGAGATCGGTCCTAGGATATAGATTACGTTAAAAAATTCACTATCATCATCGAGCGGAATTCTTCGTCCATGACAAACGCATAGAGACAACTAAGAGACATTGGATAAGAATGAATTTTGAAACGTAGCCATAGCATCTCATGTGACAATAATTAACGGTAGAGACTATTATACCTGCAGACTGGTGTAGCTGGAATAGTTGCGTTTACCACCAAATCGAAACCCACGATCGTTCTCGTGAACGTGCCTGTGCCGTAAAAGGAGAGCCCTCATAACGACAGGACGATCCTCCGGCAGGATCAGCTCCTCGACGACCATCTGTTCGACAACTCTATAAGCCAATCCAGGCAGATCTCGTTCCTCAAGATCAAGAAGGACCACGCCGGTCTCGAGGCAACGACGTAAATTCAGTAACGAGTGGAAGCTGAGAGAGGCGACGTGGGGTCTACCGAACCTGTCGGCGCCTTCCTCGACGTCCTCCTCGTACTTTATCCATCGAGCTGTTTCACGCCATTCCCTTTCCTCGCCGATGCCGTGAAGCTCGTCGAGCTGCACGAAGACCTCGTGGGGCGAGTGATCGTACATCTTCTTGAAGGTCTCGTGCGGAATTCCGCCTTCCTTCTTGCGTCCGATCTGGACGGTCAAGTGAGCCGCCTTGTGACGTCTCATGCCCCTTGGATCGTCGCTCCTGTGAGACTCCAGGCCGTCGATGTCTAGCTCCTGAAGTGTACTCGCTTCTTCCGGCTGTACGCTGACTCTTCTTCCGAGAGGGCCCGTACCATCCGGCAGACCAGCCCCTGAACGCTTTCTCCATTGTGGATCCTCTTGGAGGGAGTACTTGCGTGACTTGTGATGATGTCTCCTGAAAATCAATGGATAATGAGCTCGAGCTAATTGAAGGTAATACAGGGTATATATAGTAAGTCCAAGCTGCTATGATAATTTCTCGACTTCACGTGTTCACGGGACTGTATTGTGTGCTTTAATATAGGTATGGGCTTTGCTGCCAAATCCGTTCTGGTATTCGACCCTGGCAGTGAGTCGTCTCGAGGGAGCCAGTAAAAATCAAGTTCACACCTTGAGATTGAAATTTTTTTTTAAAAAGATCAAACGTATCCCGACTTTGTGATTATACGAGAATCTAATAAAAGAGTCTCAGCCAGACTGGAATTGTTTTAAACTTTCATAAAAAAAAAAAAAAAAAAAAAAAAAAAAAAAAAAACTCAGTGTTAAAAAGCATAAAAGTCTATGATACACCAGACTGGAATTGTTTTAAACTTTCAAAAAAAAAAAAAAAAAAAAAAAAGAAACAAAAAACTCAGTGTTAAAAAGCATAAAAGTCTATGATACACTAATCCAAACGTTCCCAAGTAACAGCAAACTCACAAAAAAAACTCACGGGTTTTCTTTAATACACAGAGAATGAAATCTTCGTTAAAAGAAATCACGAGTTCATCGTGAACCCACCGGAAACAATAATCCTTCCCGTCTTCCCAGAGGATATCTTTCCACGTGCACAGGACAATACACGTAATCTTCGGTATTAGACATCAAAGGGATAATTAAGTAGAATTGAAGGTACCGTCTGATGTCACCAATACGCTCTGGTGACCGGTCGTAGGTAATGGGCATTTTTAGACCAGGCACCAAGTGGCACCCACCACCTCCACGTCTCCTAAGCTCAGAGAGGAGACTCCGCCGTTCGAACCAGCTAAATAGAAAATACTATCGTGCGTGTCTCCGTTCGTGCCTCGTGCGCCCTCTGATGTGCAAACGAGGACAAGATCTGGCCAAAGGCCATGGCACCAGGCAGTACCTAGTGCGCTGATCCAGACAATAGCCTGGGTCTAGGCTAAGCTTACGTTTGGTGTCACAGAAATTGCTTGGCATTCGTAACAAAATAATACGGAAGGATCTACAGTAGGGCAAATTCAGGATTACCTTCGAAATTGATAAAATCGAAGAGGACTCACTTGTGCTCGTGTTTCTGATGTCTGCGTGTCTTCCTGTCCTCCTCGCTAGGAATATCCTCCGGAGGTGGACTCACGGCACCTTCCTCTCGAATCTTTTGAAACTGGACTCTTGGAATACCCACGCCAGGACTCTCAGTGATTCCTGAAGCTGCTCTTTCGGAAATTGGAGCTTCGCTCTCGCTGCTGAGGACTTGTTCGCCATCCTCGAAAGTGTCTTCATCCCCGACGTTGTCGCTCACTGGCGTGTTGTCAAAATGATCGGCACCCTGAACGTCTCCAGTACCGGTTGGCACGTTACCCGCGCTGTCTTCGTCTGGACTGATTTCCGTCCCGGAACCCTCACTGTAAATTACAAATAGTACGTACTTATTTCCTTCCATCTACAAACATAACCATAAAGTGCTGAAATCCCTCGTGTTTATTTCACGAGGCTGTAAAAAGAGACACTTTTTTCTTCAACTCGAATATAGACCCGAGAACGACTCGAATTTGGAGAATTACAAACTCCGAATACTTGAATGAGAACAAAAATCAGAATGAAAACGATAATGTTGACGTTATATGTTTTTCTTGATTCTTGAAAGCATTTTTAAAGAGGCATCAGCACCATCGTAATAATACTATTCTCATTTCGGTCATTACCTTGTATATCGTTCGTTACAAAAATATTTTCAACGTATTCTCTTTGCGACAAGTGGAAGGACAGATATTAATCAATTTTTCGTTTTCACCTCACATATTGTTTAAATAACGTGGAAAAAAAAATAATTAAAAAATTCAATTTTTTTTATTAAAAAAAAATCGTAGTCGTATTCGATGCGAAAGAAGTGTCTCTTAAAAATATCTACCTACTCTCACCGTCTAAGAGCTAAGATATCTCCAAAAAGAATATAGCTGTTGACATAACAAGTATATCTATAAAGTGCAATTTTTACTATTTTAATTCCCTATATCTGTAAGCAGACGATCAAAAATACTGAAATTTCGTTTAAAGATTTCCTACGTCACACTGAACGACATATTTCCATAGAAAATGTTAATCTTCAATTTTAATTAACGCAGCAACTACCTCAAATAGTCGATCGTAAATATTAAAAATCAACGCGGACGTCAAATACAATAAAAATGTCTCTTACATTTAAACTACAAGACAAAATTACTCTATTAGCCATAATGAATGGAAAGGCAGTAAAGTATCACACTCGTAAATCAATGATTGATCGCGCATATAAAAGTTGCATAAAAATCCGTAAAAATTTATGACTTTCGCGCATTAGATTATCATAATTTAAAGGACGTTCATAAATACAGCCGTTTTTAAGTCTCCCCTAATTCAGCAAAAGCCTGATAATAAATAACCTTATCACGATCGATCGACGATCGAGCTACTTTATTGATACGTTTAATTTGTCTGACGATAAATGAAAAATTGATCGTTTCAAAAGACAGCCGGTAGATCATTAAAAGACAGCTGAATGGATCACCGGATGACGGATTAACTGAAAAGGTTTTAACTATACGGATCTATCCATCCGATAGTCAAGGTGGCGATGAATTGTCGATAGCGTCCAAATGATTAACGCTGTCTTTATTCAAGATGCAGAGATACCGATACGCGTACCACGCGTGCGACAAAGGGAAACGGCGCTCCGAAAAAGTACAGCACCATACCGCAATATCTGTTCTAGAAAATAACTATTAACGAACCGAGCAATCAATTTAATCCAGCCGTTTTAAAAAATCAGAAGAACATTGAATACTTCATAATCACACATCGTTAATTCTAAACCCTAACTAAAACTGTCTAAACCCATGTGCTTCTGTCTATTTGACATCTGTCAATATATCTCATGCCGCTAGTAACCTCAGCTGTCGAAGACAGCGAACTCCTAGTAAACGGCAATATAGATAACACCGCTGTACTATCTTCCCAATACCCCTACGCTTATAAGCATTATCATCACTTCGACGAAATAACCGGCCGTCACCGACTAATTAAATAAATAAGAAATTAAAAATTAATACTATCGACTCCTTCGAAAGCTCAGTACTTCCGACAATCTATGATCAAGTCTATGCTGACGGAATCGCCCGGACACGAGACTCTTATAGCTTACTCGTTATAGCTTACACGTTTCTCTTGGTTCTTGTTTTATTTATTTTTAGTGAGTGCCAAAAAGTCCAAAATTTTATAGGCATACGGAAGAGGAGAAGCTTGGCTTAAAAGCTATCATGAAAATCAGTTTGATAGAAAAATTGGATTTTGCACTTACGGCGAGAGGTGTCGGCGCATAGATCTCGAGTGTAGACTCTTCAATGGCATATGAGGATGTGGGTAACTTCGTTTACGGTGTTCTGTCGACATTAGAAAACAAGTGTGTTAGATATAACTTCCTCGTGATAATCCAATTAAAAGATCCTTGATAGGTATAAATATAAAATATATTTTTCAATACGCTAATTTTTTTTCTTCATCATCAATAAATAGAACGCCCCGTCGTCTGGGATCCGTAAAGACATATAGTCATTAGATTCAAAGTCACGTGTCCTCATACGAAAAGTAGATGCTGACAATTTAAGTGAGAAGTATATGAAAAATCGTACATCGATTTGGTAATTTATAAAAATATCATATATACATATTGCATCATGATTATCGGTAAATTTAAATAAAATGTATATCGATAATGACAATCAGGTAAGATCGTAATGTAATACGAGAGGATTTGTCAAATTTTCATTACTTACGATTAACGTCAAGATCGTTGTACCTAGGTGGCGCTCCGCGATCACGTTCTCGATCCGAACCCGCGGATTCCGACGGTGAGCCTAATCGGGCTACGTCGAACTTCTCGCCGGAATCCATGGCAAAAACCTTCTCCATCTCCTCGTCAAGTTGCGGTCCCGCTTCAGTGCCATGTCCGTCGGTCTGCGTGCGAAAAGGAAAAGAAGCAAAATTAAAGGACCGAGCAACGGAGATAATAACTTGCGCGCGCAAAAGACTTTCAAATTGCCCGCCTTCCGGCCCTCCAGAATGAACTTCCGGCCCTTGTACTGACACAGAAAGGACTTTGCCGAGTGCTCCTGTTTACGTAGGTCGAATACTAATGGGGTTTGTCGGACCCGGATATTACGTACCCTGCTACACGTTAAAGCAGGTCACAGGTGCACAGCTTGGGTAGAAGCTTGAAATTTCTAGGCTACCGCGTCTATATAGCAGACGTCGTACCTATAGCAACTAAAACAACTAGTAATTATAATCGTTCCGAGCAATAACAATATTCTCAGTATAAAGCAACATTGGTATCGTCATTTTGAATGACACAGGACACGTGTTCCTTTTTTCAGTAAGATAACGAATATCGATTAGCCGCAGCTTCAAAGGAGCTTACGTACACACGTTATAATCACGAGCTACTCCCGATAACGAGAATACCCTCTGCCAGTAAGGAAATCATAATGTATTTGCATAATATACAAATACTCGATCAGTCGTAAAACCACTTACGTCTAAACTCCACCAAGATAAACTGGATTTATCGATGAAGTATCGTCAAAGGATTCTAACTGAATCCTACAGAGTCGTGAACCGCGTCGGAACAATTGTCACTTCCTGTTTCGGCAGGTTACGAGTACAATTATCTCGAGGATTCGACAAATTAAATTTAACACATCAATTACAGCGATTCGACTGAATCTTTCGCGAAGCACCACGACGGGATGAGTACGATAGAAAAATAATAATTAAGAAAAAAAATTGTCATTATACGTGCTGCGAGCTATTTTCTATCGCGAATAAAATTGTAGGGGTCGCCGTACTGTACGATAATTCAGAGGACGATAGAATGTGAAATTGAATAAACGAACGACGAAGGAATAAGAGCGGGAAAGATGGCACTGAGTATACTGGGTTAAAAGTGTAAGGGCTCTGTGTGTATCAGTGTCACGCACCTGGTGCGTCCGTAAGGAGCGTCGTAACCAATGCAGAACCTTTCCTCGCGCCCGCTGTAGGAACGACTTCCCGGAGGAGCTGGCGCCGCCCTCGGGCATGGCATCCCGGGCTGGAATGAGCGGCCAAGTTGAAACCTCGGCGTCGAGAGGGGCTCGACGAGTTTCCGAAGCGAGCGCAGAACGCCGGTACCGAGTAGGAGAGACTCCCGATCGATATCAAACCCCATACGGGGCTGCCAGCCGCGCTGGGTGTAAACCCTCGCGCAACTCGCTCCTTCCCTATTCAATTCGAGCACCTAAACTCCAGGAGTTCAGTGCCGGGAGAAAGGGGCTAGAGGATCCTCTCCCAGAGGACCAGCAGCTCTTTTCGTTGAACCGACCCCCTAAATGCTGCTCCGACCGATATTTCAAAAGCTTCGATCACGATTGAACGGCTTTGAATTTATTAACGTAAAATTGTAAAAACCAACTGGGATCCTTCACGGATTACTACGTTGACCTATTTCGGGATTCAATTATATTTGTAATAATTGCGTGACCCAGGTCACGGGTAACTGAATTGGTCTTGTAATGAGATTCGTGCTAAATATATTTGATACTTGGGAGAACAAATTTTTTTTCACCGCTCTAGAAAAGTTTTACGTAAGAGTTACGAGGTTTCAAAGGATATTGGAATCTGTTGGTGATGGGTGAAAAGAAGAAGACAAAAAGCAAGAAGATTGAAGGTTCTTCGAGGAAGGAAAAGATTCGCATGGAGGAGATAGTGGCGAAGGGAGAAAATGTGGAGAGGTGGTAGGCGAGCAACAAGTGTCAGCTGTACGTGAAGCTGCGCGAACGGAGAAGGGAACGTAGACAAGAATGTACAGGGTGTCGACGATTTAACCATGAAAGTCAAAAAGGGTTTAGAGCTGTTGAACCCCGAGGGATGAAATGCTAATACGTCAAGAGGAACGCGAATGCCAAAGTAAAATCTCCACCTACACATACGTTTCAGTGTGAAAATTAGATAATATGGATATTATAAAAAAAATGTTTCAATGATGTTCAAACATTACGTCCGTAAGTTATCGACCATCCCCGCGGTATATAATACGAGGGACAGAATCAGGGGTTGGGAATAGCGAGGATAAATATAGGGAGGTAAAATATAAGTTCTGTACATGCTAGAGTGAGGGCGCTGCAGTACACGTCAACCCTGCAGCATCGACCAATTCTACGCCCCGTAGTGACTACCCCCGCCCCGGGAGCTACTTCCTGTTGACCCTGAACCTGAAGAACTAAAGGGGATTGTCGCGTGTTATACGCGTATAAATATCTCAAAACTATCCCAGAACTAGATGAGACCGTTGAACCCTCCGAAAGAGGAAGGATACCGACCCCTAGTTATAAACGGATATCCTATTCTCACGGTCAAGGTCCTGGATACTTAATATACGGTTCCGATATTCACCCCTGGTCGAGCTACAAATCCGTGTATACCAGAAGAGGGTAGCTGCTCAACGTGATATTGTACCACTGCGACTACCTATGAAGATGATAAATAACACTAGCTTGGGCTCTCTCGTGTTTCTGGAGAGGAGAATCGATTGTGCACCCTCACCAATTTCTACTCCTTCCAGGACGGCTTTCCCAGTTGGCCTTGAACCAGAACGTGAGCTTTTCGCCGGGGACTAGGAACGTCAGGAATTCGACAATATTTTTCGAGCTTCACCACGAGACTGTTGAACTCCGAGACAAATTGTATTGAGCTAAGGGTGCCGATACACGGAAATATGCTGAATACTTCGAATTTTCATAAAGGATGAAATTTGAATTTTCCAGGGGGGTTCCTATCGATTCGGCACCCTAACCTCCCTCGCCGGATTCCGACCCCGTTTCATGCACGCGGTCTTGAACCTGCTGCTGAACAAAGGAGAATGTGAGACTGAGGAATTATGTGCATATACGGAATACCTAATGATTTAGGGCTCAAGAGCTTCAAAGGAAATTCATTATTCAAGCCTTATTTTTGGCTTTGCCATCCCTGGAATATAGAAAATTTCACACTCAATTTCTGTACACTTTGCTTATCCTCAAGCTCTCTCTCTCTCTCGCGATCATAGAGCCTGTGGCATAGCCTGAAGACCGTTTCCCTATTGAATCGTATGCGATTAAACCTGATATTTGTCGACATTGACTGTGAGCCTTAGGATAGGTATTTATCAAGGTCTACAACCCTCTCTGACAAATAGCGCTAGGCTAATTAACTGTTTTTAAATGGCTGTACCTATATACACAGTAAAGTACAGGACGTCGAGTACCAGCATAGCTAATGACTGATAAACTTTAATTTAGCTAGCCTCTAGATGCAAATAGGAGAGTCATAAATAACGCCGTGCGAACAACTCTTACTCGTTAAAACTTCAGTAAATCGCACAAGTGCCGTGACTTTCGAAAGCTGATCGTCGTCGAATTTATTTGCAGTTCATCGTGCAATAATAAATATAGAGATAGAAATATACATATAGAAAAAGAGAAAGAAAGAAAGAAAGAAAGAAAGAGAGAGAGAGAGAATAATAAAATTAATTTCATTGCTTTACGAATGCCAGCTCGTCCTCTTGCAAGGGAATGATACGAACCCCTTGAAGTTTGTCGGAATTCTCAATCAATAACCTCTCAGCCCGCATACTTATCCAATTATAAAAGCGTTCGACTTTTTACAAGTGACTTATTCCATCGTAAAGGTTCCAATTTGAACAATTTTTTCGAGTCGAACGACAGCAATTTCCTAACCTATAATTTGGTATGTATATTACGATGAAAAAAAAAAAAAACATTCACCTTGAACTTTTATTGAACGCTCTATGTGCACTCGAGCGGACTGCTACATGCTGTCGGCGGTGCAGTATGTGCACATACGTTGACCTTGAACTTGAGCAAAAAATCAAGCAAGTGAATCGAGGCACAAAGCAACAGCGACAAGAATAGATAACACTCGAGTTACGTACGTTCGGTAAGAAAATTTTTCTGTCATCTACTTCCCCCCCCCCCCCCCTCTCC